CGGATAGTTGTGTCTCAGTCAATAACCGTTCATTGCTTTTAGAGTCATCTTCACCATCGTAAACCAAATGAATCCCATGCATCTTAAGCTCAACGCCTTGTTTGAATGGTGTTACTCTTTTAATCACTAAAGTGTAGCCATCTTTCAACACAGTAACCAGTGGGTGCAGAGCTGAGAATTGGAAGATGTGGAGTTGATCATCATTTGTTCTAGGCACTCTAGATAGGTGCAATGTGTGGGCGTGTAAAAGTACACCAAGTTTGAGAATTTGAGCTTGAACACCAATCACATCAGGCAGCATGTAGTCAGCTCTGGTTTCTTTGTTAAGAGCCACAACAACAGCAATTATTATGCCTTTGAGCTCTCTGTTCCGCTGAGCTGAGAATGTGACAGGGCCTTGTGAGAACCAGTCCGGGATTCTGTTTCCAGGCAAGCTCAGATTTCGCATAATTTTCGAAGAAACCTGCAATACCTTGGAAAGTCTTTTCTTTACTGCAGAGGAGCAGCTGGAGTTGCAGCCGCTCATGCATAATCGTTGCAGGGCCGTCAAGTGCTCTAGGCCTGGAATATCAACAACTTTCTCACAGTTTGTGAGATTGAGATCTTGCAAGATCTCTAACTTTGAGAGGTCAGATATACTTTCCAATGCAAAGCAGTTTGCCAGGTTTAACTTCTCCAGTTTCCATGGAAGAAGGGGAACACACACGAGCTCTCGGCAGTCATACAATGAAAGCTCTCTGAGATTTGATAACCCTTCGAGACTAGACGGAAGACTGTGAAAGTAATTATTCCCAAGATTCAGTATCCTCATAGAGGAAAGCTTCTCGAAATCGTCTGGAAGTTTATCCCATATTCTGCAACTGCGAGCATCCAGTTCCTCAAGCAGCACGAGGTTTGAGATAGAGTTTGGTACAGCAAAACGAGGTTCGGGAGCATCACTCTCAGAACGTCTAAATAGTGGCCTCTTCTGCATTTTCAGCACCCTTAAATTTGAGAGGTTTCCGAAACTTTTTGGCAGCTCTGCAACCGAAGTTTCCTCCATGTACAGATGGCGAAGAGATTTCAAGCCTCCAAATGATTCAGGAAGCCTCTTGAGCCATTTGCATTTGTTCATTTGTAGCAGTACTAGATTTTCCAGCTCTCCAAAATCTTCCGGCAGTTCCCCAATGTCAGAGCCTTCAAGATGTAAGCTTTCGAGTGTGTCCATATTGCACGTTGATCCAGGCAGATAATACAGAGATTTGCAGTTACTCAACTCAAGTTTGCGAATAAAATGCAAGTCGCCAATCTCGTATGGTAGAGCTTCAATTGGGGTATTATTCAACTGAAGTCGGAGAAGAGAATATAATCCACCAATTGTCCTCGGAACTTGTTCCAGAAATTTGCATCCTCCTGCTAAAAAGTCAGTCAAACATGGAAGTGAATCTGGTTTTAGAGGTAGCTCCTTCACCGAGCTCTCGTTGATGAATAGTTCCTTCAGTGATATGAGCTCATTGATAGTATCAGGAATCTCAAAAAGGGATGTGCAGCGCACCAAATGCAGCTTCTGGAGGTTTTTTAAATATCCAATAGAACTCGGAAGATTTTCCAACGCAGTATCATCAAGATAAAGCTCTTCCAGAGATCCTAAGTCTCCCACAAGCAAAGGTAGCTGTTTTATAAATCTGCAACCCTTAAGACTAAGCTTTTCAAGATTCTTGAGGCGATGAGTCGTTTCCGGTAAGTTATCTATCGCAGTTCCATCAAGAAGAAGCTCTTTCAAGCATTGCATTGCACCAATGTTTTCTGGTAACGTTCTCAGATTTGAACAGCCAGATAGAAAAAGCTTTTCAAGATGCTTCAGTCCAGAGACATCCACAAGAAATTCAGCAAGCTTTGGACAGTTTCTGAGGTCCAGGTGAAGCAATGTTGTCAGATGACCAACTGATCTAGGAACCTTCACCAGAAGCGTGCATCGCTCTAGAACAAGCTTCTCTATGGCTTTATGTTGTGATAAATCAGGAATGGCTTTTAATCTGTGGCAACCACTCAAATTCACAACCTTCAAGTTCTCAACCACCTGAAAATCAGGAAGATTTTTTTTAGCAGTGAGACTTTAACAGTTTAACTCAAAACTACATACTGGGACATGTTAGAGGGAATAAGAAAACCTACCCCTCTGCTGCTCAAACTCTGGACTCGTATGATTCCACTCTCTGAAAGATCAAGGACAGCAAGTTGCCCGGAAAGAAACTCCGGTGGAAGATTTTTCAATGGGCAACCTTTCCACTGTATCCACTTGAGTCCAGATGGGAGGAGTTTAAGATTTCCTTTTAGTTTCATGTGATTAATCTGAAGAAGTCTTAACTTAGTCATTGGCACAAAAGAGTCTACTCGAATGGTGGTTTCAGGCTTTTCCTCGTCTTGACATCTTATAAATTTATTCCTCAGGTAATTACAAACAGAGTTGTTCTGTAGATTCCTCAACGCCATTCCATCTACACGCTTTGTGAAATCAAATACGATTCCTTCGATGGATGTTGTTCCCTGTTATCCCATTACAGAAAGAAAAACTTAAGTAAATGATAATGCAAATCAAATACAAATGACATATAACTATAACTATAAATATACCTTGGGGTCGTTTAATATGGCCATAATTTCAACATGATCACAAAGTCTACTTTGCATTCCAGAATTTTCTCTAACGTCCATCAGCCTAGCCATATCTTTAATCTGATCATGCATCCACAGAGTTCCTTCTGCCGTGATCTTAACAAGAGATTTCTGTCTGAGAACTTTGAGAACAGCCTCGGCTTTAAACCCACATCCATTCAGTAAATCAACCACATCTTCTTTTGTCATCTCCATTCCGAGAAAGAGACACGCAATGTCGAGGAACACTTGCTTTTCTTCATCGTTTAAAGATTTGAAACTCAAAGCCAGCACATCCTCAAGATTATTGTTAGGTTGGATCATTTTCAGCTTCCTCAGTTGAACTTGCCATTCCCTCCTCTCAATCTTGTCATACAAAAGAGAGCCAACCACTTCAAGGCTGAGTGGCAACAGCCCCGCTATTTGGACAATCTTTTGGGACAAGTCCAATAGACTTTTTGTTGGATTTTCCTTTCGTAGTGAGTGATAACTAAACAGCTTCAATGCCTGCATCTCAGTCAAGCACTGGACCTCATACTTTTGGTTCACTGAGAGCTTCGTCAGAATCTCTTCATCTCTGGTCGTGATGACTATAACACTTCCTTCTCCATAACAACTTCTTTCACCGACCAGCGCATCAACCTGGTCTACCTTATCAACATCATCTAAAACCACAAGAATCTTCTTCCCAGAAGCACGCTCTCTTATGATCTTGTCTCGGTCTCTGTTAACATGTTTTACTTGCAAACCGAAAAGTTCACTGATGAAACTTCTTTGTAAGCCATCTGGGTCTGATGATCTTTCTCTAACGTTTGAGATGAAAGCTCGTTCCTTGAAGTCTCCGACGATATTGTTGTACAAGGCTTTTGCAAGCGTCGTTTTCCCAATACCACCCATACCGTAAAGTCCCAGCATTTGAACATGAGAAACGGGTTTAGTGTCGAGCAGATTCTTTAAATCCTCGACACGTGATTCCAACCCAACCGTGTATTCTCCCACTTCCTCTGGTGTCTTTCCCAATTCCGCTAAAACCCATTTCACCACGAGCCCTATCTTCATGTCCATGTCAACATCCGATCCGTATGGGCTAAATTCCAAACGATTTAAATAAGAAGTCGTCAGATCTTAAATTTAATCCAACGATTATAAAATGTAGGACGAAGAAACTCAGAGACGAGATATATAGTCTCGTACCTGAAAACAAATCCAGAGAGATTTCCGACTAAATTCAAAGCTCTCCTCCATCGCTGTATACACTCGTCGCTAAATCTTGTGGCGTATGGTCTAAAATCCTCCACGATATCATGGCTCTGTTTGCGGACATGGGAGGGATCGACTTGATAAAAGATGGGAAATAACGGACGTCTCAAAGATGAACTCAGGTCGCAGATCGTAGCTAATTCATATAGGCACCACCTAGATGCAGTGTAATTAGAGGATAAGACGACGATGTAGGCCGCCGAGTTCTCCATGGCTTCTATGATAGATTGTTGGATGTCCTCCCCGATTTCTATATCTTGGAAGACTCGCACCTTCTTTTCCTTGAGCGCGACAAAGAGAAGATTAGCGATGTTGTCGCGCGTTTCTTCGCCTTGGAAGCTGAGGAAGACGTCAAATTTGAGCCTCGAATGCGGCCGTGACACAACATTACTCTCCATCTCCGCTCTTTGTCTTCTAAGTCAACTCTGAAAAAAAGACGACGATGTGCAGAAAGTCTTCGTGAAGCTCAGCACTTACTTAACCAAATCGGATCTCCTGCGATCGGAAAAGTCAACAGAGAGACTGGATTACATCTCCTCCATCTTCTTTCAATTTCGAAATCCCTAATTGAAACCCACTTTCAATTTTCCTTTTCATTGTACATCAAATTCGCATTGACGTTTACGAAATGGCTTTACTCCAACTCCGAAAGGTCACAGTGCCACATTTCTACAGCTAATCAGATTAATTCCTAAATATTTGCAGTCGACAGATTCCTTCTACAGCTAATCAGATCAAGTGTCAGCCTTAAACATGTTTATATCATCTTCTTCGCGGAGATTTTTGGCAACATATGAACATACTTTTCCTTAAATTACAAACTCTAATCTAAAGCTTTTTTTTTTTTTTCAGAATTTCTCAAATTCGTACGTTCTAATACCATATTTTTGCATTTCCGACATCCGAACCTGAAAAACCATTCTCTCACGGTTCAGCGAGAGAATACACTTAAAACACAATAGCATTCTGAAATTATGCGTCTGTCATATACTCATATATGTTTAGAAACAATTCTGAAACCTGAAAAACTCCATTCTAGCATCTTTCTCTTCATCCTTTTCATCTTTCTTTGCTTACCAAGGCAGAGCACAAAGGGCACCATGTCTTTACAAAAACATAATGAATGCCAACAGACAAAACAGCCTCATAAGTTTCTTCAAACCCACTCTCCTTTTCCTGGAATCCAAAACCAAAAACTCCATGAGAAACTCAATAATCATAGCAACAGTTACTGTACGATTCTCTTTATTTTCTCTTTACCTGGGAGGTCTACTTTCTTTTGTGATTAGTCCATCATCAACTTCCTCCCCTGTTCGTGTCAACTGTACATCTGGGATTACCTCATACCCAATATTTGAAGTATGTTCGTCTGAGGCATCAGGGTTTTGTTCCCTGTAACTGTAAACAAGAGTTAGCCCTGTCTCAAGAATGGTGACTTGATCTCCAAAGTCCACAGAAACTTCCACGTTATCCCCTGTTTCTAAGTAGAAATCTTCATTTGAAAAGTGTCCTTGCCAGATATGTTTCTCACGGTACATACGAATGTGATCTGTTGCAGGATTGCGACGCCACACAATTCCTTTCGTTTGGTTCTTCACTGTAATCTTTGGAGAGTATCCAGACATTTCATTGTCTTCCTGACTCACATATGGTGTCCACAAGGTGAACCCGACCGGATCTTGATTCAGAGTTTCAGGAACAGGAACCCTAAAAGAGATTGAAGGCGTCTCATTCTTGAAGCTAACCCAATCTGGAATGCTTGATCCGGGGATAAAAATCCCTCCATTGGCACCCACAGCCCATCCCTGTAAACACAGTCTCAGGTTGTTTTAATCATTTTGATAACAAGAATCAGGAATCAAATTCAACAGGTTAGGAAATAAAGAAAGAGACCTGCATGATTCTTTCTCGGTAAGTAGCTGATATGCGGTTGCACATTTCCATGTGGATGAGTCCAACCGTTTTCAGTTTATCCAGCCCCGGCGTGTCAACAAGGTTGTAACAGTTTGTAAGGTGCAACGATTGCAACATCGAGCATTCTGATAAGTCCGGAGTTCTTTCCAACCTGCTACAGTTTCTGGCATAGAAAGATCTTAACCTTTTTGGTACACTAAACATGGATTGAAGTTGTGAGCAACTATCCAATCTGAGGATCTGAAGACTTAGGAGACCAGCAAAATCCGTCTGCAAATTACGAAAGTTGTTTCCTTGTAAATCAAGTTCCTCGAGACAAGGCAGGCTCCCAAGATTTGAAGGAACCAATTCATCAGATAGATTGCAGGAACCTAAACGCAAAGTCTTCAGGCAGAGTAAATTCTTTAACGAGGGCGGAGTAGACAGAGCAGGTTGAGGGCTTTCATCAGAATGGGTGTAGCCTCTGTCTTTCCACAACTCTTTGCAGCCATCAAGAGATAACTCTTTCAGTGTCTTCGAAGAGGGGATTTGCCTTATAGCGGTATAATCGGCTTTAAGAGTTGTCAAGGATTCCAATTCACCTAAAGCATCATTCAATATCTCAAGTTGCGAGCAGCCTGAAATAATGAGAGTTTCCAGCGACTTCAAGGTGTAGAGTTCCAATGGGAGGTCACAAAGCTCGGTGCAACCTTTCAGATTTATAAGTACCAACGTGCTCTCAAGAGTTCCTATCGAATTGTGAACCAAAACCAGTCTATTGCAGTTTATCAAGAGCAGCGTCTCGAGATTCGGGAGATAAGAGAAGTCTGGAGTCTCCGTGAGCTGGACGGAATGACTGAGGTCAAGGTATTTTAACTTTTTCAGTTCTTGTGGCTGCTACAAAAGTAACAAAGAGAAGAAAACGAATAATCAAATCGCAACAATGAAGAATAAGTTAGTTAACCTTAAAACAGGGGTTATTTTAAATGCTTTCACCTTTTGATCATCCCAAAGTCGTTTAAGGTTACTGTACTGCAAGTCCATGACAACCAAACTTCCCAAATGTAGTTCTGTTGGTATGAAGTAAAGAGGAAACTCAGACCAGCAAAGCCATCGTAAACCTCTTGGAAAATGTGCATAGTTTCCCTTGACCTGTACATGACTGAGTTGTAACAGTCTCAGCTTCCGTAAATTTGAAAATGCTTTAACCTCCAAGTTCTCAACACCCGTAATTTCAGCCTTCAGGCTGAGTCCTTCAATTGCGTTAGTACCCTTATATTGAAAAAAAAAGATGTATCAGTTCAATATTATCTCAAATCTACCTTACACTTAGATAAAGAAGGCATAGTTACTTACAGAATTGGTTGCCAATACATCAATAACATGCGCACGATCCCACAATCTACTCCATTTTTCCCAGCTATTCCAATATGTTCCTCGGACGATATTTCTTCCCATGTCTCGTAATAAGTCATGCATCACTAGCCTGTTATCACGGACTGTAATGAGATACCTCTCCTTAAGCACAGTGAGTCCTATGTCAGGATAAAAGTTGCATCCATCCAATATGTAACCTACATAGTGTTTATCCATGCCAATAAAGAAGCAAGAAATATCCAAAAACATTTCTCTCTGTTCTGGGTCTAGCGCATCAAAGCTGATCTGGAGTTTTGCTTGAATGTCTGCATTGGGGGTTTGTTTCAAAAGTTCCAATGTGCTTCTCCACTCGGAAGTGTTTCTGTTGAAGAGAAAAGCACCCAATACTTCCACAGCCAAAGGTAGTCCTTGGCAGTATTTCACCAACTTATCTGAGAGCTGTGCAAATGCTGCAGGAGGTGCACTTCTTCTAAAGGCATGCCAACTTAAGAGCTCAAGAGATTCATCACCATCAAGTTCTTCCGGTGAATTAACATTTTCTACCCCGAGCTGCTCTAACAGATGCGTGTTCCTGCATGTAATTATAATCCTGCTTCCTGGCCCAAAGCAGGCTAGATTTATTGACGTCGAATGAATCTGATTTATATCTTTAACATCATCAAGTACTACAAAGACCTTTTTGTTGCGGAATCTTTGTCTTACTTCGTGATCCATGTTATTGAATACTTTGCCGTGCGTCTTTAAGATGTCCGAAAGAAGTTTTCTCTGAAGATGAACCTTCCCTTCGGGTTTCGTAGAGTACTCTCCAAAGTTTTCTAGGAAACTTGTTCCTTCAAAACGTTGTGAAAATTCATTATATGCAGCTTTGGCTAGCGTTGTTTTACCGATGCCCCCCATTCCGCAGATTCCTATAACCTTGACATTGTCGGAACCAAAGCACATTAGCTCAGAGATACGTTGTACTCGTGTTCTAATACCAACACCATATGTTGGTAAATGCAAGTATGAACTAGGCAGTTTTCGAAGAATCTCTCTAATAACATGGTCTATCAAATCTGCTTCTTTACTGCAAAATGTTGATAAGAAATTCATTCACTGTGTTATCCTTTTACTTAGGTCTAATGTTTTCTTAAAAAAGGAAACGTGTTAAGATTCAAGGGAATAAATAGCAGAGTAGAACGAAATAAGACCTGTAACCATGACTTTGAAACCCAGCCAGATTCCCAATTTGTGTTAAAGCTCCCCTCCACTTCTGCAACTTGCTCTCTGGGTAAAGGCTTTCGTGTTTAACAAAGGATTCACCATATGATCCTGTTTGTCTGCGTACATGGCTCGGGTCAACGTTGTAGAAAACTGGGAACACCATTTGTCCAGAGTCGCTTTCACGGCATTCCATAATGTGCACGAGCTCATCTAGACACCAAGCTGAGGAAGCATAGTTCTTGGATAAAACGACAAGGAGAATTTTGGAGGTTTCAATGGCCTTCAAAAGCGCTGAGGAAATGTTTTCTCCTCTTTTTAGTTCATCATCGTCCCTGAATGTGTATATCCCAGACCTTCCTAGACTCTCATATATATGACTTAAAAACCCCTCCCGCACATCTTCTCCACGGAAACTTAAGAACACATTGTAGCTCCATCGTTCATGAATTTGTCCCATATATATGTCTTCAGCCATGCCTAAACAATATATGGGGAAGCTAAATGAGATTCTCGAGGCAAATTTCTATTTTGATCATGTATTTACTAGAATGCAATGCTTTATTGGTCATTCAATCATCAAAGCGAAATCGAATCTGAAACAGAAAGATAAGAGAGACAAAGAGCAAGAGACATAATTGCTTACTTACTTGAAAGCTCTTCTTTTTGGCAAGGTTAATTAAAGAAATATCTCTCTCAGGGGAGCTTGAGCTGCAGAACTTGACTCTGCCAGAAAGATTGAACAATAAGAACCTGAAACACATACAAAATAAGATTCAAGATGGATTGATTAAAAAACTGCAGAACATTTGACTTAGCGTCTTGCCTTGATCTTAGAAAGCAAACGCGTATCTTGTTGTCTTTTGCCGTTGACTTTAGCTATACTGATGCCTTTTGGCAAGTCTAAGGGTCCCAATAATTAGAGGCAATTACATCGCTTTTTCTGCAAAGTGTATATCATTCCAATAATTATGTTTTAAATAACATAGTAAACGATGAAGTAATATGACCAGGGTTTGTGTTAAGAGAAAATGCATTCCATGGCAAAGAAATGAGGCAAAAATAGCTATTTGACAAAGCACTGTTTTAAACATTGTGCGATTTTGCGTAATCTTATTTTACCCCTACATGCTATTACTGTATTGCAAACACTGTTTCATTTAGTCTTTTATCTCTTCCTTCTTCTAAATTTTTGTTCAACATGTCTCTTCTGTTCTAGCTTTAAATCATTTTTATACTCTCTCATTCGTTTATCTTTCTCCCTAATCTCTCTCATCGAGCAAATAGTTTTTATTTTTCAAAAGAGAAAAACCGACAATGCGTCTACCGGAAAGGGAAGGAACCTTATATGGACATCACACTGCAAGGCTAGCATGCGAATCAGTTATTCAACCGGAAAAAATGAAGGTGGTTTGGGCATTAGAGACCTTACGGTTTGGAGCAAAGCATGTGTTCTTAAACTGGTTTGGTTGCTTTTCTTTCTATCAGGATCACTCTCTAACTATTGGAGTCTGCACAAGAGAAGGAGTCATTCATCCATGGTTTAACAAATACGTTGGTTAAACTTAAGGATATTGCCTTCACCTGGATTAAGCTTAAAAGTGGAGAATAGGTAAACCTGTCGCTTTTGGTGGGACAATTGGTCCCGTTTCGGAAATCTTAACATCTGAAGCTCTGCATCCAAATATCTGGCGCACCTAACAACCATCAATCTCTCACATTTAGAAGATTACTATGAATGGATAATGAACAAATCACCATGACTGGCAAAGTCTAAAACAAATTGAGAATAGAGAAGCCTTCTGTACCAATTTGAGAACAACCCTTCTTCACATGAATGGTCTTGAGCCACTCAATCATGATTCTTATGAAGTCAAGGTTTCCTTTTGACATGCCTGATCATGATCTTCTTCCCAATTCTATTATCTGAAAACTCATGGTGCTTTAACCACCTACACGGTTCAAAATCACAATGAAAAACTGATACTTTTAATTTTAAAAACCCCTCAATGAATTTGATCCTTATGGGAACTAATGAAGACAGTCAATGAGCAGGTAAAAGGAGCTATGGAAGTAGGAGCTTGACCTTACAAGAGGCACGAAATTGGAATCCTCTATAACCGTCCTGGCGCGAAGATTGAACCTTGACTGTGAAAATTCCGGCAGCCGATTCAACTCCGCAGCTTCGATCATCAAATGATCAACGAAATCACCCACACGATCGGTCATATTAGTCGCGTTACGTGATTCCAAATCAACGTTTCCTCACCAAAGACTCTTTGATGATCTCCTTCGTCACTTTCCGCCTGATCCCTAAAGCTTTAGCTATCATCTCCCTTTCGCTCCCTCCGTTTTCATCACCACCAGATCCGATAAATTTACGGAGCGAAGGAAGCGACGAGGCGACATCAGCATCGGAAGCAGACTGAGCGAGGGAACTGTGGAGTTCTTCAGAGCTCTAGCAGCTTCGATCGTTCTTCAACGTCTATATTTCGCCTTGGAGGAACGAAGGTTTCTGGGAACTCGATATTATGCCGGCGCCGGTTTACTGTATCCGGTGATTCGCCCGGCTGGTTTTATCCTGGTTTAGCTAAAACCAGCTTCCTCTTCAATTTAATTCCTGGTTTAGCTAAAACCAGCTTTCCTTTTCAATTTAATTCATAAACCCGAACCCAAACACCTATTTAATAGTTAAAGAGTTAAGACAGATCATCAAACTCAAAAGAAACCATACGGAACCGAGGGCTTGTGTCTGTGATTTGATTTGTCTAGATTTAACGGAGGATGTCGAGGAACTACGCGGCGGCGAAGGCGAAGCCTAAGTACGCGACGGCTCAAATAGCGGTGTGGTGGGACATGAGAGACTGCCCGATTCCAGAGGGTTATGATGCTCGTCAGGTCCGTCCGAGCATAGAAGCGGCGGTCAAGAAACTAGGTTACTCTGGTCCCGTCTCCATCACTGCCTTTGCCGACCATAAACAAACCTCTGAACAACACCTGCAAGGGCTCTCTTCCACTGGAGTCGCTGTTACACATACCAAATCCTGTTAGTCCCCATTAATCAGCTGTTTTTCAAATCTTTGTTGAATTTCAACTGAAATCCTTTTTTACAGCAAGAATATGCAAATTCATGTTCTCGGATATGCTCGAATGGCGAGGTCGTAATCCGCCTCCGGCGACAATGATGCTCATATCCAATCAGGTGAAAGATGTCTTCTCTTGGGAACTGGCCAGGCTACAACAGGAGACCATGTACAACCTCTTCCTGGCTTGCTCTTGTGAGCCTCCCAGTAACACAGACCTGGTCACTTCTGCAGAGTGGCGCTGGGAAAGCTTACTAGATGAGGTTAAAGAGTGCAGTGAAACCACCGGTGAATCATCAAAGCCTGGAGAGCTTACTTGCAAACCGTGCAAGTTAGGTTGCCAAAGCGTGGAGAGTTTCAGGAAGCATCTCTCGACGAAAAAGCATGCTGTGGAAGTAAGCAACAAATCATCCTCTCTCTGCTTTTTGTTTGTTTCATTGTCTCTAACTTACTTGTTGAGCACGTTTACTCTCTTTGTCAAGCAGGAGTCCAGAAATTATATTAGCTCTAGGATCTTAACTTGTTAAGCAAGTTTAATCATGAATCATCTCTCTCTCTGCTTTTTGTTTGTTTAATTGTCTCTAAGTTTACTCTCTTTGTCAAGCAGGAGGCCAGATGGAATTGTACAGAACTCGACCCTGTGACGAGGAAGTGGGCAAAGAACTACGCGGCCAAGCCTGAACACGCCACGGCTCAAATAGCCGTGTGGTGGGACATGGAGGACTGTCCGATTCCAGAGGGCTATGATGCTCGTTGGGTCCGTCCGAGTATAGAAGAGGAGTTCAAGAAGCTAGGCTACTCTGGTCCTGTCTCCATCACTGCCTATGGAGACGTAAAACAAGCCCCTGATCGACTCCTGCTAGGGCTCTCTTCCACTGGAGTCGCTGTTGCACATGCCACTCCCGGTTAGCCCCATTTGAGTTTTAAGGGTTTTGTGAAATTTTCAACCAACTGAAACCAAACCTTTCCATGTAATGAAACAGATGTCATATACATGCGCATGAGTTCAGACATGATGGATTGGGTAGATGATAATCCTCCTCCGGCTACAATAATGCTCATCACCGATCAGATGGACTCGTTCTTCTCAAGAGATCTTGTCCATGAACAACAAGAGGATAAATACAACATATTTCTGGCTTATTCATATAGGCCTTTCAAAATGTCCGCCCTGGTCACTTCTGCTGAATGGCTCTGGGAAACCTTACTTGCAGGTGTGTGTTTGTTTCTTTGTCCTGTCCTGATGATGACTTGATGTCCTCTCATCATCCCATCACATCACATTTATGTTTTGAAATCTGATTTTTTCTTTTCCACAGTTTCAGTTTCAGAGACGAGAAGACGCGTTCTTCAGAAGTGCAGTGAAAGGAGTGAATCTACCGGAATGTTTTCTTGCAAAGTGTGCATAGATGATTTCAAAAGATTTGATGATTTAAGGATGCATCTCTCAGGTGATGCACATGCAAGAGAAGTAAGCATCCTCTGTACCAATACATTGTCTCTTTGTCTAACCATTTGACTAGCAACCACATGTTTTAACTCTTTTCCACTCTTTGTCAAGCAGGAGGCTTATATTATTTCGAATTTTCAATATAACGAGCGCAACCGCGAGCACGGGCTAATAAAACGTGTAAGTTGTTGTTTGTGTTTTTTGAAATGCTTCTTGATTAAAAAAACAATTAAAATCCTTATGTTTTCTCGTTTCCAAATATGTACTCATGTTTCATATACATCTTGTAGGTAGAAAAAGAGCAAACGTTTGAGGAGGAAAGCAGTCCCGGCGGGTCTTGTTCTTCTTCATAAATCATAATCATTTACGTGTTAATTTAATGTAATTAGTAATTTTAAATGAAACGGTGGAAAATTACAAGAGCAAACACCACAAAAGGCTAACCATGATCATGACCTTTTACTGTAACCTATGCTTGTCAGTTTCAAACTAAAAGTAAAAGTATTCTCAACAATACGCTTGTGAGTGTCAGACTAAAAGTAAAAGTATTCTCAACAATAGGTGCAAGTCTGACAGTGTTTTTGTAACAACCACTAAATTGAGTTTAATCTAAAAGAATAGTTATTCAAAAAGATATAGATTAAGTCAATTTGGACGACAAAATTAGGAAACTCATTGACAAAATGTGGAAACTTTTGATTTAATCTATATAAATGCTCTCATTCGTCTATTCTCTCTTTTTGAAACCTTAGATATTAGACAACAAAATTGGGAAACTCTTTTTCATAATGGGAGTTGCGCCAAAATCGGTGTGATTTGAAATATGCACAAAAGATACACTTCCTAAATTTTGCATAGTTTATCCTAGAATATTGGTTCGACACTAATCAATAAAGTCTGTTTTATGAATTATTTTGTGAGATTGTGCTTCTAAACATTTTCATGTGATTGATATCTTATTTCCTTATCACACACCCAAACACACCATTATTGACACATTCAGAGAAACTGGATTGATATTTTTCGTTCCATAAAACGATTAACGAGCAAAATTTGACTCATAAACATTGCAAGAATCGAACTAGGATAGTACCTTTGGATGGGTCGATTCCTCAACGTGAACATCTTCATTAGAGGCATCAGACTCAATCACTTCTTTGGTTTTAGACGCATCAACATCTTTGCTCGCCATTGAAAACTCCTGATTTCTCTTCAGCGTTTTTTGACTATTTGACCATTTTTATACGAAACTCATATTTTAATTCCACAGCGCAAATGTACGGTTCTATTTTTATAGGAAAGTATTATATTGCATGATTCCACGAGAACAAGAGTTTCACCTTTTCACCATTTTATATAACACAATTTGTTATAAAAATGGTCAAATGTCCAACTCTTTTAATTTTCCATTTGAATAGAGATATGTTATATCATGATATTTTTCTAAGTGGAACAAAACTAGCTTCTTCTTCTTTCTTGCGTACCATCTTTTGTCTAATCTGAGCCATTTTAATCACCATCCATATTAAGCAAGCAGCTATAGACTATAGTCTTACCAATCCCATTCCCTGTAACATAACTTTAGTTTCTTGATTAACATTATATATATGTACCTTGAACTTAATAAGTCTTCTGGATTAAATGCTACTTTAAGCTCACTTGTAGACGGTTAAAATGGTAATAGCTGAAAGATATCCAGTTATTCACCATAAACAACCAATCATTTTTTTTTGGTGGCACCAACTTTATAGCATTGGACCACATACTCAATGTCTAGGTGATCCAAACTATGTGTTTGCATTGCATCCATGCATAGTTACACTTGGGAATATCCGATTATGTGAAAGAGTTCTTAATTACCATAAAAACTGCTACACTCTCACTAATCCCTTCGTCTTCGAGCTCCGTTGTCGTAGCTTTGGCCTTTTTAATCTCAAGGGCCTAACACCTTTTGTCTTCACTCTTCTCACCAAATGCTTCCTTGGAACACAAGTTAAAAAAAAGGCATTAACGCACTCCAAATCCAATAAATTATGTACCAAATGAGACTGACTGTCATCTGTGTCAGGTTGTTGCCATGCAAGCATCATATCGAACGTGAGTTGGTTAAAATATTTTTTCGTTGATTCTCTCAGCCCTCAGGTATGTTTTGACAAACCCGACTAATCATCTTTGTGTTGCAAAATTCCACAAACTTCCTCGAGTAAGTACCTTCGGTTCTAGGCTTCCATTGGCATTCAAATTCTTCCACCAATTAATTTTCGTAAAGAGATAATTAACCAAACAAAAAAGAAAGTTATTGTTTACTAAAATCCTTTGAAGAATATAGTCCAACGAGCGTAACTTGTTCGGATGGTTAACCCATTTTCTTTTTTTTCTCTCTTTATCTTTTTCTTATTTTCTTGTTTACTAAAATAATTTCACAAATGATTTATTTCAATTCACAAACTGTCGATGGTATATTTGGCAAGAGAAGAAAGGAAATCAATCTCCAAAAAACTGAAAACATGGACTTTCCCATTAAATTAAATTGAATCTTTAACCCGTCTTGAGGATTTCATATTTTAAAATCAAAAGAGTTGAAACACTGAAAAAGAGCAAAACAGTAACACACACAATTGACAGAAAGAAGCATATGGCAACTCGATTTTAAACAAATTGAATCCATAAAGAAATAAAAATCGGAGGTGATTGAACAAGCAAATGGTTTTTCACTTCAGGATCACTGGCCTCTCGGCGTGCGGCTACTTTCTGCATTTCTAATCGGGTTGAAATACGGATGTGCCTGAAAAAAAAAGCCAGACATATTCTCAGTTCACTATCTGCAGTATTAAGAAACTAAAGAGATCTTAAACACAAGTTGAATCTTACCATTGCTTCTTTAGCAGTTGGCCTTTCTTGGTGATCATATTTCAGCAACTTGTCCACAAAATCAACAGCCTTTTCAAAGAACAGTAAATCAAAGTCATATTCATCGAAAAATCGGGTTTTTACAATTTAACTGAAGGCTTCAGGAATATATTAGAGAAAAAGCTAGTTAAGTTTTGTACCTCAGGAACAGCTAAGTGCTGGTTTTCAGAGTTGATGAACTTTGTCCATGGCTTCCGGCTATGTCTGCAATGCAAAAATCAAGAGGGTATAATTGAAAAATCTTGACATTGGGAGGCGAAAAGTTGAGTTTTTGAAGGTTTTACAGAACTTCTGATAGCGGGATTACCTTCCAACGAGAGATGCAAGATTAGGGTCCAACTCTATGCGGTATCTGTTTAGGTAGGTATTGAGTTCGTCTGTGCCAAGTACCTGCAATATTTATCAACACATATCATAAGAATTTGTATTTGTAGCTATAACTTGGAGACGGGACACGATGATTCAATGATGAAAGCTTTTTGTATATCTCACCTTTGCAATTTTGACCAACTGATCATAATTGTCATGACCATAAAAGAATGGTTCCTTGCGGAATATCTGCAGCAAAATTCAGTATCAGCTAACTACAGTGGAGTACAAATTATAAATCACTGCACTATCTCTTTATCATATTCACTTATCTAACCAAAACGAACCGTTGAAATTCTTATCACAGCTTAAAATGCTTACCATTCCAGCAAACATACACCCGAGACTCCATAAGTCTAAGGAATAGTCATAATCTTGCAAATCCACCAGCAGCTCTGGACCTTTGAAGTACCTGCTCAACAGTATGAAGTGAGATCACATGAAAGTTTATGTAAATAGATGCTTCAGATTAGCTAGATCAAGCATAAAACATGCTTCAACTTGTAATATCTCAAGCGCTCAGCGCATGCAACCTTCTACATCCCAACTATATGCATTTCTCATTTAGAATCTCTATGAACCGAAACCCCCTACTTGAACAATCACAACGGAAAGAAACATCCAGAGGAGAGCTTAGCAATAACCAAAGGGAATACCTTGAAGCAACACGAACATTATATTCTTTCCCAGGATGATAGAATTCTGCCAAACCCCAGTCAATTAAACGAAGCTTCCGCTGCTCGTGATCAATCATGACATTATGCGGTTTCACATCTCTGTGCATGATTCCACGCGAGTGGCAGAAATCCAACGCCTACATAAATGTTATGAAAAACATCAAATATAATTAGAGACAGATTTGTAGCTATTTAACTTAAGAGTAGTGCTTTCAAAAGTCAAAATAGGGTAAACAACAGTGTTACTAGATTCATGAAGCTTGATTACTAACCTTTAGAAGTTCATAGATATAATATCGAACATCATAGTCTGAAAGAGTTGGATAGAGGACTTTAAAATCCTTGTTGTTCACATGTTCAAAAATCAAGCTTGGCGTCTTCGACTGCTGATCTCTAACAATGTCGAGCAATTTTACAATATTTGGCCCACCGCAGAGGTTCTGTAGAATCTTAATCTCTCTCTTAATCTGCATCAAGAAGAAGCAAAATATGTTAAAGAGACGAATTCAAACCAAGCTAAAAGCCAGGAAGACACATCATCCTGAGATGATTTCAAAAACCTTATTGCCAAAACCAGCAAGTGGCTGGAGGATCAACTAACCTTCTTCTTCTTCACAGGCTTCAAAATCTTGATAACGCACTTCTCGTTATCAGTAGCATGGATGCCTTCGAAGACCTCACTGTATTTCCCTCTTCCAACCTTCCTCACCACCTCATAATCGTCCTGTACACTGCGGCATCAATGAAGCTACCTCAAACACTGTTATACCAAATAGTAACACCACACCATACACAAGCTCAAGATAAACACATAGCATCATAATAGTAAACACACCATACAACCTCACATCTACCAAAAATTCGAAGAATTTCAACCGAGTATAATTGAAGAGATTATATACAAAACGATCCCAATTCTGATTTTTTCAAGTGATTATGTACAGAAGAATAAAAATTCTGCATTTATCAAGAGATTCTATATGGCAAAAACCCTAAATCTACATTCCACATTGAATTCAATTCAATCCCAGAATCACCCCAATTCAACCAAACCAATCTCGCACCTAAGGCAAAGATCTAGAAAGCGATGTAACTAGCTCAATTGAAGAAAAATCCAAAAGGTGGAGGAAATTACCCCCATTGAACAGCAAGGGACTCGTAGTCCCAATAATCCTTGGGTCTAACGACGTTGACATCGGCGTAAACCCTTGCTTTCGACGGCGCACCGGCACGCCGGATGGATTTTCCGATCTTCTGCGCCATCGTTTCCGATTTATCCAAACCTTTCACGCGTGATTGCTGTTGTTGTTGTTGTTGCTGCTGTTGTTGGCGCAGGTGTTGACGGTAGAGAGAGGCGCTAGAGGCGAAACGACGGATGTCACGGAGCGAGGAGAGGGAAGAGAGAAGGAGGCTCTTCTTCGCCGGAGACGAAGAAGAAGAGATGGAGAGGAGAGAGAACAGATTGTCGTTGGCGGCGGAAGCGCTGCGGAGAGAGGAGATTGTGAATCCACAACAAGGCCTTAAGGCCATTAAAGTCTTTTTTAAACTCTAAAAGAGAGAATGAAAGAGAAAGAAGGTAACGATTTGCTTTTTCTTTTCTTTCTCTTTCCCTTTTTTGTTTTGGGCTTTTGTTTATCTAAAACGGTAGCGTTTTGATGTTGACTCGATCCGGTTAAAGTATGATTACTCGGTTCGATTTGGTTTGATCCACTGAGATTCTTCTTCAACTGGGAAAAAACTTTTCATCCTCTGTCGTCGTCATCCATTTCCACCACCTGACGACGATAAAAGACGATCGATTGCTAAAGCTAACCTAAAATCTCATTTCTCCATTTCCAGATCCAAATAATGTCAAAATCTAGGGTTTATACAGACGTGAACGTTGTTCGTCCTAAAGAGTACTGGGACTACGAGTCTCTCGTTGTTCAATGGGGGTAAAAAGTTCTCGCGTTTCTTCTACTTTGTGCTTAATTTATGAACTTTTTGACTTTTTTCTTCTGATCCTGAGTGTTCCGATGTAATTAGGTTTGTTCCGAAATCGAATTTGAATCCGAATTTTTTTAAAATCTTAGGGCTTCTGCTTCGAATTTCTGATACTCAATTGAAAATTTTCCTTTAACGAATCGTAAGCTTATGTTGACTTCTTCAGTAGTCTTAGCAAATATCGGATTTTAACTCCATTTGAGTGATTTTAACACTTCTCTCTCTCTCTCTCTCTCTCTCTCTCTCTCTCTCTCTCTCTTTGTTTTCAGTCATCAAGATGATTATGAGGTTGTGAGGAAAGTTGGAAGAGGCAAATACAGCGAAGTCTTCGAAGGCAAAAACGTCAACACGAACGAGCGCTGCGTTATCAAAATCCTCAAACCTGTAAAAAAGAAGAAGGTGATTGGTTTAGCTTCTTGTGACACTCTTTGTTTCTGATAATACATGAAGACTTTATTTGTTATTAACCCTCCATGTTATGCAGATAAAGAGAGAGATCAAGATCCTGCAGAACCTCTGTGGTGGACCAAATATTGTGAAGCTGCTTGATATAGTGAGAGATGAGCACTCGAAGACACCAAGCTTGATATTCGAGTTTGTGAACAGTGTGGATTTTAAAGTATTGTATCCAACATTGACTGATTACGACATCCGGTACTATATCTATGAGCTTCTTAAGGTAATTTCTATCACTCTTTAACAATTGGTTCTGATCATTCATCATTATGATTTACCGTTACATAAAAATGTTTTTCTCGGAATCAGTTACTGATTGATGATATTGCGTTTTCAGGCATTGGATTACTGCCATTCCCAAGGGATAATGCATAGAGATGTCAAGCCCCACAATGTCATGATTGATCATCAGCTGCGTAAGCTTCGTCTAATAGACTGGGGCCTTGCTGAGTTTTACCACCCTGGAAAAGAGTATAACGTTCGAGTCGCCTCGAGGTAACATCAGAGAATCACAGCATTAGACTGAAAACTTTAAAATTGTTAACTTTTGTATGCATTAGAGTGAAAGTTCTGTGAATTGTTTTTCAGATACTTCAAGGGTCCTGAGCTGCTAGTTGATCTGCAGGATTACGACTATTCTTTAGACATGTGGAGCCTTGGCTGCATGTTTGCTGGCATGGTGAGAACTTAGAATCCTTTTGCAGGCATTTGAAACCATGCTTTGAGCAATTGTGGTGACTTTTTCTTGTGGCTTATTCACTTATCAATGCGTGCAGATATTTCGCAAGGAACCATTCTTCTATGGTCATGATAATCATGACCAACTTGTCAAAATCGCCAAGGTATATCACTAGCCGCTAAGCTGCTGACTTGTTTGCACATTGCATATAAGATTACATTGTAAATTTGGATCCTTCATATATGATTTGCAGGTGTTGGGAACTGATGAGTTAAATACTTACCTTAACAAGTATCAGCTTGATCTAGAACCCCAACTAGAAGCACTTGTTGGAAGGTTTGTAACACATCCCTGATTCTCTTGTTACTCTGCTCAGCTCAGACTCGTTGAATTTTCATTTTGGGGTCCATTTATTTGATTTGCAGGCATAGCAGGAAACCATGGTCCAAGTTTATCACTGCGGACAACCAACACTTGGTCTCACCAGAGGTAAAACTCTTTCTTCTCTCTCTCTCTCGACACAAAATATTTTCTTCTTAGTGTATTGACTTCATTGTATGAAATTTCTCCAGGCTATTGATTTTCTCGATAAGCTTCTTCGGTATGATCACCAAGACAGATTAACCGCAAGAGAAGCCATGGTAAATAAAAATCCTTCTCATCTTTTGTTTCGTTTACCCTCTGTTTTCATCAAATTTATGATCTATGGTTCTCTTGTTCATGTATAGGGTCATCCATATTTCGCTCAAGTTAAAGCTGCAGAGAGCAGCAGACTTCGAACTTTGTAAAACTCTTGCTGACGTTTGCTGTAATATTATTCTACTACAGTATTTTTGAACCAAATGTTGTAATACTATCAACTCAAAGAAAACACCAGAAGTTGAATCAAAATTGCTCTTATTTATACTTTCATAGTGACAAAATTGAAATCAACAAGCCAGTATTAAAAGATATGAAATAGAAGTTGCAAAACAAAGCTTCATCATATAATTATAATAATAGCAAGAGACTTTAGTGTTGAAACATAAGTCTTTTAAGTAGAGAAGGAACATAACCCATAAATTTGTTGACTCAAGACACTTGGGACTTGAAGATACAAACATAAAGGAGAAGGATCCATTCATTTACATTGGTATCCTTTTTAGTAGAGATAATAGTAATCTTCACTTCTGGAGGTGAGGGAAGCAAGCGACGACATCTGATTTTGGATGCTTGGCCTCTGCGTGCTCCCTGCATTTCACTTCCGAAGTTGTGCAGATGAATGTTTGCATACACACCTTGCACTGTACACATATAACAAGTAACAAGTTATTGAATAGAAAGAACACTCAACATTCATTTCAGAAGACTAAACAAAGTCCTATGTAAAAGTAAAGAATCTTATTCCCTTTACAAATTGTGCATCAACAAGAGATAATAAGTCTTTCATCAACTCAATATTCAATCATGGAGCTGCTTAACGGTAAGAGAATAACCAAATTCACATATCAATGTACAGAATCATTCGATAACATAAGTCATAGATCAAAAAGGCGAAATGGATGATTACAAAGACAGTTTAACTAAGCTTTCATGCATGACTCCATAAGTTCTATTTGGTACTGAACAAACATTATTTTTCGAAATTCCAAAAAATTTCAAATTCCTCAGCTTTCAATCAATAATGGTACATGCTCAATCGAAAGATTATATTTTTAAGAAAAACAGATTCTAGTGATCAATTCTACAAACTTTTAGCTCCCAAGTGAAATCTTCTAACACAATTGATAACAAATAGAAACTAAAAAAGGTAGCAAATGATCACCTGAATCGACATAGCTTTCTTATTCGCTTCCAATTGGCTTCCTGTTAACAGATTAAAACATCCAATCATCAATAAAAAACGAGATTTCTACGATTTAAGCTCAATTTTCTAGATTAGACCGACATAAATCTCTACATACGGTTTGATCCATCCTCTCAAACCCTAAATCGAATCGAGAAAAATTAGAAATCAGCTGGTTTACCTTTTCCAGCCTGCCTCGCCTTCTCCAAGTTCTTCTCACGAGCCATCTTCGATTTCTGTGCGTTTCCTCCACCCATCTCTCTGTCTGATTTCGATCACCGAATGAGAAGAAGAAGAAGGAGAGGCTACTCAAACCCTAATTTCTCAGAAGAAAAATGGAATATAATGCCGACAATGTTGAAAAATACTCGAAACGCAATGTGAACGAGAAAAAGAGTATTTATATAATTATATACGAGGAGGAGGATAAAAATGCAACTTGCGTTTTCTGTAATGCCCCCACTCAATAAATTCGCCACTTATCACCGATCACCTAACACATTTTTATATTCGATTCAACTTAATGGGCCTGAAGCCTTATTGGGCCTTAAAACTTTTGAACTATTGGCCCGAAGGTTTCGATTACTCAGATCATGTCAGATCAGTCGAGATCTAAAATTCCAAATTCTCTCCGACGTTGTTGGGTTTTTTTTTTTCTCCGGCGACTTCACCGGTAACTTTTTGGATCGATGGGTGTCGTAATTGAGAGCTTTGTTTGGGAACCAAGCTCAAGTTTCTTCGTCTTCTTCTTCATTTCCACATTTCTGTCGATATCTCTGTTTCCCTACTTCGCCAAAAACAGAACTTTCACTACCTTTGATCATACCATTTCCTCTTCTTTCGCTCGCTTCCAGAGATGGTTTCTAGCTATCTACACTCTCTCTTCAGGTAAATTTCGATAGCAGATTGAAATATCTGGGGTTGCTTTTCGATTTCTAAATTCGTTGATTGATTGAATTTTTCCGCAGTGATGGAAGGTTTATGGTTTGTGTATGGAGAATTGGAGTTGGCTTCTTATGGATTAAGTAAAGAATCGATTGTGTTTTATCTATGTGTTGGATACTCGACCTCTCTTATTCTGGGTCCTTTGCTTGGTGTGCTCTCTGATCTCATGTAAGTGTGATTTTACTACAATGTTGAATCAAAAATCGAATCGAAACGAATCTCACAGTTTAGGAAACTTTTTGTAGAGGTCAGAAGAGAATTTGCCTACTCTATTGCTTCTTGCATTTCATTGTTGGTGTGTGGAAGAGGATTACGATGAGTCCTAGTGCTTGGTTTGCTAATGTTTGCTTGTCACTCGCTGGACTCGTGTATTCATTTGGGTTTGAGACTTGGCTTGTTGTGGAACATGAAAAGGTATGTGTGTTCGTCGCTGCGTTTTTGAAGTTTTATCACAAAGTTCTGATTTAGTGAATGATGTTATGTGTCTACTTTGTAGCAAAGTCAGAGGAATGATTCGTTAAACGAGACGTTCTGGTTGATGACTTTTCTCGAGTCTGCGTCTTTGATTGGAAGTCAAGTTCTTGCGAATTGGTTTGTGGATGTAAATGTTCAGCGTGGGATTGCGTTGTCTGCTACGGCGTCTGTGTTCTTGTCTGTTGTCGCCATGATTTGTACCAACCGGACGGTGAAAGAGTCTTTGAAGACGCTGTCGCTTAAAGATTATTCAGCAGCTTTCTATGCGTATGTTCTTGGTGGTAAGTGTTTTTGTCTCTTTCTTTTACTTTTGGATTGCAATTAGTGAGAGAGTATAGACTAATCTCAGCTTGTCAATTTGATCAGATAAAAGAATATGGTTTCTAGGAACTTCACAAGCCTGTCTCCAGTTTTCCACTGCAGTCTTTTGGATTCTTTGGGCTCCAATGATAGTGGTATGATCAAAAGCTTCATGTTACAGATAGATAATTAGCAATGATCTTTGTATCATGAAAAAAAACTTAAAATGAGTTGTGTTGAGTCAGGCGGATGGGAGAGAAGTGAACTTGGGATTGATATATCCATGTTTCTTGGGATCAAGAATGCTTGGGAGCACAGTATTCCCATGGCTTATGAGTGGACAATCATTGCTCCGTGTCGAAGATTGCTTAGTCTACATCTACGCTATACTTGGTGTTGTCTTCTCTATAATAGCCTATGATTATCAGGTAACTTATTTGCTACTTTCAGTAAAAAAGACAGGCTTGTTGCTTTCATATGGAAGACCTCACACAATTAAAAAACCTTATAATACTGCAGGAAATCCGAATCTTGGTCATACTTTTCTGCTTATTCCATGGCTGTTCTGGATTGATCCTGCCTTTGCTTGCAAGATTAAGAACAATGTAATGCCTCTTATGTATATACATTTACTCGTTTAGTCTACTTTTCTGTTTAATTAGCTGAGACAAGAATCTTTACTTTATAGGTATGTACCAAATGAATTGCGTGGAGGGATGATAAGCATCTCTCAAGTCCCAGCTAATGCAGCTATCTTGTTTTGCTTAATACAGGTATGTTGCCATCGAAAACCACAAATTGTTAACCTATTTTGCTTCTGTTTCGTTTCTCTAAATTGATGTTAATGTTGCAGAGAGGGTACTCCAACAAGATCGAGAATTCAACGATGATGGCTCTTGCTGCAGTTTCGTTATTCACTGCATCTGGTTGTATATATTTACTGAGACGATGGGGAAAGTCACCACACCATGACTGGCACAAACTATGATTCTTGAGCAACTTGTGGTCCGGCTCTGGCTCTCTGGTTATGAGACTTATGCAGTTAAGAGGAAGCAGAACAAGGGCAAAATCAAAGACAAAATCTACTTGTTGGTATGTGATCTTGTGTTTAATGGTCTCAGCTTCGATTTTGTAGCAGCGTGAAGTGACCAAACACAACACACAAACCTGGAAGCTCAAAAGATGCAGTAAAAAAGCAGGAGCTTTAAGAGGTTTATGATTCATTAGGTTTGAGAGATATCTATTGTTTTTTTGCTCTGTTCATGTCTTATCAAAGATCATCTTCTTTGGAACTATTTAATGGCCTTAGATTTCTTGTTTTACAAGTAAATAGTAATGGGGAATCAATCTTCATATGGTTGGTCTCTTATCCATTTTGTGGCAACCCATTTCTCACCCTTGATAACAGGACAGCTTCCATGAAGAGATCTCTGCAACAACAACAAAATCAAAACTCTAAGAAAGATCCAAAACAAAAGTATATATGTTCTAAATGGGATTTGGTTTTCAGAAAACACTAACTTCATCAATTGTTCCGTTTGGGAGCAAATTGTAGAAGAAAATGGCGTCTCCTCGCCGCGGTTTTACTCGCATACCAGTACACTTCATATAATCATAGCTTCCATCCATGTTTCTCTCATCCTGCTTCATCAAAATCCATTCCCTTTTACATAAAGAAATAAAGAAAGAAAGAAAGAAACAATGATTTACCTCGAATGGGAACATTGTTTCTCCTCCTTCTTCAACGCTCGATAAGTACAACAGGAAAGAGGCGAGCTGCATTCAAACGAATGACTGATCAAATCTTGGAGTAACAAACTTTCTTTGAAAAACCAAGAACACAAATTGTTTGCTTACTCTTTGGCTTTTTTGAGCACCATACTCAGCTGGATCTAATACGTCATGATGTGAATCATACTTCTGTCTAAGCTTATACCTCAAGATGTTGAATGACTAGAAAAATAAAACAGAACAAATGAAGATCTTCTTGGAAAAAGTGAAACTTGTGACACATTACATGTTTCTTTTTTTTCTATATGAATGTGTATGTACATAGCTTACTTCATAATGATCTCTAGGGACTCTAGTGGCAATGGCTATTTTCTCTTCGATGGAAGCTATAAGTCCGGATTCGTCTTCATCAGCACTGATGAACACTCCAGTGCTGCGTTTTGAAAATGTTCATTGAATCTAAATCTAATGCTCATATAAATGCAAAAATCGATGGAAGCTTTTTTTTTACCTTGTTCTAACGTTTTGAATGCTCTCTGCGGTTTCGCCTATCTTTTGAGCAAGAAGAGAAGGCTTAAGCTTAGGCTTTGCCATATTGATAAGAGCTTCACATTGTTGTTTGGTTGCGAAATTCGGCAAGTAAAATATTCGAGGTTTCCAACTTAAAACCTGATCATTAGTAACATAAAAATATATGATTTCACATTGCCAAATTATCTAAACTTGTGAATCTGATATCTACATTGTAAGGATTTAGCAGATTTGAGAGGAAAGTGAACCTGAAAGGGAATGTTAGAGACAGAACCATCTCTGGTTTCTTGGTTTACGGATCTTCGTATCGGAATCTCGCTGAAGATTCTCTATAGAAAGCAGAGAAAAAAACAGAGCTTCTGAACAAATCTTCTATAGAATTCGATGGTTGGAGATACAAGAGAGAAAGAGGAAGACCTGAGAGAAGAGATTGAAGAAGGTGAAGCCGATGATGGCGAGGAAGAAACAACACGCCATGAAAACGTACGGAAAACGTAACTTCTTCTCTTTGCCGTAGGATCTCATGATCTCGAAGACGATCGTGAGGAAAACTTGGATTTGACTCTGTTTCTCTCTGACGGCGGGAATTTGAATTATGAAACAGAGAGGATTCAAAGAGACTGAGAAATAGAGAGAGAGTTAAGATGAGCAAAATGGTGACGTCATAACTCATTTTCAATGCTCTTTTTTAGACATATGCCTTAAAAAGTTTCCCAGTCTTAGATTTGGTCATTCGGACATATATTCGGTCAGAATCCATAATTGTTTTCTTTTTCTAGCTTTTTCCTGGTAACTTAAAAATCAGATCTGTAATGTTTATCAAATACTTTTACTTTTACGTTCCATTTATTTTTATTTTTTTAATGGTTTTTAATTTTGAAAATAGAAACATCATCACTAATTGAAGAACTTTCAGGAACTAAGATTAATTTTCTAGTTTTGACCACAACTGCAGAGTAAAAGTTTTGTCATAAATATTAGCACACGCTGCATTAATATACTGATTTTCATTTTTTTTTGTTTATTACAAAATTTAATGTAGACATTTACTAGTTTATCTTATAAAAAATTAAAGTAAATTAGTTTAATAGTTTAGATTGTACTACTATATATATGTACCATAGGTTGGTTTGCCATCTGTTATATTATTACTGTTATCAAGGATATTTGACCAACAATCTTATAACGTAGTTTTTGCTATAATACAAAGCTTATTGGATAATGATTTGGTGGAGTCTTATATTAAGAATGTTTGTGTAGAATGTCTTAAAACCTTAAATTATTGTATTCAACATCTTCTAAAATTGTTTAAAATCCAAGGAGCTATAGAAATGAAGGTTCATTGTATTCAACACAACAACTGAGTTATACTCCTAATTTTTACAAAGAGACAAATCGTTCATTCATGAAAGTTCTGGTTTCGTTATCGAAAGAGGAAACAAACGGCCGCCGTTTTGAGACAGTGTTTATACGTGTCATTACCAGCAAAGACCACGTAAACCTTGATGACATGTCATCGCGTGTATGACACATATCCATTTATCCATACGCCTTCTATATTAAGACCTTCCATGGCCAAGAACTTAACTAACAAATTTCAATCGTATCAAAGGAGATAAACCGAAAACAAAACAAGATTAATGGAAAACGAGAAAAAAATATCAAAGGAAAACGAGAAAAATCCGCCAAGAGCGACGGAGCAAGAAGAGAAAGAAAGGAAAGACGACATTTCTAACATCAAGGGCCCTTACTTGGACTATGATGACTTGGAAGATCTCCAAATGAGGGCCAAAGACCCTCAAGAACCTAAGCCCGTTCTCAGAGGTGGATCCGCCGATGCCCCCACTCCTTCAGGCGGCGTTGGACGTGGCGGAGGAGCTGCATCGTCGGATCTTTCCTCCACTGGTGCTATTAACCGTCAGGGAGTTCCGTGAAAATCTCGGTTTACTCAAAATGTAGAATGTCGACCATGAATGATCATCATATGCTTCGTCTTTTGTTATGCGTTTAACGTTTTGTGGATGATTAGTAAGTGAAGTGTCTCTGCTTGTAGAGTTGAATGTTACGTAGCTATCAAGTTTCAAAAGTTAAATAAAACACGTCTCATACCTAACCGGTGGTGAGTCTGCTGACCATCCAAAGGAATAAAAAATAAAACCAAATATATGATTGGTAAATGGTAATTGGTAAAACATCCAAGGAAAGGAAACAATGGAACTAAATTAAATGAAAAAAAAAAAAAAAAAACATCTTCTAAAACATTTCCAACGCTTAGGTTCTATGGCTAAACACAATCTACATTCCAGTTGAACATCAGTTTCCAAACTCGGATAATCCATCTCTTAAGATTTTCCTCAATGCAATGTAGGCTACATCTTGAGTTGATACATCAATGCTCTGTTCTCACTTTAGTAACCCATGATTAAGTGTTGAATTGTCTCAATGGAAATGGAGTGAAAACAGTTTTCAGAAGTACAAATTTTTGGTAACATTTACATCAACAAAAGAAAAAGGAAAAAATAAATAAAATAAGGGTAGATTATATTTGAAAATACAAAAACACACGGTAATCCAGCTATTCCCACTTACAACCTCACATAGTTATTCAACACATATAGAACAATTGCGTGGTGGTGGTGGTGGTGGTGGTGGTCGAGGTGCTTGGACAAGGCTATCGTCTAGAGGATATCCACCAGCACATAGGTCACTCCAAAGCCATGCCGTGAAGGTCAAGTCAAATGGCATCTTTTCTAGTTGGTAGTCATCAGGCACTGCTAAGAGAACATTGTAGCATGAATAATTCTTAGTTTGGAGATGATAGACGAAGCCAGTGTCGTCTTCATCGTCAGCTGGCGTCATGTCTTTTGTGATTACCATCAGGTTTGTTGGTGTAAAACTACGATTGTCCGGTTCCAACAGATACATGTCCACTAACATGCTATGCATTCTGCCACGTTTTGAGCCTGTCAATGTCAATGTTAATGCAAATCAATGACATGTCCAAATCCAATAAATGTTGCCTAATTGTAAAAAGAGTGATGGAAAGCAACCTCTGGATACAAAGGTGAATCTGGCAAGCTCCTCATCCGGTGGATTCTTGTGATCACCATAATAAGCCCTAATTGACACTTGACCATGATAACCGGCATTACCAAGAGCTGATCTGATATTCTCATTAAACGAAACTATATCGGTCACCGGAAAGTCCTCCATGTCCCAGTAGACGACTGTTTCAGCATCTAAAGAAAAAAAGTGAATAACAACAATTCTCTAGTTTAGCACACGACAGATTGATGAGTTTTCAGATGAAACCCTAATCCGATATATATAGACAAACAATTTCGAGCAAGCGATAGACAGAGATATCTTCTTACCCGCGAAATTTTCACGTCTTTCCTCAATATTCATGTTTAAGGCGCAGATTCTGTTAAACATGGTGTCGACGGAGATCGAGGGAAAAATAAAATAAAAAATTAGGGTTAGATCTGCGGCAAGGGTGGTGGTGGAGTGTTATATTCATTACTCTGTTTTGGTTATCTTATAAGTTATAACTTACGGCTTTCTTTTTTTTTTTTTTTTGGAACTTTGGTTAGTCTTTTTAAACAAAATATATAAGTAAATAATTAAATCAAAAGGGTATAATTTATTATATATTGTTTTTTTTTGTTTTTCCTTTTCATGGGAATATATATATATATATATTCCCATGAAAAGGAAAAACAAAAAAAAACACTATATTTTTTTTTTCCTTCCTAGAAAATGGATGTAATAATATATTTTTTTAAACATTTGTTTTCTTTTTCTAATTTTATTTTCCTTTTCATAATGGAAATATGTTTTTTCAAGCAACATGGTTGATAACTCGTCATTGTTTCTCTCTGTCTTATGCAAGAAACATGAGGAAACACATTTTGTGAATACGGGAAGAAACAAGTTGTAGAAGCTAAGTGTTACTGACATTGAAACAAGAATGTAACCGAGACCTCATTTACATGTTTGAAAAATCCACAAGTAGAATGAGTGTCATGACATTTGATGCTTTCTCAATATCGTCATGCCCGTATATAAGATCTTTATAAACCTACCAAAAACATGACAAGGACAAAAAGAAGGAAATAGCAAAGCCTTTTCACAGCGTGGCTCTAGCATTAAGTTTTCTTTCTCTCAACCTTGTCTTTGAAACTTTTGGGTGCAGTACCAATTTCTTCATGTCTCACGATTGATGACCAATCTAGATTCAGCAGCCTTCTTGTCCACTTGTTACACGCTACTTGCAGAAGCATCATCAACAATTTCTCGTACGTTTGGGTGAGCTTGCCACCATCCTCGCCTTCAGGGATTGTTGTTCCAGAGCTTTCTTCTTGTAAAAGGTCTTTCCACCTCGCAAACTTCAAAAAAACCATGCTCGCCGAGAGTGATTGATATTCCAGAGCTTTCTTCTTCTAATAGGTCTTCCCATAACCACGCGGTGCAACTAGATTGTACCTCTGGTGGGTATGCGTCTGTGGCTTCCTCGGCATGCACTACTAAGAGAACATTGAAACCTCTTTGTTGCATCTCCTTAATAATGCGCACAAGCTCAATGTCTTTCTCTGCCATGCCTTTTACAATCAACATGAAATTTCCTTTACCACTCTGGCGTGAAAGACAAAGCATCTCCAGTAATAAATGATTAAGCCTCACAAACCTACTGCCTGGAAATCACATATATATATATAAGCAGAGAGACTTCTACAAGATTGATATTTCAAAAAGAAAGAAGAATTCACTCACCACTTAGTCGTAACGTTAGGATGTAGTCATGCATCACCATTTGAGAAGGGTTACCAAAAGCTTTGAAATAGACTTCACCGCGATAACCCTCTTTCTTGAGAGCTGAGTGAACATTATCATAAAACAAATCAATCTCACCCTCATCGCTGAGAGGGAAATCCACTATGTCCCACAAGACGTGTGTATCAGCATCTGTATATATATATATAGTCATGCACACTTATTAACAGAGCTAAATTCAAAACATAAACAATTACGACGAAATCGATTACACTGATCGATGAGGTTAATAGATTTATCAGAGCTTTCACAAAACATAAACAATTACGAAACTGATTAGATTGATCCCATCGATGGTCGATGAGATTCAGATGAAATCTAATCCACATATATACACAACCAATTTCGAGCAAGAGATAGATAGATATCTTACAGGCATGTTTTTTCTTGCTATTCATCGACGGAGATCGAGGGAACTGGAGAGATTTGAAAAAAGAAAAGAAGAGACACAATTTAGGGTTAGGATGAGATCTTGTCTCATATATATATATTCACCAACAAAACTACTTTATTTTCTTTTGTTAATTTCTAAAAAAGTACTTTGTATTTACAAAACAGCGTGAAAAACAAAATACTATAATTAATGGTAAACATAAATTACCAGTATCTTTAATGGAAGAAAAACCTAAACAATTAAAAAAATTGTCTCAAAAATTAATATATGTAAAGAAAATCACTCGAGTCAATTCATTTTTCTTTATTTTATGCTTTTAAAAAGTGTTGAATTGTGCAAGTCCAAAACCACACACAGAAAAAAAGAAAAAATGAATTATGTTGTTTGTGTTCAATATTGAAGTGAAGTTTCGATAGTCTTTTAGAGTGTTTTTGCCATAACCCAAAAGCCCACTTAAACGCTCATGTAATAAATTAAGTTGCCGACATCAGAAAGACATTACACACAAGGCCACGTAGATCTCGAGTAACCGCGTAGCTTCCGCGTGTCGGCCACTCACGAGCCACAGTGTACTACAAGCTCCATAAAAGCAAACACATCTCATTGTGTAAGAGGTAAAAGAATTTGATACCAGAGAGAAAAAAAGGAAACAAACAAAAAACAAAATGGAGGCCGAGAAAACACCACCGACGACGACGACGGAGAAGAAAACGGAGCAAGTAGTGAAAGACAATGATCTTCCGACCAACAGTCCTTACGTGGACGACTCTGGTACCTTGGAAGATTACAAGATGAAAGCTTATGGAGCCGAAGGCCACAAAGAGGTTAAGGCTGGTCTTGGAGGTGGCTCCACCGATGCTCCTACTCCTTCAGGCGACACAACCACCGCCGCACCCACCGGTGCCAAAGCTCCTTGAATAAAAAACTCTCTAATAACGGGTTTTGTGGATCGCTGAAAAAAAACCCCGAATTTGTAGCTTCTCTAAATAACTGATCCATTAACGTTGTATGGTTTTTATTTTAATTATAATGTATCTTGAGTGCGAAAAGTAATTTCTGTGCTACATAAATGTATGAGAGATATGTTTAATGATTAATATAATCTTATTTTCGATATTCGAAGAGACCATGATCTTCAATATTTTTCCTCTATGACTCGTCTATTAGAACTGATACATCGAACCAAAGTCTGAAAAATTCTACATGGCCGGTGATGTGTGATCATCACCGTGATGCGAGGAATAGTTCTTGTTGTAGATATTTTATCTGCTCACGTAGTGGGACACGTGGTTGGCTAGAAGATAGACAGAACAAACCTTGGACTTAATCTCTTTTGAAAGACATGTGGCTTACAATTGACAAAGTATTTTTTTTTCTCTCGAAAAGATTACCTCAATTAAACTAACACTTTGGGAAGCTTTCGAAGCTAAGATTGTATATTTTTGTGGACTTCTCCGTTACCTGGTTCAATATTTTCAAATTAAATTTGAATAAATAAATGAGTAATGTCGTTACAATAACAACAAAAAGGATTGAAAACATAGCTTAAACCTCAAAAAAATGCTAATCAAGAGGATTTAGTTATCGTAAAGAAAAAAAAAAATGTGAGAAACAACAGAAACTATTGGGCCCAATGCCAGGCTGGGCCTTAGCGCAATCTTACACGCTGTCTTATGTAATCCCGATTCTACCCCTTATAGGCCCTACATTACCAAACAGAATTTTGTATACTCTCTGCTTCAACGGCTAATAATCAACGTGGGCCCCTTTCACTAAATCAACGGTCCAGATCTCTCGATTCCTTGCATAAGACGCAAGCAGTTTATCTTCACTCACAGTCACTCTTTTCTAATTCCCTTCTTTCTCTCATCTTAAATCTCAAATTATGGATCGCAAATTTCTCCTGACGGTTACATTGATCTGCATTGTCTTCTCCGGCGTTAATGGCCAATCTCCCACCCCTTCTCCGACCATTTCTCCTTCAACATCCAAAGCTCCCGCCATTAAACCATATTTTCCGTCGCCGGACTCCACTCCCACGGCGAGTCCGGTAACGTCCCCCTCCATCGAAGCTCCTAAATCTTCTGCTCCTTCTCCTACACCTGAGATATCTCCGCCGGCTCCTTCGCCGGAGACTGATTCTCCTCCTGCTCCTTCACCGGAGACTGAAACTCCCGCACCGTCATCCGACGTCCCGGCTCCAGCTCCAGCTCCGAGCGAACATAAGAAGACGAAGAAGCACAAGAACGCGCCGGCTCCAGCTCCGGAGCTTCTAAGCCCGCCTGCTCCTCCCATGGAAGCTCCTGGTCCTGGACCTAGCGACGCTTCCGCTCCCGCCGCCGACGATCAGGTAACATCATTGAATAGACTAAAAATTTATACAATTAATAACTCGTGCATGGCAATATGGCATGGAGTAATTAAGATTGTACAATTCTTTGACAAAACATGTTTAACTATTTTGTTAGTCAAAGAAATAAAAAAATTATACATTGTAAGTTATGAAAAACAAAATCGAACGACCACAGTGGGAGTCGAACCCTCGACCTTCTGATCCGAAGTCAGACGCGCTAATCCACTGCGCTATGCGGTCAACTTTATTTAGATCTAGAGAAAGTAAAATGCAACTACTATGAATATTTGTTACGTTTTGTCAAGTGTGATTTTTCTGAAAATGGAAATCGAATTTTTGATTAATGCAGAGCGGAGCAGAAAGAAGAAATGTGTTAGTGGGAGCTGTGGCAATCGCGTGGGCTCTCATCGCTATGGCCTTCTGATAAATTTTTCATTTTTTTTTTGTATGTGTTTAAGTTTCAGCCTCTTGATTTTTTGTCTATTTATCCCATTGTCTACCTCGTTACAGCTCACATTTTTGTATCAGCATTTGTTATACGATTTGGCTTTATATACAAAATAAGGTCCTTTATTCCTCTTAGGATGGTATTGTCATTTATGGTTGTTACTATAAATTCTGCATTCTTTTTGCAAAGATAAGTTTAGCGATGGTGATAATGCTTGACGACGAAATGGTATATCAATATCAGTACAGAACACAGAATCAGCTTTTGCTATCTAATCTACCAATGGTTAAATATTCTCACTCAATTCACATTCACAACTACATTGTTTTTCTTCAAAGACTTACAAATCATTAAAAAAAAAAACTATGATTCCAAATCAAAGTTTATTCCTGAGAATCAATCGAAATTAAAGAATTGCAGAGAATCAACAAAATCTTGGGTATTGAATTATTTGCAGAAGAAAGCTCTTTTTGTACAAAATCACTACTTTTAGCAAGAAGACAAACACAAAATAGACACCAAGTATCCAAAATCTATGCATCATCATCACCATTATCCATCAGCCACGTCCAGCATTTCCATGCCTTTGGTTCCTGAAGTAACTTAGCAATGCCTGTGCCTGAAATAAAGTTACAAACATCCTCCAAAAACGTTAGAAACAACAACAAAACTCTTTCAAAACAATCAACATCAAGAAACTTTCATTGTGATAGCACCAAAATCATCTGCAAATCAAAGTTTGTACCTTTTCTCTAGCTCTAGGAGTACCAGACTGCGAGAGAGCGACTAGAGGAGGAACAGCTCCTTCTTGAAGAACCATGTTGCAGAACCGACCACTGTTAGTCGAAAGCTGAAGAAGAGCTGCAGCAGCGTTTTCTTTCCCTCTAGCCGAACCCAACTCAACGACCTCAACAAGAAGAGCGATCCCGCCTTCTTGACCAATCGCGTTTCTCCCTTCCGGGATCGTAGCAAGATTTGCCAAAACAGCAACCGCTTTATCCACCATCCCAGCTGCTGGATCCATCAGATCAATAAGATACCTCACAGCTCCGGACTGCACGATCGTCGCCTTGTTTTCTTGATGTATCGATAGGTTAAACAACGCAGTCGCAGCGTCTTTCTTACCCCGAGGTGTACCGTTACCAAGCAGATCCACAAGAGGTCCTATCGCACCAGACTGACCGATCTTGATCTTGTTTTCTTCTATCACAGAGAGGCTGAAGAGTGTAGCAGCTGCATTCTCCTTTGCCTCAGAGCTACCGTTTTGAAGCACGTGAATGAGCGGCTCGATGGCACCAGCATCAGCGATCAAACTCTTGTTGTTGTCGTTAATAGACAAGTTGAGAAGAGCGGTGACAGCGTGTTCTTGAATAGCTGAGTCGTTTGAGTAAAGCAATTCCACTAACAAGACGATAGCTCCAGAGTTCCCTATCACTATCCGATTATCCATGTTATGCTTTGCTAGGAGCCTTAGCTCTGTGACTGCTTGTCTCTGAACATCCAGTGAGCTGCTTTTCAACTCCTCCACCAGCTTCTTGACTTGGTTTTCCACCTCTGAAAGATCACGCCTTGTCTCATTCGAAGGCGCTGAGACAATCCTTGAACCAAGCCTCTCTGATGGACGTCGCCAAAACTGACCACGGTTGTTATTACGTCTGTCCATAAAGTTTGGGGAGAAGTCTGGCAAATCTCGCCGGGTACCTGCTGAAGTGGTTGCAGCGAGAGGCCCGGGTCTAATTTCCCCTGAAGCATCACTGCTGTAAGGTGTAACATGAGCTGATTCTTCTGAATTCTCGTTCGCATCTGCTCTTGGAAACTCCTCGTTGGAAACAGAGCTAGCACCAGAAGGAGACCTATGATGGTGGCTCTCAGATGTTTGTCCATTCTCCACCGAGCCTCGTGTAGTTGAAGATACAGATGACCTACTCGGTGCATCTGCCTTGGCTTCTCGAGAATCGTTCGATCTGTCTTCATGGTCATCCAGTGATATCCTTCTGGCATCCAAACCGTACCCATTTCCAGATATACCTGGTGAAGAACGTGAAGGAGAAGCACCTTCTCTTTCAATTCCTCGGCTTGACAATGAGGGAGAAGCATCCCAATCATTTGACTTGTTGCTAACTCTATGAGTAGAAACACCAGCAGCTGTGCTTGGAATGGAGTCTGTACATGACAAGAGAGGAGATAGCTCGTTTAAACTCGTTGATTTATTGGGATCAGGGAGCTTGACATCGTTCGACTCACACCAGTTGGCGATTAAGGCCTTCACGGTGTAATTGGGTATTAGAGTCGTGTGAGTGAGAGACTGTCGAGTCTTGGGACAAACTTTCAACCCTAAATCAATCCATCTCTTGATGAACGCCTTCTCATATGTTTGTCCTGATGACACAATCACTGGATCAGTCATTACTTCAAGCGACAGAGGGCAAAAGAAGTCGGCAAGAATGGAGACACTGGACGTCTGAGTCTGTTTGATCAGAAGAAGGCGTTCGTGCATGAGGTTTACGATAACAATCAGTTGGTCAAGGAACTCGACTTCTGCATTGTTCTCAGACTGCTCAGCAATCTCTTTCTGCCTCTCCAGAGCAACAGCTTCAATCAGAATCTCCTGGTTTGATCTCAGCCCTGTGTTCTCTCCAATTTCCACCAATATCTCTGGGCTGGGTCCAACACCATCTCTCTGATCCCTCAGTGCACCATCAATGACAGAAGATATTTCTTCATAGCTAAGATGCCTAACCTTCTCTAGACAGATCTGCAATTACAAATATTTGTAATGGAGTCATTTGCTAATGTAGACAACACAACAACACACAAAGCATTCAGCATCATTAAGATCAACCCATTTTAGTTTCTAAACGAAATCAAATGTTCTGACGAGACTATGTATGTACACCGCATTTATACCCATGGAAAGTGATACATACAAGATTCTTCTAAAATGTAAAGAGAAGGTACCTCAAGGGAAGCTGGGCTCAGCTCATCAGGTAGGTCGTTCTGAGAAGACTTCAGAAACTCGAAAGTATCCACAATAGTGTCTCGCATCTTTGGTATCAAAGATTCAATTTGAAGGACCTAGACGTAGATATGAAGAGAACATATATCAATAATAATCACAGCTCAAGCATGATCATACTGGAGAATAACGTCTTGTAAAGAGCAAAGTACAAATTAGGAAACATTGAAACTCTACTACATGGTTATGCAACTAAAAACAAAAACTGAGGACGAGAAGTTTTGGGGAACTTACAAAGTAAACTTTACTGGAGAATGCTTGCCAACTTCTGAAAAGGTCAATGGACTGATCAACATCCTGAGTCAATTCTTCAAATGCTTTACAAAGTTTCTCATCCAAAACGAGATCGGAGGTAACAACAGCATCTGCTATTGGCTTCAACACTCTCAGCAATTCTTCAACTCTCTTATAATACTTCTCAAACGGGTCTAAATCGATATGTCTAGAAGATGACAAATTTAGAAACGACGAGATACTCTCGAGAAGAACTTTCAACACAGACATTTCCATTTCCGTTTCCACCCTGCAATCAACAACACAAATCATTAGCAAGTTTGAAACTTGAATCAAAATGGGCAAACGAATTTGGAAGAAAATCAACTTATACGAATCGGACAATCACAAAATCACGAACTTTTTCTGGAATCCGTCAACTCGAAAATTTCGATTACAAGACCTAAATCTCCCCAAATTCATATTCCATCTCTGTAAACTTTCCTCAAACCCGACCCAAAAGGAAAATCCACGGAAATGATTAAGAATTGATCAAATGGTGTATCGGAAATGTAAGCAAGAGCAACGACGGAGAGCTTAAGAGAACAGAGAAACAAAAAAGGGGGCAAATTAAGAACCCTAAGTAGATAGATCGAGACTAAAGAGACAGAGAGAGAAGAACATACATGCACGTGAAGAAGAAAAGTCCTGAGAGGAGAAATCAACCTTTCTCCTTTCTCGAGATCGATCTTTCTCCGTCTCGCCGATTATAGTTGAGCACGTAAAAAGCAAATCTTCTTCTTCTTCTTCTCTTTCTCTGTATTAAGATGAAAAGAGTTTCTTCTATCGCTTCTCCGATTGGTCAAATTTGCTGGCCATTGCAATGGCCGTTTCGTTTTTTTTCTCTTCCTACTTTTTTTTTTTTTTACAACATGACTTTTATTTTTTGGCTCTGATTTGTGATCTATATAGCCTCGACATTACGGGTCAAATAACCCAAATTTTCCTACATTCGACTGAAATTACTCAAAATTTTCGAATAAAAAGATGAAAATTTACTTATACATTTTTAAAAATGGTTTCAAAAATTCAAAAGCTTCTAAAATTGTATACAAATTATGCAAAAAAAATAGTCCAGTTTCATTTCTACTATTTATAAAAAAAAATCACCTCTGATAATCATATACTTAAATTCTGTTTCATTTTTCAATTATTGTGTTGTTCCACTAGACGTACCAATACGTACCAATATAGACCCCCTATTCCATTTAATAAACACTAGGAGAGAACCCGCGCAATGCGCGGGTTTATTAAACCAAATATTTTTAATTTAATTATTCAGAACATTAGATTCGAATATATCATTTGTTTTTTACTCGAATATATTAGATTCTGTAAGTTTTGCATTTTGTTTTTTTTCATATAGTTTTAAAATTTAGTTGTTATTTACGTGAAATCTTATATAGACTCATAGTGAATAGTTTCATATGTTTTTTGTTCTTTTATACAATAATTTATCGACTGGAGTTGAGTTCTTCTAATTTTCCTTATACTAACAATCATTATAGATTGATTATTATCCTACAGACTCATAGATAATAATAATTGCAATCCTTTTTAAAAGGAAATGAAATGAGCTAATTAGCCAGTAAGCCCATTTAAAGCTACCATGGAAACGAAGAGGTCCGATAAATAATCAAGCCCATCAAAACGAACAACATTACACATAATTTTGATTTAGATTTTTTTTTTTACGAAAACGACGTCGTTTTGGTGTAAGACGAAAAAAAAAATAAAAAAAAAACGTCGTTTTGGTGTAGGCGAAAAAAAAAAAAAAAAAAAAAGAGTGCCCGTGAAGATTGTCCAAGCCTTATTAGTATGTAGATTACTAGGAATTGAATTTCATTCCGTTTCATTGCCAAATTAAATTCTGATATGAATGCATTTAATAAAGACCAAAATAAGACAAACAAACTTTATTTCTGAGTTCCATTTCCGTAACGTCTCATCATGAAATCCTTAATTCAACCATCTTTTTTCAACAAAACGGTTTCTTAAACAACAACAAAAAGATTCTACCTATTCAAGTCAATAAAACAAGAAGATGAATTTTCTCAATTTACAAAGTCAAAAATCCACAACAACAACAGGAGATGGTGAAACAGATCTTATTAATTCTGATCTCTAAGACTTATCTACGTTTACATAGAAGAGCCTTCTTCTTTAGCAAAACCAGAGCCACTTTATGATACATATAATACATAAGATAAAGCTAACACTCATTTTCCTAAACGATCAAAAGACATATAAAAAGCTACATCATATATGGTTTTGTTCCATTTCTCATCAACTAGACTCTGCTTTAACACGCCACGGAGTGAAATTGATGCCACGAGCAATCAGGTAGACTATGAATGCACCATACGAAGCCGTGAACAGAGTCACAAAACCGGTGTAGATGACTCCACTAACCTCCGATGAGAAAAACTCAAGCAAAAGATAACCATTGATCATGATCACAAGCGCAGCGACGAGCCACGCTATTGTCTGCAACAAAAACGTGTGTGAGAGAGAAAGAGAGAGAGATAAAAAAGGAATCATCTTTATGAATGTTAAAGTGAAGTCACAAACCTGATACAAAGGACCGATCTTGAAACTACCCATGATTTGCTCCTTGGAAACCAAACAGAGCAATGGAATGAGAGCAAACGGGATTTGAATGGACTGAAGAACGTTAAGCCACTCGTTCAACACATCGAGTGTAGCTTCCGACGAATCAAACACCAAAGCAACGATGATCGTTGGAACGATCGCGCAGCTACGTGTGATCAAAGCTCTCACCCATTTCTTCATCTTGAAATTAAGAAACCCTCCCATGATAAACTGTCCCGCGTAAGTCCCTGTAATAGTACTACTCTGTCCAGCAGCTAACAAACCGATCCCCCAAATGTAAAGTATCGGAAACACGCCGCCTCCGTACTTGTCCTGAAGATACTGCCCTGCGTTGACAAGGCCGATGCTATCGGCTAGGTCAGTGTTGTAGAACCCTTTAGCGAAAACCGTCGTGACGAAGAGATTGATCATAAAGGAGACGAAGAGAGCGAGCGTGGACTCGATCGTGTAGTAGTTTATAGCTTCTTGGACTCTGTATTTCTGCCGTTTGTCGACTTCTCGTGACTGAACAAGAGCCGAGTGAAGAAACACGTTGTGCGGCATTATAATGCAACCCACAACTCCAACTGCTTTTTGTATCGTTCTTGAGCTTAGTTTCGGTACCAAGATCCCTGCAAGAAACAAGAAAAGTTAACTTCTTTACCACTTGGAAGTGAGAGTGTTGATTAAGAAAGACTAACCAACGAGAAGCTCAGAGCCACTTGGCTTGGCTTGACCAAACATCCAAGCGAATGAGACTGCCATTGTAGCGATTAGAACCGCAAACACTGCCTCGAGCTTCCTTATTCCGTAGTTCTCAAGAAACAAGAAGACGAAACTGTAGCCAAAACACACACATATCAATCAATCAATGACACAACGACAAAAATTCCAGTCTAATCCAGCTTATATGGTCTATATTAACAGTTCAAGGTGACATTTAATGCTTGAAATTTGATTAAATTAGGCTAAATCACACACATTTGAATCAGTGACACATAACCACAAAACTTCATCACTAAAAGATGAAATTTTGGAAGAGATTAACAGTTCAAGGAGAGAATTTGATGCTTGAAATTGGATTAAATTAAGCTAATTTGAGGTTTCAGTGTGATTGATTTACCAGTCAAGAGCAGTGATGACGACACCAGCCCAGAGAGGCAAAATCCCATTGGTCAAAATCTTGATAGCAATCGCACTTCCGATGACTTCCTGAATATCAGATCCGATCAAAGCCAACTCCGCCATGATCCACAAAACCATACCCGCCCAAGTCGGATACTCTTCGCGACAAAGCTCCGCCAAGTGACGACCCGTCGCGACGCCGAGCCTCGCCGAGAGAAGCTGGACCAGAAGCCCCATCGCTGTTGCCCACATAAGCAACCAGAGAAGCGAGTATCCGGCGACAGCACCGGCTTGGAGATCGCCTTCGAGGTTCCCTGGGTCGAGAAACGCAATGCTCATCAGAAACCCAGGTCCGGTGAATAGCCATAACTTCCTCCACGAGAAAGGCGGCGCGCCGCCGCATCCGACGCCGTACTCGAGATCTCTTTCGTTGTCGTCTTCGTCTCTCACGATGTGAACTTTCTCCGTCTCGTCGTACGCTCTCTCTTCTTCCTCCTCGTCGTTTCTGTCGGTGAGGAGTGGACGATCGTTCTCGAGCCGTGACATTTTTTCCGGTGAGAGTTGATTCTCTGTTTCAGTTTTCTAATTGGCTTCACGTCTTTCTCACTTGCTCTTCCGTATTTTAAGCGTCTCTCTTAGTACTTATATATATATTCACACATGACACATTTCATTATATTCTCTTCATATTTGTAAACAAAATTTTGGCCAAAGTAAAATTAGTTATATGATAATTCAGATAATCAACTGTGTAATAAGGTATTACTGCGAGGTATTATTTGAGGGAATCAAAATTTGATGGTAAGCACCCAAAAAAAGAAAAGTGATAGTGCCATGTCATGCGAAAACTGGGGACCACAGCCTCCTATCGAGAACGAGTGGCAAATTAGTTACGTTGGTGACGTGGCGTAGATGGTGCCATGTCATGAGAAAGACGGGGACCACAAGCCGGAGTAGAGATTCAACGTGGTTCGCTCGTGGTGGCGCGTGCGTGTGTACACAAGTTTCTTATCTCCAAGATTCTCTGTTTTTTTATGTGTAATAATTTGTTAGCAACTTTTTCTTAAAATGGAATTTTTATGAGATAATTTGTCCATTGTAATAAAAAGAGTTTGTTATTAGCATATTGTAATGTATCCAATCCAAACATAGCGAGAGATATTATCATTTTTTGTTAACACGTTATTAGTAAAAATATCAAGCATAATTAATGAACTGTAAAATGTGAATGCGTCCTGACCGAACAATGTGCCTCAGTTTGATAAGTAGATGATGTAATAATTAAAGTTTAAAGAGAAAGAAGAAACAAACTTTGCTTTACTACAAATTCTGACAGTTCAATAGCGAAGCTAGCTCGACCATTCGTTAGAGGAATATGCTAAGTACGTTGCACAATCTGTCGCAAAGGCACAACAGTTTGGTATCTGTCAAAAAACGAAATCCATCACTTTGATCAACTTTTTAAACTTGTTGGATTGAATGGGTGATTAGTATGCAATTCACGTGTCCTCCCTAAACCTAAAATAATATAGCTATCTTCTTTATGTTCCCTATAGCACTCCAAGTTCGATCCAATTGTACAACATCTTACTATTGGTATTATTTTTTGAAGAACTAATGTTTTGCCTTGACAATATCATTTTTATGTTGTCATCTAATACAATTCCTCAAAATTTATGTGCATGGGTATATCATCAATATTTATACGTTCTCCCTGGCTGCTTCCTCTTGGGTTTGTTATCATATGGAATTGGGCTTAATTTATAATGCAATGGCACAACTTTCAAAGAGCAATCCACATTTCCCAAGTTACGCCGATGATATATATCCTATCCTAATGTCTTCACTTTTTCGGAAATATGAATCTCTAATTCGTACAACTCCATATACTAGAAAACAAGAACACGGTGCGTTTTGGAAGTTTGGAGGAGGAACATATATATGTACGCTTGCTTGAAGAAGAAATGTTTTTGGAATATATTTATTTTTTATTTATCATTTTCGTTTGTGGGTTTTAGTTTTCAGAAGTAATCTAAAAATAAATATCTTTGTAGTATGAACATAGAAAGAAACGAATAAGCATCATATTATCGCATCGGCATTGAACATGCTTATATACACATACTTAAATAGTTGAACATACTTACACACAAACCCCCCAATTTAGTTGACCAAACGATTAGTTTGATATAATATTTCATGTTGACAAAAAGTTGACTTTGAGAATAAAGGTCTCTGAAAGTCTATTTTTATTATAATGGAATGAGAACTATCACAGAAATGAGTTTTAGTTTACAACAATAAAATATATTTCGAAAGTTTCCAAAAAAGAAGCACTTCTAACAATATATAATTGACAGTATTCATAACATAATTTGAATTTGGAGCAATTGTTACAGGCTATGGAATAATAGGGGATGGAATAATATCGGCCCATTAGCTTAGATATACGAGTTATGATGCTTCCTATATATAGCCCGATGCTTTTACTGGACTATATATGGAAACCTTCCACTTCCACTACCACCATTTTACCAATACGATTTGAGACTGACAACAAATTATAAAAAACAAAGGATTACTTTATACTTTGAAAAGTCCTTTTAAACTTTAATTACAAGTGTATATTTTGTTAAAAATCCAAACATGAATCAAAAACTAGTGGGACAAAATCCGGGTTCTAAACTTCTAATTTGTTCAAATCTTTAATTAAAAAGTGTCTAATGTAAGCTAAATCGAAAGAAGAAGTAGATAGTAGATACTGTGATAGCATGATTTGAACTATCCAATAATTAGATTGATGTGCACTTCGATTTCTTCGGAATTACGTTACTCAATAATTTATTACTTGAATTTAGACGACAAAGGAGAGAGAGGATGGAGAAAACATTGATCGGGTAAACATCCGTACACCGAACTTATTGTACGTACGACTCACAAACCCTAAAAGGTAAAACAAACAAAAATCTTCTCAACGACGTCGTTGTTATGGTGACCAATGTGGCAAAGCCGGGCTGAAATGTGTAGACACAACCCTCGAGTCAAGCAGCTCCATGATTGGCGTGAAGCTCACACATCTTGGCACCTTATACTGATTGATCGACGCGCCTCTCGAGATTGCATAGTCCATGAGCTCCTCGAACGTTCCATTCTTCACCACACGTATCTCGAGCGGTCCAATAGACTTATCCGCAACACGGCTTTGTCTATACACAGAGTTCAACGACTCTTCCATTTCAAGGCAACACCGAGCCATGACATCATCGCTTGGAAGGTTGGTTTCATCCTTCACTAGAAGCTCCCAATAGATGACGTAATGGCCAGGTATAGTCTTTGTCTCTGCGTAGCTCGTGTACTCGATCACACGCGTTCCTTGCTCCCTAAGCAACACCGATGCGTTCTCAACCGCCTTTTGGAGCTCAGCTTCATCGGTTTTGTCAGCGTCGATGTTAAGTAAAACATTCTTCCTCCTCACAAACTTGAACTGCGGAGCGGAGTTGTAGAATCCAGTCACCTGAAGAATATCGCCGACTCTATAACGGTAAAGCCCGGCGTAGGTTGTGATCACGAGCTCGTACTCTTTCCCGACCTCAACATCAGCTAGCTCAACAAGATCGGCTTTGTCGGTTGCGACTTCATGAGGGAGAAACTCGAAGTAAGCCATGTTTGGCATGATGGTGTAAGAAACCTCAGATGGTTTACACATTGGTGTCATGTTGATTCCAAAGTAACTCTCGGAGGATGCATACATCGTGCAAGCCATCGGTAATCCGCCGCTATAATGCTCAAGCATCGGAATATACTGAGCCATGGCTCCGGTAACGATGACGTCAAGGTACTTAGTGTTAGGCCAAATCTTGGTAATGATACCTTCCCAATTATTGTCTTGAGAACAAACCGAAGTTATGAAATCAGCCAGTTCTTGGTCCGGTTTGGTCAAGATCTTGGACATGCTCTCTCTAATCGCCGGATCGGAGATTCTTGGACTTAAAGTTCCGGTTGAGATATCGTAGGCGAGTTCTTGCCAATTGGTTTTGAGGAAGCCGATGGCACGGAGGAGACCGGAAGCGAAGACCGCACCGAGACGGAGGACTTCGTGACGCATAAGGAGACCACAGAGCATCTGAGTGTACATGCTTTGAGAGGAGTCGGGACATAGGATGGCTTCGTTAGGGCTCGTGTACACGTTGTACGGATCGTAAGGACGTCTCTTGAAATGTTCGCTTTTGTAGTAACTTGTGAGAACCGGACGTGCCGGTAATCCACCGGGAGTCTTTGATTCCGACTTCACGAACAGAAAATGTAGAGCTTTGCCTTTGTCTAATCCAGGTACGTAGCTGTAACAAAAAAAAACACGTTCATAATCGTTAGTACCAGTAGATTATATCTTTAATAATTCAGCTTATTATTGCGAATAAAATGAAATAAAACAACATTTTAAAGGATATTGGGGAAAAAAAATACTATCTTAAAAAAGTAATATGAAAAAAAAAACTTTTAAATTGGAAGAAACAGATAATTTGATTTGGATCTTAGAGTTACAAATTAAATTTTCAAGAAGTAGGGTTTAAGATTTTGACTTTTTAACAACAGTTTAAGAGTTATGATATACGGCTTACACCTTCAGATTTAGTTTCCAAGGATTGTAACTTGGAGACTAGTTTCTAATTTTTGAAAATAAAACTATTTTCTAGATTTCATTGTAAATTTGGACTACTTTTCATAATTCTTCAAAATTTTAATGTACTAACTTTGGCAAGTAGCTATTAACTACCACAAAATGAAAGGTAATTTATTGCGAATGAGATAAAATGAAAGAAATTGTAACTAACAGATTCATCACAGGCATTTGAAGACTGTATAAAAGCTGACGTCGGTCCATGTCTTCTTCAATGGTCGGCATTAACTTCCTTTCACCAGCAGAAGTCCCAGAGCTACATTAAAAAAAAAGAGATTAATCCACAATTATAAATTAGTGTTAGCTATGTTGAAAAATAGGAAGATATTTGCATACAAAACATTAATCAAAACGTGCTTAAGCATTATTATAATCTTGAGGTTGGAGCTAACCTTGTGAGGAACTCGGTGATGGGGTAAGAAGACAAGATCATAGACTGGTCACCATTTGCGATACGTTGAATCTCCGGTTTGATATCATCGTAAGTAATAACCGGAACTTTAGTCTTATACGTTTTCCGGTCGGTGAATCCCTTGAGACCGAACCTTTTCAGGTACTCAGTCTCAGAGTTACGACTCAGAATCTCCTTAATGACTCTCTTCTGAACGAAATCAACGTTACGTGTCATCTCCTCGATGAACCTAAGAGCCTTCAAATCCTTATCGAGCGGTGATGAGTGAATCATCGGAGATTGCAAAGCAAAATCAACAGTCATGATTGAAAGGTGTTTGTAAGTGAAGTAATTATACTTTGTGTTTTGGTTTGCTGATATAAAAATCGGTGAGGATCGTGGCTGTATTTATAGTGGGTAAGAAGGGGGAAAAGCCACGTCAGCGTTATTCCACGTGGATATAAAAGTGGGCCCAGGTAAATTTTGGTTAAATTGTTTTTTGTGTGTAGGGGAGAAGGGGGACAAGATGGGCAGAGGACACGTAATATATTGCAAGTTTGGGCAGACAGATGGGACCCATATGTCTGTGCCACGTTGGCGTTTTCCTGTGATTAGGCAATTTAATGTCATGACCGTAGTAGCTAGGCGTCAGCCCCGTACGTACCACGCGGTTCCCCTTTGTTTTTGGGCTTGTGACACTGCCTGTCGCCGATAGTGACGGTCCAATACTAAAGAGCTTTTTGTTTCTGACGTTAATGACATTTCTTAATTTGACTAATCATGATTAAGGCTTGATTAGTTAATTAGTACTACTAACTTTATAGTTTATCATGTTGTTGTTTTCGGAGCCCAACCAATTTCTTTAATCTAATCCATGCATTGACTTTGGTTTCTTGATGGTAACAGACTAACAGTTGGTAATATTTAAAACATGTATTATTATATTCTTATGCACATTAGCACTTGGATTTTGGTTTAAAACAGTGATTCAACTTTTTATCTTCCAACTAATCTCTTGAAGTGAGTATAGCGGTCAAATTTTAGTTTGGTCTAAAAATCCTAAGAAAGGGAAAAGCTCAACTTATCTTGTTCTATTACAAGACACTGAATGGTTTTACACTGGTTAAATAGTACATACGCTGAATTGGTGTAAGGCATGAATGATAGATAAGACATTCGTCTTACGAAATGCAAAGGTCGTGGTACAACTACTAGTTGGTACTACTATTTATTGACAATTAAAATTAATTCTTGATTTGGAAGAACTAACTCTGAAACAGTTAAAGTCATGCATGGGACATTTCGTTTCGTTTTGCTCGTGCTGTACCCACCACAACTTGCATGTCAATTAAATTCTACAGGATTTTTGCTCTTTTTTTTTTCCGACTTTTATTTATTAATTTGAGTGAGCTAGGGATGAGAAATTAGGGGTTCTAGAATTACAAATATTCCGAAAGTCCACAAATTTTTATTTCAAAATCGTAAAAAAGGTTTCACAAATTTAATATTAGAAGCATACTTTTAGTTTATTTACAATATTAGTATATCATTTGTTATCCAGCAGGTACCCCCAAAGATAATATTCAGTCACATAGTTGACATGTGGGCCTTAATTAAAATAATACTACGAAAATAATAAATAATTGTATTAAAAAAAGAGAGGATATATGAGTATGACCTAATGAGAGGGAAAACACGAATCGAGGAAGAGACTGATAGCACGAGTCATGCTTTATCTTTGATTAGACATTTAAGGGGAACAAACTGCTTATTGAAATGGATACTTGGACCTTCTCGAACATTTTTTTCTAACAATCACTATTCCTTAGGCACACGTTAATTTGATTTCTCTATGACTATGATGAATATTACTCAATTTTCTCGAGTATGTATGAAATTCGTTCCTAATTTTCTTGGTCTAACTAGTTTATTCTGTGTTTAGTTTTACAAATACTTTTCAGTCCAACTCATATTTTCCTTACAATCTCAACTCTCAAGACTCAAGCAATCATTTTACCAAAAAGAAAAGAAAAACTCTCAAGCAATCCAACTATGTTCCGCGAACTTAACGAACGGCCATTACTAAATAAATTCGTAAAACTTATACTACAGAATCACTCACTCACTATACACAGTCTACAAAGCTCTTTTACTTCTATATTATTTGATGATCATTATTAGTAGTATTTAGTTGTAGTTAGTAGACAGTAGCACGTTTAATGTTTGTTGACTTGTTGTCAATAATGGTCTTTAAGACTATTGTTGATATCTCCGTGCGCAAGACAATCTACATTAAACTATCTTAAATTACGTCAATATGAACCCCAAATAAAATTAGATATAGTGAGAAAGGATACTATAATACTTGTTAAGTTTTTGTTTTACACTTTCTGTCATGTTATCCATCAACGGTAAATCTATAACCTTTATCAAAAAAAAAAAAAAAAACGTTAAATCTATAACCTGTAAAAATTAACCGTGCGTTGAATTTAAATACTGTAGGAGCTCATCTTTTGTTTGATGAAATTCGAAACAATTTAAATACGTTGAATTTCTGTTTTTATGAAAACATTCACTTATGGTTCAACCAAAAACTATAGTACAACTTATGACGAGGTCACATGGAGTAAAAAGAAAAAAAAAACTCCTCCCGTTGTTAAGAAGTCTCGGAATGAACAGAAGACCCTAAATTAGGGTCCCTAAGCCCTTGCATGCTCCACTGTGTTTCTTGATTTTGTTTTCAGAAGTTTTAGAAGAACAACGAATGAAATTAAGTTTTCTTCTCATGAATTTTCGTGAAAGATTCCGTATAAAAGATCGTGAACCAAAATTTCCAAAACAGATCTTGTGTGACAGTGTGAGCAATTAATTTTTTCAGTCAAGTCATCCAAATTTATTTGTTTTTTTCCATTGTTTCTTGTACTTGCTCAATATCTTTTTCACGGAAAAACGTAAAAAAATTGATTTCCAGAAACCTAGGATGTATCTTTGCTGTACAAGAAACTGTATATATGTCTTTGATTACCCAAGACCATCTTTAATTACATGATCTGATAAGTGATAATTGTAACATTATCATATCTATCAAAAACCTCTATATTAAAGGCCGAGCTCTTGAAATTCCGTCCAAGTCACACACACTTTGCATTTGATTTGCCACTGAGAATTTCTTCTTCAGGAGAATCAACTTAAATTTTAATAATTTCAATTGTGGAAACCTTTTTGTTTAAAAATTTAACCTTGTTTAGCTTTGCATATGCAGAAAAAAGACTGAACATTGTAATAGAAAAGACAAAGTATGATGGGTTTATAGGCAAACACTGTCATCGTTCTTTGTTTACTATTGTCTTTCCATTACCGTTCTCCTTTTTTTCTTTGAATATGAACTTTGATGTGTGCTTGTGTCAAATAAATAATTTTTATGCATATATATTACCGAATCTCAAATTAATCATCAAGATTTATAGAAAACGAATACTTTTGTTATAATGCGTTCACATGACCAACTATTATTGAAACCGCAACAAGATGATTTGAATCTTAACCTAGTGAATGATAAACATCAACTACTAGACTACTATAGTTTGGTTTTATGCGTATTTGTGTTTATGTTCAAGACACCATAAATCGTGGAAAGAAAAACACTCCAATGTTTGTTTTTAAGAACAAGAAAATAGTTAATATGCGATTGTATTAACAAAACAAAATTCAATGTGTGTTTGTATTAACCAAAAGGAAATCTATTATCTGTCTGTTTCAACGAAAAAGTAACTTTTAAATGTGTTTTTTATTTTAGAGAAAACAAATGATCGTGTGTAAGAAAAGTCTTTGTACAATGTGTCTGTTTACTTTTATTTTTATTTTTGGGGGTGGCACATTATCCATCAGCCACTAGTCCAGCTGTCTATGTATAAAATAAAAGAAAACATGTCGTGTATGTTAGCATTTTGATGACTTCTTGACCTGAAAATATTTAGTCCAAAAGACGATAAAATGAGTACCGGATATGACTAACTTTGTGCTTTGTTACCTTTTTTATGCAGCTAATTTCAACAACTGATTTGAAAATTAAGTTATAATGTGTAGATAGTCGAATTGTATCATCCATCATGCATCACAGCTAGATATGAGTTTTCCCATATCTTATGTCATATTCTAATAATCTACTATAGAAGAAATACAATAACGATAGCTAAATGTTTCAGAAGCGTAAAACATCTATTGGTAGTGGTGCAAATGTTTTGGTAGTTTATCAAACTCTAAACGTTCGAATAGTGGGTTACACCTCCAATTTCTAGAACAAAACTTGCAACATATATACTACTCCTTGTTAAACAATTAAAAACTGGAAGATACTTGAATTTTACAAAACCTCAACTGTCAGATTATCTAAATTTCTGAAGTTTGAGTCCCATATTTTCAATGAAAGTTTTCTATAATCGGGGCGTTAGACAGAAGTTTTAACTTCGTGTGGTTGTAACCAATTATTTGCAGGAACTAGATCAGTTCGCTACAATAACTTGGGGGTTTGTGATTTATTTCTGTATACTAAATACAGTAAATTTTGATTTCCACGACATTTGTTTTTGTCTTATCTAGACGTATCCCTAACTCTATATATAGTATTTCGCAGATACGTATACGACTTCAAGATAAGGTTGGTTCAAGTGCATGTGTGTATTGAGTAAATAATTGGGTCTATCCACGTAAAGTCCTAACATTGAAAAACATGGTGGTAGGTTTTAACCAAATCATTTAAAATAAAACTTAATCGTATTATATTAAACGAGGGGACAAATTTCAATCGGTCCGTGACATGGGATCTATATTCGAATTTAAATTACTATGATACTCACGTTAACATTTATAGCTAAGTTTAAAATTGTGTTTCTAAATAAAGTTGTGTTTAAAATTGTGTTATCTAGCTAGTTAATAAACACATTTTGTATTAATTTGTTTTGTTTGCATGCATAAGATCGATGATAAAATGCCATTCAAAACAATAGGAGGAAAAGACAATGTACAAAGATATGTAATTTTAAAAGGGGACTATTCATACGACATACAACGTACAAGTTAACCATTAGTACAATAAAAAGATGGATTGAGTTCGGTGAATATACTTTAACAAAAAAAAGAGTTCGGTGAATATATATATATATATATATCTTTTATAAAGGGTTGAGTTCGGTGAATGTTACCGCTTAATTTGGCAGTTGCAGTATCAAAACATTTCTGTTCAGTCGTTTTCGTTGTCGGGAGGAATGGCCCAAGAACAATGATGTGTCTAATACTGTTTTGCAGAGTCGTCTAGTTTTCAAAGTGTTCAATTATCTTCTTGTCACTTATATTTGCACGTGTGTTTTATGTTTAACACGTGTGTTTAGTGTACTCGTTTCATTTGGTTTTCAACTCGCAATATGAGCAACATTTATCAATATTTGTGTACTTTCAAATGAATTTGATCAACCTGTTTTTTTAAATATTACACTACTTTAGGTAAAAAAATAATAATAATAACTACGTACTTTATAGAGAGAAAAAATTAGAGGGAGAATCATTTTTAAGTTTAGTTGATCGAAACGTCACATGGGACACAGACTCGTAGCTTTAGCTTTGTATTCAAAACGCAATTAATATGTTCCTTCCACTTACATCTTTCTGTCACTTTTTTCTTTCACTTCTTTCCTCCCTTTTCTAGGTTTTGTCTCTTTGATCTTACATTTTTCTTTTCTTGTCGACATGAAAGATCTTACTTAAAACTTAAAATATTGTTTTCTTTGTCAAAGTCGTTGATCCCCATGTCTCAAACAAATCTTTGTAGTCTTCGGTTTAATTTTTTTTTATTAGCATAGTTGTATATTGAACTTAAAATTACATATGAAATTATGTCAAGTTTTTAAGAAAAAATTAGTATTGGTTGTTAAAACATTTCTAACTATCATTGATTAATTTTAGAAGTTTCGTGGAGTTAATTTTCTTTAAATTCCAATTTCATTATTATTTTTCCCAACTGTGACATGCATCTTAGCATTGGGCAACATAAACTTGAATCTTAAATGAGCCCGTTTGTAAGAATTGGGCCTAACAGTTCTTAACAAAGCAGTGTCCAGACATTAACAAACACATTTGATGTGGTGTGAGCAAATCTACTTTTAATAATGATTTTAAAATAATCAAACTGTTAAAGCATGGGAAAAGTAGTTTTGTTTGTTTGTTTTTTTTTTTTTTTTTTTTTTTTTAATTTTGTCTGAATAAATCCCAAAAATATGCATAGTGATATGATATGTCAGAAGACGATAATAAATAGGATTATGTGAAGTGGATTTACAGTACTTGTGTAATCTACTTTTAACACTTTTAAGAGCAAGAAATAAGATCTACAAAGATTCTTCAATGTAAATTTATCACATCAAATGTTCTTTTTTAAAGTAAAGAAACCTGCCTTTTAATATATAGTAGATCCGTATAGTAAATGTTACTTATGTCATTTAATTTGTGACAAGAGTTATGCGACAGGTAGCAAGTTTTCAACAAAACCGTCGAAAATCGTCTCTATTTAATCGAAGGTCAAACATCTGAGACTTGAGAGGCAGCGCAAGATGAGTTTGATGTCGAACGTTGAGTTGATAATCATAGCTTTAGTGGTTGTGGGTATCAGCAAGTGGTTGCACCGATGGTATAACCCAAAAATTAAGTGCAATGGCATGCTACCTCCGGGGTCAATGGGCTTTCCGATCATCGGAGAGACAATTGAATTCTTTAAGCCTTGTGGACAGCTCGAGATCCCACCCTTTTTTCAGAAGAGGATGCTAAGGTCAGATTTCAATATAGACTTTTTCTTAGCCGAGAGGAATTGTTACGTTGTATTTTTCTAAGTTTGTGTTTGTATGAACGTTTCCAGGTACGGCTCGTTGTTTCGGACCAACATTATGGGTTCCAAGACGGTGATCTCGACAGACTCAGATGTTATCTTCGAGATTTTCCGGCAAGAGAATCAGTCGTTCGTGCTTAGCTATCCGGATATTTTTGTCAAGGTTATTGGAAAAGATAACTTGTTCTTCAAGACAGGGAACATCCACAAGCATATTAAGAAAACAACCATGCATCTTATTGGCTCGGCAGGTTTGAAGCGAAACATGATAGGAACCATGAACCAAGCAACCCGCGAGCATCTTAGATGGAAGGCTAGTGAAGGCGCATTCGACCTTAAGGATGCAGTTTCAAACGTAAAGTTTACACATCTTATGTATATTCTTCTTTAAACCAGTTTCAGTTTTGAATCGAGTTAAACTCTTCTCTTTGTAGTTGATAACGTCGTACATGACACCGAAGCTGATAAGTAACCTCAAACCAGAGACTCAAACAAAGCTTATGGATAATTTCAAGGCCTTCAATATCGAATGGTTTCGGTCACCCTTTGATCCATCTACCTGGAAGATTATATACAAAGTCCATAAGGTGACAACTAAGATTCCTAATTTTCCTATATTATTTAGTACTTACAGTAGAAGCCCTTGTCCTAAGTTACGTTTCTATTGTTGTATCCAGGCACGCAGAGACGCGACCGAAGTGATAAAGGAAGCTCTCAAGAAGAGGAAAGAGTCGAGAGAAAAACATGGAGACTTCCTCGATACACTACTAGAGGACATGGAGAAAGAAGGCAGCATTTACGACCAAGAGTCAGTTATAAGCCTCCTTTTAATAATTGGAGCCATCTCTAAAGATAGTACCTCTTTCACTACTGCCTTGACCGTGAACTATATATCCAAAAACCCAAAAGTGCTTGCGGAGCTCAAGGTAACATTTGTTGGATTAATTGAGAAGTTTACTAAGGCGATGAATTTTTGTAATTACTAGCTAAAAGATAAAAAAAAATCTAAACTACAAAACATTCAAGACTTTATCTGATTGAAGTGATACGCTCATCTATATAATGTCAGAAAGAACACGAGGCGATCCTACAAAAGAGAGAAAATAAGGAAGCTGGAGTTAGCTGGGAAGAATACAAAAACAACACGACTTTCACCAGCATGGTAAGAAATTTCCCTGCAAAATTGAGATATCCACATGCATGCATGCATGGTGTCTTAGGACCTATGTAACCTGTGTGTAGGTTATTAACGAGTCACTTCGACTGTCCAACTTGGCTTCCGTATTGTTTAGAAAGGCTGTGAAAGATGTCCAAATCAAAGGCAAGTTAGTAGTAGTACTCAAAACTACATGAACATTTTTCAAAAATTATTGATCATAAGCTGACATGTGGGGATAATATTTGCTCGTATATATATCAACAGGATACACAATTCCAGCGGGTTGGATCGTGGCCGTTGCACCTTCCGTGGTTCACTACAATTCTGAAATTTTTGAGAATCCGTTGGAGTTCAATCCATGGAGATGGGAGGTATTTTATATACTTATTACTGTTCCATTTTACCACACCATTACCAACAAGAGTTACATAGTAGAGCTTTTGTATGGCAGGGGAAAGATTTGCGGTCAGGATCGAAAACTTTGATGGTGTTTGGAGGTGGAATGAGACAGTGTGTGGGAGCAGATTTTTTGAGACTTCAGATGACAGTCTTCCTTCACCATCTTGTAACAACTTATGATTTCTCGGTGGTCCAAGAATGTCAGATGATTCGTACACCATTACCTTGCCTCACCAAGAACCTGCTTATAAACATCTCCCCAAAGTCTCCCAAGTGAAAAACCGTGCAGTTCCAAATTAAACCTTAATATCTATTACTATATATATCTCATTTCTTGCTTCTTGTCATTGATGCAATAACGCAATTTCTGAGAGGAATGAGCGAGTCTTTCAATAAAACGCGTTTGAGTAATGTTATATTTTAAGTTTTTAACTACATGATTAAGTATTTTAGTACTGTTAGTAGGAAAATCCAGCAATGTCCGTCCACTTGAGACAAATCTTCTATAGCATTGAACTAGTATGTCGTCTTCAGGCCTCTTGATTATGGGGTGATGTAGCCTCACTAGCTTGCGTTCAAGAGCCCACGTAGACAGTAATCTTATCCATCAATTTTTTTTTAGTCTTTTTTGTACAATCGAATCCAAACATATCTAATGCTGGTCCAAACAATAAAGAAAGCAACGTCTTGTTTTCCAACCACAATCCAAGAGTGTTTTGAACATGTTTGGGCATTTTAGTAACAACAACACGATTTCAAATATGAAATTTGGTGACGTTGTCAAACTTTAAAAAATATTGTTTTTAGTTTTATAATACTGTTTTTAAATCTATAAATGGAAAATCAAATGATAAACGATTGCATTTTTCTTTTTATTTACAATTTAGTGTCGGTGGCATCTAAATTTTCTAAGAAAATAAGTTGAATTTTTCTTTGCTTTATTAAAATATGTTGGATTTTAAATTGTAATTTACGCCTTAAATTTTCTCAATTTCTGTTAGGTGTAACATTAATGTTGGGGTTTCTTGGTTAGAGAAACCAGCTGGATCCTTGTCTTATACTCCAAATAAATAGTTAAAAAGATAATGTCACATGCATTTGTTTCAATAATACGTACAAAAAGCAAGATACGTAACAAAACAAAAGAGAGCCAATAATAGCCAAATACAAAAGTAGGATCTTATGTCTTTCTATCATCCACACGACCACACCACATAGATATTCAGACACATCACCAGTTTCAACGGCGCAAGAAGGACATCCTTATCATATTTATTTTATATGTATTAGGTACAAAATCAAGAAGCTTTGGTGTATCTCAAAAGGAGAAGAAGATAAAGAAGAAAAACACTTTCTCAGTTTCTCTCTAATGGCTTTGATAACTTTACTTGAAATCTCGATTTATTTCCTTTGTTTCTCCTTCCTCTACGGAATTTTCTTGATTAGCAAGAAACCTCACCGTTCGTTTCTAACGAGCTGGCCGTTCCTTGGTATGCTTCCGGGTCTAATCGTAGAGATCCCTCGTGTCTACGACTATGTAACCGAGCTTCTCGAAGCCTCAAACTTAACCTACCCTTTCAAGGGCCCGTGGTTCGGAGGCCTCGACATGTTGATCACCGTTGATCCGGCTAATATTCACCACATCATGAGCTCAAACTTCGCCAATTACCCGAAAGGATCCGAGTTCAACAAGATATTCGATATTTTGGGAGATGGGATCTTCAACGCGGATAATGATTTATGGAAGGATCTGAGGAAATCAGCTCAAAGCATGATGAGCCATCAGGAGTTTCAAAGGTTTACACTAAGAACAAGCATGAGTAAGCTAGAGAAAGGTCTTGTCTCACTTCTTGATCACGTTGCTGAGAAGAAGCTAGTGGTTGACTTACAAGATGTGTTCCACAGATTCACGTTCGACACTACGTTTGTTTTAGCGACTGGGATAGATCCAGGTTGTCTCTCGATAGATATGCCGGAGATCGAGTTTTCTAGAGCGTTAGACGAAGCAGAGGAAGCGATTTTCTTCAGATATGTCACGCCGGAGATGGTTTGGAAGATGCAAAGATTCATTGGGTTTGGAGATGAGTTGAAGATGAAAAGAGCTCACTCGACTTTCGATAGAGTTTGCTCTAAGTGCATAGCTTCCAAGAGAGATGAGATATCCAGTGGGGTTACTAACATCGACTCTTCTTGTCAAGATTTGTTGATGTCTTACATGAATGTTGACACGGCCAAGTACAAGTTTTTGAATCCGAGTGATGAAAAATTCCTCAGGGACATGATCTTAAGCTTCATGTTAGCAGGGAGAGACACTACAGGCTCTGCTCTCACTTGGTTCTTCTGGCTTCTCTCCAAGAACCCCAAAGCAACAACCAAGATTCGTCAAGAAATCAACCAAAATCTATCTCCAACAACCAGTGAGTCTGATTCTGATTCATTTGATCCTCAAGAGCTAAACAAGTTGATGTATTTACATGGAGCCTTGTTTGAAGCTCTCAGGCTATATCCACCGGTTCCATTTCAGCAGAAGTCTCCTACCAAACCGGATGTTCTTCCGAGTGGACATAGAGTTGATGCGGGTTCGAAGATTGTGTTCTGTGTTTATTCATTAGGGAGAATGAAATCGATTTGGGGAGAAGATGCATCAGAGTTTAAACCGGAGAGATGGATTTCGGAGAGTGGAAAGTTGATTCATGTGCCATCTTTTAAGTTCTTATCTTTCAACGCCGGTCCAAGGACTTGTTTGGGAAAAGATGTGGCTTTGACGCAGATGAAGATAGTGGCTGTGAAACTCATACAGAACTATGAGATAAAGGTCGTTGAAGGGCACAAGGTTGAGCCAGTTCCTTCTGTTATTCTTCACATGAAGCATGGTCTTAAAGTTCTTGTCACAAAGAGATGATGTAATAATTTGGTCTGAATGTTTGTACTAGTATGGAAATAATGATTAGAACTCTATTATTTGTGACTTGTTATAAAAAAAAAATAATAATGATAAATTGTGAGATATTTTCTATCTTTTTGTTAAATACATTTGAATTTTGTTTTTCTACCATTTTCATTATTTTGTGAACATTAAACAAAATTCTAGCTATTTGTACTATCTTGTTATCGATTTTTTTCTTTAAAATATCTATAAGATCTACTAAGGCTAATTTCGTAACGTCTCTCAAACTCTCCAAAATATCATGAATAAATTCAAAACAGTAGTTTGGACTTTTGACACGTTTCAACATTTTATAAGTAATAAATCTGTGACTCACCTGGTTTTCATGATAAGCTTACTACTAATTTATAGGAAATATGTTTTCGGTAAGATTTTTCTCCATCTTTTTAATTTCTATTAACGGTAAAAAAAGTATCCATTGAAAAATGTTCTTGTTTATTGGATTACTGCTTGAACAATTATCCTAATAATTTATAAATTCTAGTTAAAATCTGTGTTTACTTCATCACATTGGCAACGTACACTACCAACAAAAAGTTCTAAGATCTAATGGAATATCTTTTGCTAATCTTATCTTTCCTCGTTCTCTTCATCATTTCTCTAAAATGTTTGCTTGGTAAATGGGGAAGCAAGTTTAACCTACCTCCAAGTCCGGCGTGGTCCCTGCCGGTGATTGGACACCTCCACCTCCTCAAACCGCCGCTTCACCGGACACTACACTCTCTTTCTCAATCCCTCGGTGGGGCTCCAATTTTCCGCCTTCGCCTTGGCAACCGTGTTGCGTTTGTCGTTTCCACCTTCTCCCTAGCCGAAGAATGCTTTACCAAAAACGACATCGTTTTGCTAATCTTATCTTTCCTCGTTCTCTTCATCATTTCTCTAAAATGTTTGCTTGGTAAATGGGGAAGCAAGTTTAACCTACCTCCAAGTCCGGCGTGGTCCCTGCCGGTGATTGGACACCTCCACCTCCTCAAACCGCCGCTTCACCGGACACTACACTCTCTTTCTCAATCCCTCGGTGGGGCTCCAATTTTCCGCCTTCGCCTTGGCAACCGTGTTGCGTTTGTCGTCTCCACCTTCTCCCTAGCCGAAGAATGCTTTACCAAAAACGACATCGTTATGGCGGATCGACCGAAATTCACTTTCGGAAGACTCGTTGAGTACAACTGCACCACCATGGCCACTACGTCTTATGGTGACCACTGGCGGAATCTACGCCGTATTGGCGCCATCGAGATCTTCTCGTCTCTTAGACTCGATAGCTTCTTGTCCATACGTAAAGACGAGATCCGACATTTGATATTGTGTCTCTCCAAAAACTCCTTACATGTAAGTTGTACATAATTCTCTATATGTTATATATTTTTCATTTCAAGATTCATAGTTAAAAAAATATAGATTCATAGTTTTCTTTTCGAGACTAAATTGCTGTTTAGGTCTTTGTTCTTGTATCAGTTTTTTGCAATTGGAGTATACAAATGATTGAAAATAGTAGAAAAATAGTAGATTAGGTTGAATTATTTTTCCATCATTTTCTGTTTATTTTTATTGTTTTTAAGGAATGAGTTGAATTATTTTTCCACTATTTTCAATCAAAATGATAAAAATTAGAGAATCACTTAAGTTTCACCCACTTTTTCACTAAATGTGCAAAGACTACCAAGTCATAAGCAGTTTTAAGTGAGTGGACTGATCTATATATGTCATTTATATATTCGAGCATATTTATCGATGTGATAATCTTTAACAGCTTTCTATGCTTAATCATTTATTTCCGGGGAAATTTCAAAACTACACCTTTCTATATGCCAATTTTCAAAAATATACCTCTATGGTATTTATTTTCAAAACTACACCCTTTTCATTAAGTAAACCAACTCTAAACCCTAAAGTATAAACCCAAAACCCTAAAGTTTAACCTTGTACCCTTAAATCTAAACCCTAAACCCCAAAATCTAAACTCTAGTCTAGGATTAGTGAACCCAAACATATATATTAAAATTAGGAAAATGTGTATTTTTGAAAATTTCTATACTATAGGTGTAGTTTTGAAAATTTGTATGAAGAGTATTTCTTAAAATTTCTGTTTATTTCCGTGATAATTATTCAGGGTTTGCAAAGGTGGAGTTAAGATCATTGTTTGGGAACTTCAACATCAATAACATCCTCAGGATGATAGCAGGAAAACGATTCTACGGAGATGGAGCAGAGCAAGACGACGAAGCAAAACGCGTGAGGCAGTTGCTTGACGAAGCTGTATCAAGTGCCGGTGTCGGACATGCTTCTGACTATGTTCCGATCCTGCGTTGGTTTACTAGTTATGAGAGAGGAGTCAAGAAGTTGGCGGTTCGGGTCGATGAGTTTCTTCAAGGACTTGTTGATGAGAAACGTGCACAAAAAGAAAAGGGTAACACTATGATTGACCACTTGCTTGCTCTTCAAGAAACTGAACCTGATTATTACACTGATGTCACCGTCAAAGGACTCATAGTTGTAAGTATTGAGAAATTTATTCAATATATCAACTAACTATAATTAGAGTTTATATAGTGACTAATTTTCTTGGTTTTTATTTGGATAGGTTATGATCTTCGCTGGAAATGTAACATTAACAAGAACGTTAGAATGGGCGATGCTGAATTTGTTGAACCATCCAGAAGTGTTAAAGAAAGCGAGGAACGAAATCGACACCAAAATCGGTTTAGACCGGTTAATAGATGAACCGGAGGCTAAGAATCTTCCTTACCTACAATGCATCATATCAGAGATTTTTCGACTTTACCCGGCAGCTCCGTTACTTGCTCCACATAGGGCAATGGAAGATTGCATTGTTGGAGGCTACGACTTCCCTCGTGGCACGACGTTGATCCCAAACGTATGGGCCATTCACCGAGACCCAAATGTGTGGGAAGAGCCAGAAAAGTTCAAACCAGAGCGGTTCGAGAAGAAAGGAGAAGATCAAAAGTTGATGCCGTTTGGGATGGGACGTCGAGCTTGTCCCGGGTCGGGGCTAGCTCAACGTGTAGTGAGTTTGGCTTTAGGATCGTTGGTTCAGTGTTTTGAATGGGAGAGAGTTGGAGAAGAATATGTGGACATTAGTGAAGCAACTACAATGCGTCCAGCGACACCGTTACTTGCCATGTGTAAGGCTCGTCCTATAGTCCGTAAATTCTCAATGCTTCTTTTTGAAAATGTAACTCCCTAATCTTTGTGTCTGTGTTATCTTGCTTAGTGTCGGTTTGCCTTAATACTTTTGTCTGCGTCATTATTAGTTTTTCTTTTCATTATTTGGTTAGACAATAAATTGGAATATGGGCTTGTAGTGAAAAGTAACTGACTTTATGATGTCATATTTTCTTTCTTGGGATTTTGCATTTTATTATAAAAAGTTTTTTTTTCTTTTTCAAAAAGCAAATTTTAAAATCAAAATCTGTGTAAGAAAAAAAGTTTTCAAAACAAAAAATCTCCATCCATTCAAAACACTAGTAAAAAAAACAAAATCTATAAATGATCATTAATGGTTACTTATTACACATGGTTTGCATGAGACGTTACAAACATATCTTTAGTGACGAGTGGGATAATTGCATGAAAGCTTTTTTGGTTTTGTTCAAATTGCATGAGAGCTTTCATTATATAACTGTTGACTAAGTCCCATGTTCAATTCAACAAATTTACACAACAAGTTCTTAGATCCAATGGAAACCTTTTTCCTAATTTTATCTCTCGCCTTCTTCTTTTTCATTTCTCTAAAACTTTTCTTTGGTAAACGGCACAGCAAGTTTAACCTACCACCAAGTCCGGCTAGGCCACTGCCATGGATTGGACACCTTCACCTCCTCAAACAGCCGCTCCACCGCACATTTCTCTCTTTCTCTAAATCACTCGGCGGTGCCCCAATCTTCTGCCTCCGCCTTGGAAACCGTCTCGCGGTTGTCGTCTCTTCCTACTCCATCGCTGAAGAATGCTTTACAAAAAACGACATTTTTTTTGCCAATAGGCCAGAGTCTATTGTCGGAAAATACATTGAGTACAACTTAACCACTATGACGAGTGCGCCTTATGGTGACCACTGGCGAAATCTACGCCGTATAGGCACCCTCGAGATCTTCTCGTCCCACAAGCTTAATGGCTTCTTATCCGTCCGTAAGGACGAGATCCGACACTTGCTACTTCGTCTCTCCAAAAACTCGCTGCATGTATGTGAGCTTATATATATACCAACAAAATATTACTGTTGTGGTATCACTTTTCAAGTACTTTTGTTTGATGTTCATCTTTTTAAGATACCATTTCTTATAACCATAAGATTACTAAGAAAATTTTACATTTATGAGGTTTACAAGATGTTTTATAAACTTTCAGAAAAAGTAGTATTTTTGAGATTTTCCAATGAAAATTTGAGAATTAATAATTTGTTTATGTGATTATAAATTAGGGGTTTGCGAAGGTGGAGATGAGATCATTGTTTATGGATCTGACTATGAATAACATACTCAGAATGATGGCTGGGAAACGATTTTATGGTGCCGGAACAGAGAAAGACAACGATGCACGGAGAGTGAGGCAGCTGATTGACGAAGTGGTATCCTACGCCGGCGCCGGGAATGCTGTAGATTATATCCCAATCTTGCGTTGGGTAACAAATTTTGAGAAACGGGTCAAAAATTTAGCGGGTCGGGTCGATGAGTTCTTGCAAAGCCTATTGGATGAAAAACGTGGAGATAAAGAAAAGGGTGACACTATGATGGATCACTTGCTTTCTCTCCAAGAAACCCAACCTGATTATTACACAGATATCACTCTTAAGGGGATCATAGTTGTAAGTATTAAGAAATTTGCCTTTTTTTTAACACTTATTACAACAACACCTCTAACACAAACCTCTAAACTACATTTAATATGTAATAATACTGACTATTGATTTATTCTTTTACAGGTTATGATACTTGCAGGAACAGAAACATTAGCAGGAACATTAGAATGGGCAATGTTGAATTTGTTGAATCATCCAGAGGTTTTAAAGAAAGCGAGGAACGAAATCGATACCAAGATCGGTTTGGACCGGTTAATAGATGAACAAGACACTAAAAATCTGCCGTATCTCCAAGGGATTGTGTTGGAGACTTTACGTCTTCACCCGGTAGCTCCGACACTTGTCCCACATATGACGTCAGATGATTGCATGTTGGCTGGATACGATGTCCCACGTGGATCAATGCTATTGGTCAACGTATGGGCCATGCATAGAGACCCGTCTGTATGGGAAAACCCTGAAACGTTCGAGCCGGAGAGGTTCGAAAATGAAAAGGAAAAGCAGAAGGTGTTGTCGTTTGGGATCGGACGACGATCTTGTCCCGGGGTTGGGCTAACTCATAGGCTAGTGAGCTTGGCTCTTGGATCGATGGTTCAGTGTTTCGAATGGGAGAGAATTGGAGAAGAATGTATTGAGACTAGAGAAATTCCCATGATGCGTCCAGCTACACCGTTGCTTGCCATGTGTAAAGCTCGTCCCATTGTTCATAACATTCTCGATGCTTCTGCTTGAATTGTAACTCTCCTTGGTTTGTCTTTGTGCTCGGAAATAATGTATGAATGATCTTGTTTCATTTCGATATATATAAGTTCTTATTTCTCGCGATATATGCCATATTCGTTTTTCATCCCAACGTTGCGTCTTAATGCAAATGCTTGCTCATTTTGGTTTTGGACACTAATAATTGTGAAAACAAGAAAGCTGATGGAAACAAATTATGATATTTTAGTATTTTACCATTTCAGAGTATTATTTCGTTGCTGACTAAACGTTAGTGGTGTGGTCAATTCTTCCTTATCACTGTCCCACCATTCTTTATCTTCTTGCTCAAAGTCTCCTTCACATCAACAACCACATGTGTCTATATCCATCGAATCCGCAAAACTGACAGATAAACGTGGATGAGTGCTTGACGCTACCGATCAAGAAAACTACTAGTAAGAAATAATCTCTTCTTGAATTATTTACTCTTTGAAAAAAATTGTACGAAGAGTAAAACCAAAACGCGTGAAACTTGACTATTCAACACAAAGGGCATTTTCTCTATTCGATCAACGTGAAAAACAACACTTCGTACAAAGGCTAGTTAGTGAGTCAAGAGGAGTGGATTTGGAGAGCACTCCTCTATGTGTATATAAAGAGATGGGCATGAAACCATGTCAAACTCACAAATTTCCCTTTTTCGCTTCTTTATCAGTATTGATATTCAAGAAAGTTAAATTAGCTAAAAGAAGAGCGAATTAAGGTTCTTGAAAGTACTGTTTGACCAAAAAAAAAAAAAAAAGTTCTTGAAAGAACTCAATGAGTACCATTCATATTACTCTTTCATTTCTCTCCTTGTTCATTTTTAGTTTTCAAGACCTGTTTGCCGCTTCTACTAGACACTTGTGTCGTCCTGAGCAAAGGGATGCACTCCTCGATCTCCTGAACGAGTTTGAGATTCGGAAGTCTTCTTTTGATGAGTGTTATATTAATGGTAGCTATGTAAGCCCTTTTCCGAAGACGGTGTCATGGAAAAATGACAGCGACTGTTGTTATTGGGATGGTATCAAGTGTGATGCCAAGTCTGGGGAAGTGATCGAGCTAGACCTCAGTTGCAACGGCCTCCATGGCAGGTTACATTCGAATAGCAGTCTTTTTAGGCTTCAAAACTTTCGTTTTCTAACCACTCTACACCTTTCTAGTAATAAGTTTACTGGCCAAATTCCATCTTCACTTGGAAACCTTTCTCATCTCACCTCTCTCGACCTTTCTGTTAATCAGTTTTCTGGTCAGATTCCGTCTTCACTTGGAATGCTCTCTCATCTAAACTATCTCGATCTATCTGTTAATCAGTTTTCTGGTCAGATTCCATCTTATATGGGAAAATTTTCTCATCTCACATCTCTCTATCTTTCATATAATCAGTTTTTGGGTCAGATCCCATCTTCACTTGGTAGCCTTTCGCATCTCACCCATCTCGATCTTTCTTTTAACAGTTTGGTTGGTGAAATCCCATCTTCTTTTGGGAGTTTGAACCAATTGACCAGGTTAGAAGTTGGTTCCAATAAGCTCAGTGGTAACTTTCCCATTGTATTACTAAATTTGACAAAGCTGTCGGTTCTAATTCTCGCCTCCAATAAATTCACAGGAACGCTTCCTTCTTCTCTCTTCACCATTCCTTCTTTGAATACTATATTTTTGAGTAATAACAACTTCAATGGCACTCTTGAGTTTGGGAATATATCTTCACAGTCTCAGCTACAACTGTTGACCCTTGGAAATAACAATTTCATAGGGCCAATCCCGAGATATATTCCCAAATTAGTCAATCTTAAGGTTCTTGAACTTTCACATTGGAGCACCCAAGGCCCAGTTGACTTCAGTATTTTCTCGCACCTCAAGTCAATCCAAACGCTTATGTTAGGCCATTTGAACACCACAACTACCATTGACTTGGATGCAATTTTATCATGTTCCAAGTCGCTTCGTTCATTGTATCTCTCAGGCAACCATGTTTTCACAACGAGCAAAAGATCAGTCTCAGATCTTCCTTCGCAATCAATAGACACTTTGTACTTGTCAGGCTGCGGTATTACCGAATTTCCAGAGCTTCTAAGAACCCTTGAGCATCTGCAGCAGCTAGACATTTCCAACAACAAGATCACAGGTCAAGTCCCTGGCTGGCTATGGAAGCTACCAGATCTGTATTCCGTGTATCTTTCCAGCAACAATTTTACTGGAAGGATTCCTTCTTTCATCTGCGAGTTGAGGTCTCTAAGGATTCTCGATTTGTCAAACAACAGCTTTAGTGGTTCAATCCCTCTTTGCATGGGAAATCTCAAGAGTACTCTTTCAGTTCTAAACCTTCGCCAAAATCGTCTTAGTGGTGATCTTCCGGAGAATGTATTTCAAAGTCTAAGGTCGCTTGACGTAGGTCATAACCAGTTGGTGGGAACGCTTCCAAGATCTTTGATCCGTTTATCTAATCTTGAAGTTTTAAATGTGGAAAGCAACAGAATCAATGACACTTTTCCCTTGTGGTTGAGTTCTCTTCAGAAACTGCAAGTTCTTGTCTTACGCTCCAACGCATTCCATGGACCAATACGTCAAGCCTCCTTCCTTACGCTGAAAATCATCGACATCTCACATAATCATTTCAATGGAATTTTACCATCGGATTATTTTGTGAAATGGAGTAATATGTCATCACTTGGGGCAAACGAGGATCTTCCGAATGAAAGGTACATGGGAGATGAGTATTACCGGGATTCAATTGTTTTGGTGAATAAAGGTGTAGAGTTGGAGTATGAACGTATCCTTAAAATCCACACAGCAATCGACTTCTCCGGAAACAAATTTGAAGGAGAGATTCCAAGCTCCATCGGTCTATTGAGAGAGCTTCATGTGCTAAACTTGTCAAACAATGCTTTCACTGGCCACATCCCATCATCTATGGGGAACCTGTCAGCTCTCGAGTCACTAGATGTTTCCAGAAACAAGCTCTCAGGAGAAATCCCACAAGAGTTAGGGAATCTCTCGTCCCTGGCGTACATGAACTTCTCTCATAACCAGCTTGGAGGTCTCATACCGGGAGGCACTCAGTTTCGAAGGCAGCCTTGCTCTTCTTTCGGAGATAACGCAGGACTTTATGGACCTTCTCTTGATGACGTTTGCAAAGATATCCACCTTCCAGCAACGCAACAGGATGAGACGCCAGAGGCAGAGGAAGAAGATGAAGAGGTGTTTAGTTGGATTGCAGCTGCAATAGGATTTGGACCTGGTATTGTGTTTGGATTGACGATTGGATATATAATGGTTTTTTTACGAACCAGAGTGGTTCACAAATCCATTCCGCCGAAACAAACACAGAAGCAGAGCACCACTACTCATTAGAGAGGTAATGTTCCTAATTTCAAAGAATTAACGTATTAAGAAGTGAAATTAACGTATTAAGCTATTTTTGTTTGTAGAGCCTTCTCTAATACAAGTTGGACAATCTTTGAAAAAGAGAACTAAGCAGTCAAGCCAAATAGACTGTAGGGAAAGGAGCTTGGGGAGAACACGAGACAACCCATCAATGTCCTTAGTTTTTTTGTTATCGTTTTCAGTTTAGCTTTGTGTGTTAATATTTTACTCTGTTTTTAGTAACTCTGTTTGTGTGGTGTTTCCCTGTAACTGAACACTGAATAATATTTTTGTTTCTATTTTTCCATTGGTGATATTAATTAGCTTAGTAAAATGATAACTTACAGTACTTAGCGCATTGAAAGAGATTTCCCTCTGTATATATATTTTCTTTTCAGTAAGTTACAGTTGACTTTATAATCACTTAACTCGAGCATCAATGCCAGCTTTGCCATCACAATGACAAAATGATCGACTGAAATCTGATAAGAAATAAACTTGTGAATTTCAAACATATGAGAGTATCACTAATGGACATGCTCTAAAAATGTGGTATCACTTGTGAATTTGATACTTTTAAAAATGTGGTATCATACAAATAGTGTTTTTGAAAAGGTGGAGATGAGATCATTGTTTATGATTATTGATTTGACCAATGCACATGCTCTTAGAGGGTGATGATGTTTCACCGGATAAAAGACGAAGACTTGAAAAGTCAACACCGGTCTTCTTCCTTATTATTGTCCCACCATTCTTGTCTTCTTCCTCGAAATCTTCTTCACATGGACAACTACATACTTCTTTAATTACCCATCGAAAGAAAACCTGACAGATGAGTACAATTACTAGTAAGAAAATATCACTTGTTAAGTTATTTACTCTTTAAAATATCTTGTACGTACGAAAAGCAAAACCAAAATGTACTCCACTATCCAACACAAAGGCATTTACTCTCTTCACGTGCATAACCATTCGTACAAGGACTAGATAATGAGTCAAGCTGAGTGGACTTGGAGCAGTGTCTTTGTGTATATATTATAAACAGATGGTCCTGAAACCATTTTACCATCACAAACTTCCATCTTTCTCTTAAAGAAGAAGAACAAAAATAAGACTCTTGAAAGAACTCAATGAGTAGCCTTCATATTACACTTTCTTTCCTCTTGTTGCTCATTTTTAATCTTCAAGACCTGTCTGCGGCTCCTAGTAGACACTTGTGTCATCCTGAACAAAGGGATGCCCTTCTCGAGTTCAAGAAGGAGTTTGAGATTCAGAAGACTCACCCTGATGATTATTGTTATTCAGAATTCCTCGGTAGCTCCGTAAGCCCTCATCCGAAGACGGTGTCATGGACAAATAACAGCGACTGTTGTCATTGGGAGGGTATCAAGTGTGATGCCAAGTCTGGAAAAGTGATCAAGCTAGACCTCAGTTGCAGTGGCCTCCACGGCAGGTTACATTCGAATACCAGTCTTTTTAGGCTTCAAAACATTCGTTTTCTAGACCTTTCCCAAAATAACTTACATGGTCAAATCCCATCCTCGGTTGGGAAACTTTCTCACCTCACTTGTCTCCATCTTTTTCAGAATCAATTATTGGGTCAGATTCTGTCCTCACTTGGGAATCTTTCTCATCTCACCTCTCTCCATCTTTCTAATAATCAGTTTTCCGGTCATATCCCATCTTCAATTGGAAACATTTCTCATCTCACCTCTCTCTCCCTTTCTAATAATAATTTTACTTCCCATATTCCATCTTCGATTGGACATCTCTCTGGTCTCACCTCTCTCGACCTTTCTTTTAATCAGTTTTCGAGTCAGATTCCATCTTCAATTGGAAACCTCTCGCAACTCACATCTCTCGAGCTTTCACATAATAATTTCACTGGCCAGATTCCGTTCTCAGTTGGAGATCTCTCTCATCTTACTTCTCTCGATTTTTCTCAAAATCAGTTTTCCTGTCAGATTCCATCTTCAATTGGAAAGCTCTCTCATCTCTCATCTTTTTCTCTTTCTACTAATCAGTTTTCTGGTCAGATTCCATCCTCAATCGGAAACCTCTCTAATCTCACATCTCTCTCTCTTTCTGATAATCTGTTTTCGAGTCAGGTTCCATCTTCATTTGGAAACCTCTCTCAACTCACATCTCTCGATCTTTCTAAAAATAACTTTACCGGCAAGATTCCCTTCTCAATCGGAAAGCTCTCTCAGCTCACATCTCTCTCTCTTATCGATAACCGGTTTTCCGGTCAGATCCCATCGTCGATTGGAAATCTCTCGGGTCTCACCTATCTCGGACTTTCTAGAAACAGTTTCGTTGGTGAAATCCCATCATCTTTCGGCAGTTTGAACCAACTGTCCATGTTCTTTGTAAGTCTGAACAAGCTCAGCGGTAACTTCCCCATCACGCTACTGAATTTGACAGAGCTGTCGTATCTATCACTCTCCTCCAATAACTTCACTGGAACGCTTCCTCCGAAACATCAACTCACTCTCCAACTTGCTCTGTGTTTACGCAGACGACAACAGTTTCGTCGGAAGCATTCCTTCTTCTCTCTTCACCATTCCTTCTTTGACCAATATTGACTTCAGTAACAACAACCTCAACGGCACTCTTGAGTTTGGGGATGGGAATACTTCTTCACCGTCTACGCTACAAGAGCTGCTCCTTGGAAACAACAACTTGAGAGAGCTAAGCTTGAGGTCTGGCTCCAGGCTTGTCAATCTTCAGAACCTCAACATTTCCAACAATGAGATCAACGGTCAAGTGCCTCGCTGGTTATGGACGCTACCGTATTTGCGTTACGTGGATCTTTCCAACAACGGTTTCATCGGTTTCGAAAGATCAGCGAAACATGGACTAATGTCTGCTTTGTCCAACTTGTTTGGCTCCAACAACAGTTTCAGGAAAGATTCCTTCTTTCATATGCGAGTTCCGGTCTCTAAGCATTCTCGATTTGTCATACAACAACTTCAATGGTTCAATTCCTCTTTGCATGGGAAATCTCAAGAGTAATCTTTCAGTTCTAAATCTTTGTCAAAATCGTCTTACTGGAGGTCTTCCGGAGAGTGTATTTGAAAATCTAAGATCACTTGATGTCGGTCATAACCAGTTGGCAGGAAAGCTTCCAAGATCTTTAATCCATTTCTCCAATCTTGAAGTTTTAATGTGGAAAGCAACAATCAACGACACGTTTCCGTTCTGGATGAGTTCTCTTCAGAAACTGCAAGTTCTAGTCTTACGCTCCAACGCATTCCATGGACCCATACGTCAAGCCTCGTTCGGTACGCTGAAAATCATTGACATCTCACATAATCACTTCATCGGAACTTTGCCATCAGATTACTTTCTCAACTGGAGTGCCATGTCATTACTTGGGGCAAACGAAGGTCGGCCATATGAAAGTTACATGCGAGATCGATCAGGCTATTACCGCGATTCAATTATTTTGGTGAATAAAGGCGTAGAGTTGGAACTAGTACGTATCCTACGGACCTACACAGCAATCGACTTCTCCGGAAACAGACTTGAAGGAGAGATTCCAAGCTCCATTGGTTTATTGAAAGAGCTTCATGTGCTGAGCTTGTCAAACAATGCTTTCACTGACCACATCCCATCTTTCATATGCGAGTTGGGCTCTCTAAGCATTCTCGATTTATCAAACAACGACTTAAATGGTTCTATCCCTCCTTGTCTGGGAAATCTCAAAGGTACACTTTCAGTTCTAAACCTTCGCCAGAATCGTCTTAGTGGAGGTCTTCCCGAGAATGTATTTCAAAGTCTACGGTCGCTTGATGTCGGTCATAACCAATTGGTGGGAAAGCTTCCAAGATCTTTGATTCATTTCTCTAATCTTGAAGTTTTTAACGTGGAAAGCAACAATATCAACGACACCTTTCCGCTCTGGTTGAGTTCTCTACAAAATCTGCAAGTTCTTGTCTTACGCTCCAACACATTCTATGGGACGATCCATCAAGCCTCGTTCCATTCGCTGAAAATCATCGACATTTCACATAATCATTTCAATGGAATTTTACCATCGGATTATTTTGTGAAATGGAGTAATATGTCATCACTTAAGGCAAACGAGGATCTTCTGAATGAAAGTTACATGGGAAATGGCTATTACCAGGATTCAGTTGTTTTGGTGATTAAAGGTGTAGAGTTGAAGTATGAACGTATCCTTAAAATCTTCGTAGCACTCGACTTCTCTGGAAACAGATTCGAAGGAGAGATTCCAAGGTCAATCGGTCTATTGAAAGAGCTTCATGTGCTCAACTTGTCAAACAATGCTTTCACTGGCCACATCCCTTCATCTATGGGGAATCTGACAGCTCTCGAGTCACTAGACGTTTCCAGAAACAAGCTTTCTGGAGAAATTCCACAAGAGTTAGGGAATCTGTCGTTCCTTTCGCACATGAATTTCTCCCATAACCAGCTTGTAGGTCTAGTACCAGGTGGCACTCAGTTTCGAACGCAGCCTTGCTCTTCTTTTGAGTACAACTCAGGACTTTTTGGCTCTTCTCTTGACGACGATTGTCCATCATCGCAACAATATGAGACGCCAGGGGCAAAGGAAGAAGAAGAAGATGAAGAAGAAGAGGTGTTTAGTTGGATTGCAGCTGCTATAGGATTTGGACCTGGAGCTGTGTTAGGATTGACGATTGGATACGTATTGGTTTTTTATAAACCAAAGTGGTTCACGATTCCTTTTCGCCGAAGCAAACACAGAAGCACAAGCACCACTACTCATTAGAGAGGTAATGTTCTGCATTTCAAAGAATTAACACTATATATTATATTTATAATAATATAATTTTCTGGATGGATTAATAAGTTAAATTAACGTATCAAGTTATTTTTGTTTGTAGAGCCAAATGGACTGCAGAGAAAGAAGCTTGGGGAGATCAAGACGAGACAACCCATCAATGTCCCAATATTTTAGCTTTTGTTGCTATCGTTTTCAGTTCAGCTTTGTGTGTTAATCTTTTACCCCTTCTTTAGTAACTCTGTTTGTGTTGTGTGTCCCTGTAACTGAACACTGAACAAATCTGTTTTCCAAGCTCAAACATAGAGCTATTTATTATAATTCAGAGGGATTAATGGTCTTGCTCTGACAGGTTCCGACTAAATATGTTCTTCTTCTGTCCAGTGAAGAACAAACATCTCAGAAGATAGTTATAGATCCTATCCCAATCTTGAGATAGCTGATTGAAAAGAATGCGTTGGATAATATATTTTGAGAAATGATTAAGAAAAACGTGCCAAGAAGTTAGCGGAGGGTGACACTATGATGGATCGCTTGCTTTCTCTCCAAGAAACCCAGATATCACTTTTTTAATAATAATAATTACGATATATATGTAAAGTACCGACACTTTTTTTTATAATAGTAATCAAATTGCAACATCACAAAGTCACTGAACAAATCATTGAAAACAAATTCGAACAATGAAAAACGTACAAATTCGAACAAAGAAACCAAACAAACTGATAGATTATACAATTTTATAAAAAATTCTGATTTTCTACTATTTTGCTATTATTGGTTACTGATGAACAATTTCACCTCTGTGCGCTGTAGACTCTTCGTCGACTATGGGTCTGACTGGTTTAACCGCTGCGGTTGCGGTTGCGGGAGTTTGCGGCTGCGGGAGTTTGCGGAAGCGGGAGTTTGCGATTAAAAGCTGTTTGTACGACTGGTATAGCAATTCATAGCGGTTGCGTTTGCGGGATATTTTTGACTGGTTAGCCAGCGGGTGCAAGAGCGGTTTAACCAAAAGTTACTAAAATAAAAATAATATATAATTATTCAAAACATTTATAACCATATTAATAATTTTTTTTTTGAAATATATTTTTTGATGAATTTTTAATTTGAAAACTACCCTTTTTTTTGGTTTTGAAAAATACACTTTTTATATGTAAAATGATTATTCCTAATTTAATAAAAACGAAATTCAAATAAGAAATATAAAATATTAATATTTGATAATAATTTTGTATCATTTTAACATCCTAATTACCTGTTTAGTTTTTTTTAAACAATTTAATAAAAATATAAGATTGTTTATATAAAGTTTAAATGGGGTGAGATTAAAGTTGTTTATGCAAAGTTTCAAAAATATTTAAATTTTTCAAAAGATAAACATTAAAAATGAAAGATATATTTCTCCACTTTTAAATTTTTAATAATTTATAAACTTTAAATATATGTAAAGTTTTAATTTATTTAAAGTTTCATTTGGTTTGAATGTGTATGAGGTTAAGTTGTTTATATAAAGATCCAAAATATTAAAATTTGTTTCAGTTTAACATATACTATATTTATTTGAAAAAAAACTTATTAGTTTATTATTTTTTTAAATTTTCGTTTATAATTTGTAATTATTTATTATTTTTTTGTTTAAATCACGTCAAAACATACTTTTTACATTTTAAAAGTGTATTTTTCAAAACAGAAAAAATTTAGGGTATTTTCGAAATTTTTAAACATAATTATGGTATTTTTCAAAAAAATATACCCTTATTCCAAATTTGGAGATATTATGTTTTTTTTTTTTTTTTTTCAAACCGCAACCGCCCGCAACCGCAAACGCTTGCGGAAAGGAGCTTTTGATTTTCAGCGATATAGAGCGGTACAGAGTGGTATAGAGCGGTTGAAAGCGGTTGTCGTGATTGTTATAAAACGCTAAGAACCGCTACGAACCGCAAACGCTGCGTTTGCGGGTGGTAGCGGGAGAACCAATCATCACCTATGTCGTACATTCACTCTTGAGATTTTTCATGCATTGTAATTTCCCGCCATTTTTTCTTAAATTTCTCTCTACATGTGTACTTGTACTTGTTATTTATCTGCGAAATGAGTGAAAATGATGTTGCTTATGTAAAGAGAAATTTTGTGACCTTTTTGACACTACAAAGTCTCTAGGTTCACAAGCGTACCAAAATTAAAATTGATCAGGCTCAAGATGATTCACTGGCAGCAGATTTACCCGGTGATTCACAGGCAGCATAAAAATGTATCAATGCTCATGATGATTCTTGAGTCTGCAATAAATTCAAAAAGAAAACTCTAATTGATTGTTTCACGGGACAAAAGAAGATGACTTTCAAAGTCAAGTCCAGTATTCTTCCTTATTATCCCCACGAATAATTTCAGTCCTCTCATTCTCCTATAATCTTATCTTCTTCCTCAAAGCATCTTCACATCCACCACATGTATCTTCTTCATCCGTTGATCGTAAAATTGACAGACATTACAGATAACTCTTGACCCTACCGTTCATTACCAGCTAGTAACATATATCAGTCATCTGTACCTGTAGCGTCTATTCTCATCTGAGATTATTTTTTAATGAGACTTTCGTTATTATTTTTGTGCGTATAGCGTTTAATCTGGCTGGACCATTAAGTTTTTGAAAGTTCTTGCAATGAATATAAATCCAAAAATGTGTGGAAATTGATTATTCAACACAGGGACTTTTACTCTCTTCGTCCAACGTGAATGACACTTCGGACAAAGACTAGATGGTGTGGTGACTGGTGAGTGAAGCTGAGTGGATATGGAGCAGTGTCTATGTGTATATAAAGAGATGGGCATGAAACATATATTACCATCACAAATTTCCATCGTTCGCTTCTTTATCACTATTGATAAGAAACACACAAAAATAAGACTCTTGAAAGTAGTCAATCATGAGTAGCATTCATATCACTCTTTCTTTTCTCTTCTTGTTCATTTTTAATCTTCAAGACCTGTTTGCGGCTCCTACTAGACACCTGTGTCGTCCTGAGCAAAGGGATGCCCTTCTCGAGTTCAAGAACGAGTTTAAGATTCGGAAGCCTTCTTTTCATGACTGTTATATTAATGGCAGCTATGTAAATGTAAGCTCTTATCCGAAGACGGAGTCGTGGAAAAATAACAGCGACTGTTGTTATTGGGACGGTGTCAAGTGCCATGCCAAGTCAGGGGAAGTGATCGAGCTAGACCTCAGTTGCAGCTGCCTCCATGGCAGGTTACATTCGAATAGCAGTCTTTTTAGGCTTCAAAACTTTCCTTCTCTAACCACTCTACACCTTTCACAAAATCATTTATCTGGTCAGATTCCGTCTATAATTGAAAACCTTTCTAATCTCACCTCTCTCGACCTTTCTGCTAATCAGTTTTTTGGTCAGATCCCATTTTCACTTGGAAATATTTCTCATCTCACCTCTCTCTCTCTTTCTGGTAATCAGTTTTCTGGTCAGATTCCATCCTCACTTGGAAACCTTTCTTATCTCACATCTCTCCAGCTTTCGGGTAATCAGTTTTCTGGTCAGATTCCGTCTTCAATTGGCAACCTTTCGCATCTCGCCTATCTCTTTCTTTCTTATAACAGTTTCGTTGGTGAAATCCCATCTTCTTTTGGTAGTTTGAACCAGTTGACCAGGTTATTTGTTGATTCCAATAAGCTCAGTGGTAACTTTCCCATTCTATTACTAAATTTGACAAAGCTGTCCTTTCTATCACTCTCCTCCAACCAGTTCACAGGAACGCTTCCTCCAAACATCACCTCACTCTCCAACTTGGAGTATTTTTTCGCAGATGGCAACAGTTTCGTTGGAAGCCTTCCTTCCTCTCTCTTCACCATTCCTTCTTTGACCACTATATATTTGGGTAATAACAACCTCAACGGCACTCTTGAGTTTGGGAATATATCTTCACCATCTCAGCTACAAGCTTTAGGCCTTGGAAAGAACAACTTCAGAGGGCCAATCCCGAGATCTATTTCCAAATTAGTCAATCTTGAGACTCTTGACCTTTCCCATTGGAACACCCAAGGCCCAGTTGACTTCACTATCTTCTCGCACCTCAAGTCAATCCAGATTCTTACATTAGCCCATTTGAACACCACATCTACGATTGACTTGAATGCAATCTTATCATGTTTCAAGTCACTTGTTGCATTGGCTCTCTGAGGCAACCATGTTTTAACAACCAGCAAAAGTTCAGTCTCACATCCTCCTTCGCAATCGATAGACGAATTATACTTGTCAGGCTGCGGTATTACCGAATTTCCAGAGGTTGTAAGAACTTTTGAGCATCTGGAGCGGCTAGACATTTCCAACAACAAAATCACATGTCAAGTGCCTGGCTGGTTATGGACACTACCAAAACTGTTTTACATGAATCTTTCCAACAATACTTTCATCGGTTTTGAAAGATCAACAAGACACGGACTATCCTCTGTCTTGACGTACTTGTTGGGCTCCAAAAACAATTTCACAGGAAAGATTCCTTCTTTCATATGCGAGTTGCGCTCTCTAAGCATTCTCGATTTGTCAAACAACAACTTCAGTGGTTCAATCTCTCAGTGTATGGAAAAACTCAACAGTAGTATTTCAGTTCTAAACCTTTGTCAGAACCATCTTAGTGGCGATCTTCCGGAGAGTGTATTTGAAAACCTAAGATCACTTGATGTCGGTCATAACCAGTTGGCGGGAAAGCTTCCAAGATCTTTGATCCATTTCTCTAATCTTGAAGTTTTTAATGTGGAAAGCAACAAAATCAACGACACATTTCCGTTCTGGATGAGTTCTCTTCAGAAACTGCAAGTTCTAGTCTTACGCTCCAACGCATTCCATGGACCCATACATCAAGCCTCGTTTCTTAAGATGAAAATCATCGACATCTCACATAACCACCTCATCGGAACTTTGCCAGCAGATTACTTTTTGAACTGGACTGCCATGTCATCACTTGAAGTTAGGACGAACGAAGATCAGTCGACTGAACCTTACATGGGAGATAAATCAGGTTATTACCAGGATTCAATGGTTTTTGTTAAGTTTCCTTGGCATCCAACCTAAAACCAATTGGCAATAGGTGGAGTGGCCTCAGTCCCTTATATATCGCTTAAGGTCCCTTCCCACTTCCAATGTGGGACTTAGCTTGCACACTCTCTTAGAGAGTAAGGCCTTATGGCCCATTAACCTCTACATATCTCAATACCCTCCCTCGAGATAATGGTCATTTTAACCATTAATCGCGCAGACCATCAAATCCTAGGGTCGGGGGGTCGAGCCCTTTCTGGGCCGGGTTGAGAGAGAGTGTGCGGGTCAAGCTCTGATACCATGTTAAGTTTCCTTGGCATCCAACCTAAAACCAATTGGCAATAGGTGGAGTGGCCTCAGTCCCTTATATATCGCTTAAGGTCCCTTCCCACTTCCAATGTGGGACTTAGCTTGCACACTCTCTTAGAGAGTAAGGCCTTATGGCCCATTAACCTCTACATATCTCAATAGTTTTGGTAAACAGAGGTGTAGAGTTGGAGCTGGTACGTATCTTAAAAATCTACACAGCAATCGACTTCTCCGGAAACAGAGTTGAAGGAGAGATTCCAAGGTCAATCGGTCTATTGAAAGAGCTTCATGTGCTCAACTTGTCAAATAATGCTTTTACAGGCCACATCCCATCATCTATGGGGAACCTGTCAGCTCTCGAGTCACTTGACGTTTCCAGAAACAAGCTGTCTGGAGCAATTCCGCAAGAGTTAGGGAATCTCTCGTTCCTTGCGTACATGAACTTCTCCCATAACCATCTCAGAGGTCTCGTACCGGGAGGCACTCAGTTTCGAAGGCAGCCTTGCTCTTCCTTTGGGTACAACTCAGGACTTTTTGGCTCTTCTCTTGACGACGATTGTCCATCATCGCAACAAGATGAGACGCCAGATGCAGAGGAAGAAGATGAACATGAAGAGGTGTTTAGTTGGATTGCAGCTGCTATAGGATTTGGACCTGGTATTGTGTTAGGATTGACGATCGGATACATACTGTTTGTTTACAAACCAGAGTGGTTTAGAAACAAACACAGAAGCAGAAGCACCACAACTCGTTGAGAGAGGTAATGTTCTGCATTTGAAGGTTTTTTTTTGGATTAACTAATAAGTGAAAATTAACGTAATAAGTTATATCTTTTTGTAGAGCCTTCTTAAACCCAAGTTGAAGAATCTGTGAAAAAAAAAAAAGAGAACGAAGAAAATCCAAATAAAATGGATTGTAGAGAAAGAAGCTTGGGAGAGAAGACAACACAACAATATCGCAATTAGTACTTAGTTTCGTATGTTGATCGGTTTGTCACGGTCTTTGTTGCTGTTATTGTTTCTGGTTTGGCTTTTGGTGTGTTTTTCTTTTACTCTGTTCTACATTGAACAACTCTGTTTTCAAATCTCAAACTTATTCCTCTCTATTAGAAATTTAGAGAGCTAGTATTTTTCTTGCTTTGCCAGATTCCATCTAAATCTTGACCGCAAAACACATGTTCATTACAACTACTAGTAAAAATCATCTCTTCTTGAATTATTTTTCTTGGTCATATCTGCAAGCAACTGTCTTAATCTCTTTTTTTATAGCGTATATTCTGATCTGAGATTTCTTTTTCAGTAAGACTTTCGTTATTATCTTTGTGTGTGTGTGTATAGCTTTTAATTTGGCCGGGCCAACAATTTTTTGAAATTTCTTGTGATGTACTTAAAACCAAAATGTGTTGAAATTGACTCTTAAACACAAAGACTTTAACTCTCTCTCTTCGTCCAACGTAAATAACACTAGATGGTGAGTCTAAATGAGTGGATTTGAAGCATTGTCTATGTGTATATAAAGAGATGGGCATCAAAAGCAGTTACACATCATTTTCCATTTTTTTTGCTTCTTCTTCATTGTTGATAAATTTAAGAATAGTAAAAGGCTCTTGAAAGTACTTGATGACTACCATTTATATTACTCTTTCTTTTCTCTTCTATTTCATATTTTATTTTCAAAGCGTATCTGCAGTTCCTACAGATAAGAGATCAGTCTGATATTAAATTGACCAACCAACCACTCCAATTAAAACGAAAATCAAAGGAAGTAGAAAAATATCGTTTCAATTCTGATTAATCAAGTAGAGAGTGATGTTTCACGGGACAAAAGACGAAGACTGAGATAGTCGACTCCTGTCTTCTTCCTTATTCTTGTCCCATATTGTCCCATCAATGGTATTATCTTCTTCCTCAACATCCTCTTCACATCAAGGTGGATAATTTTTATGACCGATCAATACCACCAGTACTAGTAAGAAATCATCTCTTAATTAATCATTTTTATCGGTCATCTGTAATTGTCTCAATTTCCTTTGCCTTATATAATTTTGTAATGTCTATTTTCATCTGATTTCTTTTTCATTCTGACGTTGGTTATTATTTGTTGTGTATAGCTTATAATCTGGTTGGACCAGCAATTGTTTGAAATTTCTTGCAAGAGAAGTAAAGTCAAAATGTGTGGAACTCGGCTATTCAACAGAGAGACATTAACTCTCTTCCCTCAATGTGAGTAACACTTTCTACACAAACTAGATGTTAAGTAGAGCTTTAGGTATATAAAAGCTCCTCTGGGAATATTATGAAAATAATACATGCACACACAGTTTGTTCGCAGATATGAGAAAGAAAGGAAAAAAGATAAATTAAAAAACTTAGTAATTCCAAACTATGGAGACATGTATACACAATTAGGTGTTCATTGATACTTCAAAAAACTGTCATATATATATCAGTCATTGATACTTCAAAATTAAACTGTCATACATGTATTAATGTATACACAATTAGATGAACTCTTGACACTACCACCGTTCATTACCAGCTAGTAACATATATCAGTCATCTGTTCCTGTCTTAATCTCTTTTGTAGCGTCTATTCTCATCTGAGATTATTATTTAACGAGACTGAGACTTTCGTTATTAGTTTTGTGTGTATAGCATTTACTCTGACTGGACCATTAAGTGTTTGAAAGTTCTTGTAATGCAAGTAAAATCCAAAATGTGTCGAAATTGATTTATTCAACACAAAGACTTTTGCTCTCTTCCAAAGATTAGTGTCTTACCATGGAGCACTGTCTATGTGTATATAAAGAGATGGGCATGAAACATATCTTACCATCACAAATTTCCATCACAAACATATCTTACCAGCACTGTCTCTTACAAATTTTCACAAATTTCCATCTTTAGCTTCTTTTTCACTACTGATATTCAATAAAGTTAAATTAGCTTAAAGAAACACAAAAAAATAAGACTCTTGAAAGTAGTCAATCATGAGTAGCATTCATATTACTCTTTCGTTTCTCTTCTTGTTCATTTTCAAGTTTCAAGAGCTGTTTGCGGCTCCTACTAGACACTTGTGTCGTCCTGAGCAAAGGGATGCACTTCTCGAGTTCAAGAACGAGCTTGAGATTCGGAATTCTTTGTTTGATATGTGTAATATTAACGGTAGCTATGTAAGCCCTCATCCGAAGACGGAGTCATGGAGAAATTACAGCGACTGTTGTTATTGGGATGGTATCAAGTGTGATGCCAATTCTGGGAAAGTTATCGAGCTAGACCTGAGTTGCAGCTGCCTCCACGGCAGGTTACATTCGAATAGCAGTCTTTTTAGGCTTCAAAACTTTCCTTCTCTAACCACTCTAGACCTTTCACAAAATCAGTTATCTGGTCAGATTCAGTCTATTATTGAAAACCTTTCTCATCTCACCTCTCTCTCCCTTTCTAATAATCAGTTTTTGGGTCAGATTCCGTCTTCAATTGGAAACCTTTCTCATCTCACCTCTCTCGACCTTTCTTATAATCAGTTTTCTGGTCAGATTTCGTCTTCAATTGGAAATCTTTCTCATCTAAACTCTCTCTCTCTCTATCTTTTAATCAGTTTTCTGGTCAGATTCCGCCTTCAATTGGAAAGCTCTCTCATCTCAACTCTCTCTATCTAATTGGTAATCAGTTTTCGGGTCTGATTCCGTCTTCAATTGGTAACCTTTCCCATGTCGCCCATCTCGATCTTTCTAAAAACAGTTTCGTTGGTGAAATCCCATCTTCTTTTGGTGGTTTGAACCAGTTGACTGATTTGGATATTGAGTCCAATAAGCTCAGTGGTAACTTTCCCATTGCATTACTAAATTTGACAAAGCTGTCGTTCTATCACTCTCCTCTAATAAATTCACAGGAACGCTTCCTCCAAACTTCACCTCACTCTCCAACTTGAGGTACTTTTTCGCAAAAGACAACACTTTCGTTGGACCCTTTCCTTCTTTGACCATTATTGATTTGGGTGATAACAACCTCAACGGCACTCTTGAGTTTGAGAATATATCTTCACCATCTCAGCTACAAGATTTATCCCTTGAAAATAACAACTTGAGAGGGCCAATCCCGAGATCTATTTCCAAATTAGTCAAGCTTTATTATCTTGACCTTTCCCATTGGAACACCCAAGGCCCAGTTGACTTCAGTATCTTCTCACATCTCAAGTCGCTCCAAAAGCTTGACTTGTCCCATTTGAACACCACAACTACGATTGACTTGAATGCAATCTTATCATATTTCAAGTCACTGCAAATATTATATCTCTCAGGCAACCATGTTTTAACAAGGAGCAAAAGTTCAGTCTCACATCCTCCTTCGCAATGGATAGACTCTTTATCCTTGTCAGGCTGCGGTATCACCGAGTTTCCAGAGCTTCTAAGAACCCTTGAGCATCTGAAGCGGCTAGACATTTCCAACAACAAAATCACAGGTCAAGTGCCTCGCTGGCTGTGGACACTACCAGAGCTGAGCTATGTGAATCTTTCCAACAATACTTTCATCAGTTTCGAAAGATCAACAAAACACGGACTATCCTCTGTCTTGAAGTACTTGTTTGGCTCTAAAAACAATTTCACAGGAAACATTCCTTCTTTCATCTGCGAGTTTCGCTCTCTAAGCATTCTCGATTTGTCAAACAACAACTTCAGTGGTTCTATCCCTCTTTGCATGGGAAATCTCAAGAGTGATCTTTCAGTTCTAAACCTTTGTCAGAATCATCTTAGCGGTGATCTTCCGGAGAGTGTATTTGAAAATCTAAGATCACTTGATGTCGGTCATAACCAGTTGGCGGGAAAGCTTCCAAGATCTTTGATCCATTTCTCTAATCTTGAAGTTCTTAATGTGGAAAGCAACAGAATCAACGACACGTTTCCCTTCTGGTTGAGTTCTCTACAAAAGTTGCAAGTTCTAGTCTTACGCTCCAACGCATTCCATGGACCCATACGCAAGCCTCGTTCCTTACGTGAAAATCATCGACATATCCCATAATCACTTCATCGGAACTTTGCCATCAGATTACTTTCTCAACTGGAGTGCCATGTCATCGCTTAGTTGAGACAAACGAGATCAGTCGACTTATACTTACATGGGAGATGAAATTGAATATGGCTATTACCACGATTCAATGGTTTTGATGAATAAAGGTGTAGAGTTGGAGCTGGTACGTATCCTTAAAATCTACACGGCAATCGACTTCTCCGGAAACAGATTTGAAGGAGAGATTCCAAGTTCCATCGGTCTATTGAGAGAGCTTCATGTGCTCAACTTGTCAAACAATGCTTTCACTGGCCACATCCCATCATCTATGGGGAACCTGTCAGCTCTCGAGTCACTAGACGTTTCCAGAAACAAGCTCTCAGGAGAAATTCCACAAGAGTTAGGGAATCTCACGTTCCTTGAGTACATGAACTTCTCCCATAACCATCTTAGAGGTCTCGTACCGGGAGGCACTCAGTTTCGAACTCAAAAGTGCTCTTCTTTCGGAGACAACTCAGGACTTTTGGACTCTTCTCTTGAAGACGTTTGCAAAGATGTCCACATTCCAGCATTGCAACAGGATGAGACGCCAGAGGCAGAGGAAGAAGACGAAGGAGGTGTTTAGTTGGATTGCAGCTGCTATAGGATTTGGACCTGGTATTGTGTTGGATTGACGATTGGATACATATTGGCTATTTACAAACCAGAGTGGTTCACGATCCTTTTCGCCGAAACAAACACAGAAGCAGAAGCACCACTACTCATTAGAGAGGTAATGTTCTGAATTTCAAAGTATTTTTTGGATTAACTAATAAGTGAAATTAACGTATTAAGCTATTTTTGGTTGTAGAGCCTTCTTAAACACAAAGTTGAGGAGTCTTTAAAAAAGAGAAAAAAGCTTGGGGAGAAGACAACGCATAAGTTTTTCTGTTATCGTTTTCAGTTTAGCTTGGTGTGTCAATCGTTTACTCTGTTTTTAGTAACTCTGTTTGTGTTGTGTGTAACTCTGAAGAACAAACATCTCAGAAGATTGTTTCTATTTTTATTTTGGTAATATTATTAATTAGCTTAATAAAATGATAACTTACAGTACTTAGCTCATTGAAAGAGATTTCCCTTAGAATATATATTTTCTTTTCAGTTTTAAGTTACAGTTGACTTTATAATCACTTAACTCGAGCATCAATGCCAGCTTTGCCATCACAATGACAAAATGACTGAAAGCTGATAAGAGATAATCTTGTGAATTTCAAACAATAACAATTTTGAAAAGGTGTTATCATAAATATAGTTGTTTTAAAATTTTCCTATGAAGATTTGAGTATTAATAATTTGTGTATGTGATTATAAATTATAGGGGTTTGCGAAGGTGGAGATGAGATCATTGTTTCTGATTGTGGATTTGACCAATGCACATGCTCTTAGAGGGTGATGGTGTTTCACGGGACAAAAGACGAAGACTTGAAAAGTCAACACCGGTCTTCTTCCTTATTATTGTCCCACCATTCTTGTCTTCTTCCTCGAAATCTTCTTCACATGGACAACTACATACTTCTTTAATTACCCATCGAAAGAAAACCTGACAGATGAGTACAATTACTAGTAAGAAATTATCACTTGTTGAATTAGTTACTCTTTAAAATATCTTGTACGAAAAGCAAAACCAAAATGTACACTCCACTATCCAACACAAAGGCATTTACTCTCTTCACGTGAATAATAATTTCGTACAAGGACTAGATAATGAGTCAAGCTGAGTGGACTTGGAGCAGTGTCTATGTGTATATATTATAAACAGATGGTCCTGAAACCATTTTACCATCACAAACTTCCATCTTTCTCTTAAAGAAGAAGAACAAAAATAAGACTCTTGAAAGAACTCAATGAGTAGCCTTCATATTACACTTTCTTTCCTCTTGTTGCTCATTTTTAATCTTCAAGACCTGTCTGCGGCTCCTAGTAGACACTTGTGTCATCCTGAACAAAGGGATGCCCTTCTCGAGTTCAAGAAGGAGTTTGAGATTCAGAAGACTCACCCTGATGATTATTGTTATTCAGAATTCCTCGGTAGCTCCGTAAGCCCTCATCCGAAGACGGTGTCATGGACAAATAACAGCGACTGTTGTCATTGGGAGGGTATCAAGTGTGATGCCAAGTCTGGAAAAGTGATCAAGCTAGACCTCAGTTGCAGTGGCCTCCACGGCAGGTTACATTCGAATACCAGTCTTTTTAGGCTTCAAAACATTCGTTTTCTAGACCTTTCCCAAAATAACTTACATGGTCAAATCCCATCCTCGGTTGGGAAACTTTCTCACCTCACTTGTCTCCATCTTTTTCAGAATCAATTATTGGGTCAGATTCTGTCCTCACTTGGGAATCTTTCTCATCTCACCTCTCTCCATCTTTCTAATAATCAGTTTTCCGGTCATATCCCATCTTCAATTGGAAACATTTCTCATCTCACCTCTCTCTCCCTTTCTAATAATAATTTTACTTCCCATATTCCATCTTCGATTGGACATCTCTCTGGTCTCACCTCTCTCGACCTTTCTTTTAATCAGTTTTCGAGTCAGATTCCATCTTCAATTGGAAACCTCTCGCAACTCACATCTCTCGAGCTTTCACATAATAATTTCACTGGCCAGATTCCGTTCTCAGTTGGAGATCTCTCTCATCTTACTTCTCTCGATTTTTCTCAAAATCAGTTTTCCTGTCAGATTCCATCTTCAATTGGAAAGCTCTCTCATCTCTCATCTTTTTCTCTTTCTACTAATCAGTTTTCTGGTCAGATTCCATCCTCAATCGGAAACCTCTCTAATCTCACATCTCTCTCTCTTTCTGATAATCTGTTTTCGAGTCAGGTTCCATCTTCATTTGGAAACCTCTCTCAACTCACATCTCTCGATCTTTCTAAAAATAACTTTACCGGCAAGATTCCCTTCTCAATCGGAAAGCTCTCTCAGCTCACATCTCTCTCTCTTATCGATAACCGGTTTTCCGGTCAGATCCCATCGTCGATTGGAAATCTCTCGGGTCTCACCTATCTCGGACTTTCTAGAAACAGTTTCGTTGGTGAAATCCCATCATCTTTCGGCAGTTTGAACCAACTGTCCATGTTCTTTGTAAGTCTGAACAAGCTCAGCGGTAACTTCCCCATCACGCTACTGAATTTGACAGAGCTGTCGTATCTATCACTCTCCTCCAATAACTTCACAGGAACGCTTCCTCCAAACATCAACTCACTCTCCAACTTGCTCTGTGTTTACGCAGACGACAACAGTTTCGTCGGAAGCATTCCTTCTTCTCTCTTCACCATTCCTTCTTTGACCAATATTGACTTCAGTAACAACAACCTCAACGGCACTCTTGAGTTTGGGGATGGGAATACTTCTTCACCGTCTACGCTACAAGAGCTGCTCCTTGGAAACAACAACTTGAGAGAGCTAAGCTTGAGGTCTGGCTCCAGGCTTGTCAATCTTCAGAACCTCAACATTTCCAACAATGAGATCAACGGTCAAGTGCCTCGCTGGTTATGGACGCTACCGTATTTGCGTTACGTGGATCTTTCCAACAACGGTTTCATCGGTTTCGAAAGATCAGCGAAACATGGACTAATGTCTGCTTTGTCCAACTTGTTTGGCTCCAACAACAGTTTCACTGGAAACATTCCTTCTTTCATATGCGACTTCCGATCTCTAAGCATTCTCGATTTATCAGACAACAACTTCAATGGCTCAATCCCTCTTTGCATGGGAAATCTCAAAACTACTCTCTCATATCTGAAACTTCGCCAGAATCGTCTTACTGGTGCTCTTCCGGATAACGTATTTGAACGTCTAAGATCGCTTGACATCGGTCATAACCAGTTGGCGGGAAAGCTTCCAAGATCTTTGATCCATTTCTCTGATCTTGAAGTTTTAAATGTGGGAAGCAATAACTTCAACGACACGTTTCCCTTCTGGTTGAGTTCTCTTCAGAAACTGCAAGTTCTTGTCTTACGCTCCAACGTATTCCATGGACCGATACGTCAAGCCTCGTTCCCTAACCTGAAAATCATCGACATCTCACACAATCACTTCATTGGAGCTTTGCCATCAGATTACTTTCGGAAATGGAGTGCCATGTCATCACTTGGGGCAAACGAAGATCAGTCGACTGAAAGTTACATGGGAGATGAATATGGCTATTACCACGATTCGATGGTTTTGGTGAATAAAGGTGTAGAGTTGGAGCTGGTACGTATCTTGAAAATCTACACGGCAATTGACTTCTCCGGAAACAGTTTTGAAGGAGAGATTCCAAGCTCCATTGGTCTATTGAGAGAGCTTCATGTGCTCAACTTGTCAAACAATGCTTTCACTGGCCACATCCCTTCATCTATGGGGAAGTTGACAGCTCTCGAGTCACTGGACGTTTCCCAAAACAAGCTTTCTGGAGAAATTCCACAAGACTTAGGGAATCTCTCGTTCCTTGCGTACATGAACTTCTCTCATAACCATCTTAGAGGTCTCGTACCGGGAGGCACTCAGTTTCGAACGCAGCCTTGCTCTTCTTTTGAGTACAACTCGGGACTTTTTGGCTCTTCTCTTGAAGACGTTTGCAAAGATATCCAAATTCCAGCAACGCAACAAAATGAGACGCCAGATGCAGAGGAAGAAGATGAAGAGGTGTTCAGTTGGATTGCAGCTACTATAGGATTTGGACCTGGTATTGTGTTTGGATTGACGATTGGATACATATATGTTTTTCTACGAACCAGAGTGGTTCAAAAATCCTTTTCGCCGAAACAAACACAGAAGCAAAGCACCACAACTAATTAGAGAGGTATGTTCTGATTTTTAAAAATTAAACACTATATAGTATTATATTTATAATAAAATTTTCTGGATGGATTAATAAGTTAAATTAACGTATCAAGTTATTTTTGTTTGTAGAGCCAAATGGACTGTAGAGAAAGAAGCTTGGGGAGATCAAGACGAGCCAACCCATCAATGTCCCAATATTTTAGTTTTCGTTGTTATCGTTTTCAGTTCAGCTTAGTGAGTTAATCTTTTACTCCGTTTTTAGTAACTCTGTTTTTGTGTTGTGTTTCCCTGTAATTGAACAATGAATAACTCTGTTTTCCAAGCTATGATATGTTCCAACTAAATCTGTTCTTCTGTCCAGTGAAGAACAAACATCTCAGAAGATAGTTATAGATCCTATCCCAATCTTGAGATAGCTGATTGAAAATAATGCGTTGGATAATAAGTTTTGAGAAATGATTAAGAAAAACGTGCCAAAAAGTTAGCGGGTCGGGTCGAAGAAAAGGGTGACACTATGGACGGGGACGTGGGAACCGTGGACGTGGAGGACAAGGCTGACTCTCTACCCTATCTTAAAGTTTATCGAAGCGGAAGATTCGATTTTATCTAGTTTGAAGATGTACTCTAAACTTTATCCTTGCTTGTAACCGTTTTTGGAAACTGCATGACTCAAAATCATAGCCTAATAAAATGTTATTGTTGCTCTTAAAAAAAAAAAAAAAAATACACTATGATGGATGGCTTGCTTTCTCTCCAAGAAACCCAGATATCACTTTTTTTTATATAATAGTAATCAAATTGCAACATCTCAAAGTCATTGAACAAGTCATATAAAACAAATTCGAACAATGAAAAACGTACAAATTCGAACAAAGAAACCAAACAAACTGATAGATTATACAATTTTATAAAAATTTCTGATTTTCTACTTTTTGCTATTATTGGTTACTGATGAACAATTTCACCTCTGTGTGCGCTGTAGACTCATCGTCGACTATGTCGTACATTCACTCTTGAGAGTTTTCAAGCATTGTAATTTCCCGCCATTTTTTCCTTAAATTTCTCTCTACATGTGTGCTTGTTATTTATCCGCAAAATGAGTGAAAATGATGTTGCTTATGTAAAGAGAAATTTTGTGACCTTTTTGACACTACAAAGTCTCTAGGTTCACAAGCGTACCAAAATTAAAATTGATCAGGCTCAAGATGATTCACTGGCAGCAGATTTACCTGGTGATTCAGAGGCAGCATAAAAATGTATCAATGCTCATGATGATTCTTGAATCTGCAATAAATTCCAAAAGAAAACTCTAATTGATTGTTTCACGGGACAAAAGAAGATGACTTTAAAAGTCAATTCCCGTAGGCTTCCTTATAATCCCACCAATAATTCCAGTCCTCTCTTTCTCCTATAATCTTATCTTCTTCCTCAAAATCATCTTCACATCCACCACATGTGTCTTCTTCATCTGTTGATCGTAAAATTGACAGACATTACAGATGAATCTCTTGACCCTACCGTTCATTACCAGCTAGTAACATATATCAGTCATCTGTACCTGTAGCGTCTATTGTCATCTGAGATTATTTTTTATTTTCGTTATTATTTTTGTGTGTATAGCGTTTAATAAGGCTGGACCATTAAGTGTTTGAAATTTCTTCGAATGTAAGTAAATCCAAAAATGTGTGGAAATTGATTATTCAACACAGAGACTTTTACTCTCTCCTTCATCCAACGTGAATAACACTTCGGTACAAAGACTAGATGGTGTGGTGAGTGAAGCTGAGTGGATATGGAGTACTGTCTATGTGTATATAAAGAGATGGGGCATGAAACATATCTTACCATCACAAATTTCCATCTTTGGCTTCTTTGTCATAATTTGATATTCAAGAAAGTTAAATTAGCTTAAAGAAGAAACACAAAAATAAGACTCTTGAAAGTAGTCAATCATGAGTAGCATTCATATCACTCTTTCGTTTCTCTTTTTGTTCATTTTTAAGTTTCAAGAGCTGTTTGCGGCTCCTACTAGACACTTGTGTCGTCCTGAGCAAAGGGATGCACTTCTCGAGTTCAAGAACGAGTTTGAGATTCGGAAGTCTTCTCTTTATGAGTCTCATTTTATCGTTATCACTACAATCCCTTATCCGAAGACGGAGACATGGGAATATAACAACGACTGTTGTTATTGGGAGGGTATCAAGTGTGATGCCAAGTCTGGGGAAGTTATCGAGCTAGATCTCAGTTGCAGCGGCCTCCATGGCAGGCTACATTCGAATAGCATTCTTTTTAGGCTTCAAAACTTTCGTTCTCTAACCACTCTACACCTTTCACAAAATCAGTTATCTGGTCAGATTCTGTCTATAATTGAAAACCTTTCTCATCTTTCCTCTCTCGACCTTTCTTATAATCAGTTTTTTGGTCAGATCCCATTTTCACTTGGAAATCTTTCTCACCTCACCTCTCTCTCCCTTTCATATAATCAGTTTTTTGGTCAGATTTCGTCTTCAATTGGAAATCTTTCTCATCTCACCTCTCTAGATCTTTCTAATAATCGGTTATTGGGCCAGATCCCATCTTCAATTGGAAATATTTCTCATCTCACATCTCTCGATCTTTGGAGTAATCAGTTTTCTGGTCAGATTCCATCTTCACTTGGAAAGCTCTCCCATCTAAACTCCCTCTCTCTATCTTTTAATCAGTTTTCTGGTCAGATTCCGTCTTCCCTTGGAAAGCTCTCTCATCTAAACTCTCTCGATCTGTCTGTTAATCAGTTATCGGGTCTGATTCCGTCTTCAATTGGTAACCTTTCGCATCTCGCCAATCTCGATCTTCCTTTTAACAGTTTCGTTGGTGAAATCCCATCCTCTTTTGGGAGTTTGAACCAATTGACCAGATTACAAGTTGATTCTAATAAGCTCAGTGGTAACTTTCCTATTGCATTACTAAATTTGACAAAGCTGTCGTTTCTAGGAATCTCCGCCAATCAATTCACAGGAACGCTTCCTCCAAACATCACCTCACTCTCCAACTTGGAGTTTTTTTATGCAAATGACAACAATTTCGTTGGAAGCCTTCCTTCTTCTCTCTTCACCATTCCTTCTTTGACCTTTATTGATTTGAGGAAAAACCGACTCAACGGCACTCTTGAGTTTGGGAATATATCTTCAACAACTGAGCTGGAAGTTTTAGCCCTTGGCGGTAACAACTTGAGAGGGCCAATCCCGAGATCTACTTCCCAATTAGTCACTCTTGACCTTCTTGACCTTTCCCATTGGAACACCCAAGGCCCAGTTGACTTCAGTATCTTCTCACATCTCAAATCAATCGAATTTCTTAAATTAGCCCATTTGAACACCACATCTAAGTTTGACTTGAATGCAATCTTATCATGCTTCAAGTCACTTCGTTCATTGGATTTCTCAGGCAACTATGTTTTAACAAGGAGCCAGAGTTCACTTTCAGATCCTCCTTCGCAATCGATAGACCAATTATACTTGTCAGGCTGCGGTATTACCAAATTTCCTGAGCTTCTAAGAACCCTTGAGATCCTGGAGAAGCTAGACATTTCCAACAACAAAATCACAGGTCAAGTGCCTAGCTGGTTGTGGACACTACCAAAATTGAGCTATGTGGATCTTTCCAACAATACTTTCATCAGTTTCGAAAGGTCAACAAAACACAGAATATCCTCTGGTTTGGAGTACTTGTTTGGCTCTAAAAACAATTTCACAGGAAACATTCCTTCTTTCATATGCGAGCTGCGCTCTCTAAGCATTCTCGATTTGTCGAACAACGACTTCAGTGGTTCAATCCCTCTTTGCATGGAAAATCTCAAGAGTAATCTTTCAGTTCTTAACCTTCGCCAAAATTGTCTCAGTGGAGGTCTTCCGGAGAGTGTATTTGAAAATCTAAGATCACTTGACGTCGGTCATAACCAGTTGGCGGGAAAGCTTCCAAGATTGTTGATCCATTTCTCTACTCTTGAAGTTCTAAATGTGGAAAGCAACAACTTCAACGACACGTTTCCGTGCTGGTTGAGTTCTCTACAAAAGCTGCAAGTTCTTGTCTTACGCTCCAACGCATTCCATGGGACGATCCATCAAGCCTCGTTCCTTACGCTGAAAATCATCGACATCTCACATAATCACTTCACTGGAATTTTACCATCGAATTATTTTGTGAACTGGAGGGTCATGTCATCGCTTAGGACAAACGAAGATCGGTCGGATACAAACTACATCGGAGATAAATCTGGTTATTACCACGATTCGATGGTTTTGGTGAATAAAGGTGTAGAGTTGGAGCTGGTACGTATCTTGAAAATCTACACGGCAATCGACTTCTCCGGAAACAGTTTTGAAGGAGAGATTCCAAGCTCCATTGGTCTATTGAGAGAGCTTCATGTGCTCAACTTGTCAAACAATGCTTTCACTGGCCACATCCCTTCATCTATGGGGAAGTTGACAGCTCTCGAGTCACTGGACGTTTCCCAAAACAAGCTTTCTGGAGAAATATTGAAATTAAACTTGATTTTGATCAAGGTTTAATTTTGGGTCCATAAACAAATTATTATTAAACCCAAAATTAGGCCCAAGTTCTAGAACTCTCTAGAAACATCATAAGAGGTCATCACTTCCTCAAATTTTCTAGAGAATTCTACTAGATAACTCTCTAGATATTTATGTAGAACTTTCTAGTTCTTGTAAGACAAAAATCTAGATATTATGTTAGAGAGTTCTAGAGATTAGGATAAACTTGTAAGATAATTTGTAGAAAGTTGTAGAAGAAGAAGAAGAAATATCTAGGACCTAAGGAGGTTATAGAAGAGTGTAGAAACTTTGTAAGTAGATTTGGGAGGCTATAAATACCTCCTCACCCCCTCATTTGTAAATGCACAAGAAATTGAACAAGTTAATAAAGAGTGTTCTAAAGCTAAGTTCTCTCTTGTTCTTCTTAAAAGTCTTTCAAGTATTCTCTTGTGTTCTTCCATATTTCTCTTCATACTTAGAGGGTTTATTGTTTCTTTCGGGTTTCTCGGGTATTACGGTCTTGGGCTAGTGCTAAGCACTATCGGTGCTGGTTTCTCTACATGGTATCAGAGCCATTCTAATCTTGTGCTCATCAAGATCGGGATTTAGGAGAACTCGGGTTTACTCTAAGTATGGAATCAATGGGTCGTGTTGTTGGATTGGGAATGGAGATCTTAAACCAATCTAACTACCGGTTATGGAAGTCATGTATGGAGTCATACTTGGTGAGTGAGGACTTATGGGATGTCGTCGGCGGCAGTAGCACCACACCACCAATGGGAGCTGCTGCGACAGCGGAAGCGACAAAGGAATGGACACGGAAGAATGCCAAGGCGGAGTTTGCATTGAAGAGGTCAATATCCTCGGGAGTATTTGAGCATGTCTCAAGGTGCACATCCGCTAGTTCCATTTGGCAAGCGTTGGACCAACTGTTCAACAAGAAGAATGAGGCTCGTCTACAACTGTTAGAGAACGAGTTGGCGAATGCGAAGCAGGGGGAGTCTTCAATCTCAGAGTTCTTCATCAAGGTAAAGAACCTTTGCTCTGAGATTAACACTCTTAATCCGGAGGAGTCTATTTCGGAAGCTCGGTTAAAGCGGTCTATTATTCGTGGTTTACGACCCGAATATACACCGTTTGTGACTTCCGTTCAAGGATGGGCTACACAACCTTCCTTGGAGGAGTTTGAAAATCTGCTAGCTTCGCAAGAATCCTTAGCCACGCAAATGGCGGGAGTCAAAATCCATGATGACTCGGGGAGCGCTTTTGTAGCTCGGAGGCAACAGAGCTACAAAGGAAAAACCAAGAATGATGGTGTAAAGAATAATGATGGACGGGAAAGATCTTCTACGGGAGACAAGAAGCAGTTCAAGTGTTACCGGTGTGGAAAGCTTGGGCATTTCAAAAAGGACTGTCGGGTCAAGCTGAAGGAAACCAATATGGCGGAATCAAAAAGTCATACTGAAGACGAAGATTGGGGGAAATGTTTCACGGTGGAGGCTGCATCTTCAGGTACATCCACAACTAAAAATCTTGGAAATGATTGGATTGTGGATTCGGGTTGTAGCCATCATATTACCGGAAACGAGAAGTTATTTTCTAGTCTTCAACGTCATGACGGGAAAGAAGCTATTATCACTGCGGATAATTCAATCCACCGGGTTGAGAAGGAAGGGACTATTGTTATTGAAGGAGAAGAAGGAGGCCCAATCACTCTCAAGAACGTATACCATGTCCCTGGAGTTAAGAAGAATCTTCTTTCCGTGGTGAATGCGGTGGACTCAGGTAACTACGTTTTATTTGGACCAAAAGACGTTAAATTCTTGAAGAATATTCAAGAGTTAAAGGCGGACGTAGTTCACACCGGAGCACGGGTTAAAGATCTTTATGTCTTATCGGCCTCAAATTCGTACATTGAGAAGATGAGTACGAATGATAATGCTTTTATTTGGCATGCTAGGCTTGGCCATATAAATATGACTAAGCTGAAGGCTATGGTGAATAAAGATCTGGTTAATGGGCTCCCAAAGTTGAAGATTCAAGATGAAGGAAAGCTTTGTGAAGGTTGTCAATATGGAAAATCACATAGACTTCCATTTGACAATTCTACTTCACGATGCAATGCTCCGTTGGAGAGGATCCATAGTGATTTGATGGGTCCGACGAGAACATCCTCCTATTCCGGGTTCCGCTACATGCTGTTGTTCGTTGATGATTACTCACGGTACACCTGGGTATACTTTGTGAAGGAAAAGTCAGAAGTATTCTCCAAGTTTCAAGAATTCAAGGTTACCGTGGAAGGAGAGTTGGGTCGGAAAATCAAGACCTTAAGGACGGATAATGGAGGGGAGTTTATGTCAAACGAGTTTCTCTCTTTCTGCCGAAAGCATGGTATCAAGAGAGAATTTTCATGTCCATACACACCTCAACAAAATGGAGTAGCAGAAAGGAAGATAAGGCATCTAAGTGAGACGTGTAGAAGCTGGCTACATGCGAAGAATTTGCCTAAGGCTCTATGGGCAGAAGGGATGAGATGTGCAGCCTATGTCATCAATCGGATGCCGCTTAGTCCAAATAATATGAAGTCTCCTTATGAGATGGTTCATGGGAAGAAGCCAACAGTGAAACATCTCAGGATATTTGGATCTATCTGCTATGTCCATGTGTTCGACTCTCAAAGAACCAAGCTGGAGGCAAAGGCGAAAAAGTGCATCTTTGTCGGCTATGATGAACAAAGGAAGGGGTGGAGGTGTATGGATCCAGAGACACACAGATACACTGTATCTCGTGATGTTGTCTTTGATGAAGTGTCTTCATATTACGGATCTCCTCAAGTCTTGGTTGAGCAAGATGGTGCGGGCTCACTTAAAGACGATGAACCAGCTGCTCAGATACCAAGTGATGGTGGAATTTCTGAACCAGAGATGCAAGGTGAAAGGGGGAGCACTAACCAAGAGGAAGAGGAGGAGGAAGATCATGGTTCCTTGGCTAATCAACGACCAAAACGGGACATCGTTAAACCTGCTCGGTACAGAGATGAAAGGTTTGTTACTACTTACTCATGCTACTTTGCATCTCCTTTTGATGAAGAAGAACCATCATCTTATGATGAAGCAAAAGGAGTTAAAGAGTGGGAGACCGCAATGAAGGAGGAGATGGATGCTCTAAAGAAAAATGAAACTTGGGATTTGGTTCCAAAACCCAAGGATGTCCAACCCGTCTCATGCAAATGGGTGTACCGGATCAAGCGTAAGAGGGATGGAAACATTGATAGACACAAAGCAAGATTGGTTGCTCGGGGATTTTCTCAGAAGTATGGAGAAGACTATGATGAGACTTTCAGTCCAGTGGCGAAGATGACTACGGTACGTACACTCTTATCTTTAGCTGCAAGCTTTGGCTGGAAGTTATGGCAGTTAGATGTGAAGAACGCTTTTCTATACGGAGAACTTGATAAAGAAATCTATATGGAGCAACCACTTGGTTACATATCACAAGAGCATCCCGATTATGTTTGCAAGCTAAAGAAGGCTTTGTATGGGTTAAAACAAGCTCCAAGGGCCTGGTATGGAAAGCTTGCTCAGTTTCTTCAGTTTTGCGGTTACTCTCCGTCGAACTCTGATCCGAGTCTGTTCTTCAAGAAGAATGGAGGAGTCCACGTGGTAGTCCTTCTTTATGTGGATGACTTGATAATTACCGGGAATGATGAAGCGGAAATTGCTCGTCTGCAAGAGGATATGTCGATAAGGTTTGAGATGAAGATGTTGGGTGAGCTGAACAACTTTCTTGGTTTGGAGGTTGAAAGGATGAAGGATGGAATATTCATCGGCCAACATAGCTACGCAAGAAGGATTGTAGAGAAGTTCGGGGTACACGAAGGAAAGACACGTACTACTCCGATGGATGCGAACATCAAGCTGAAGCGCGATGAAGGATCCTTGCTACCCGATCCTCGGCCTTATCGTTCTCTTGTGGGAAGTCTTCTATACTTAACCATTACAAGACCTGACATTTCCTTCGCGGTTGGTCTTGTAAGTCGGTTTATGCAGTCACCAAGGAAGCCACATCTAGAAGCGGCAAAGAAGATCTTGAAGTATGTGAAGACAACTCTTGGCATGGGTCTAATGTACAAGTACAATGCCAAGGTCTCTCTCTATGGCTTCACGGATGCTGACTTTGGTGGAGATCTAGATGGTCGAAAATCAACTTCGGGCTTTGTGTTCTTGTGTGGAGACACAAGCGTTTCATGGTGCAGCAAGAAACAAGCAACGGTGTCGCTGTCTACCACTGAAGCGGAGTATAAAGCTTCGACGCTCGCAGCCCAAGAGTGTATTTGGCTTCGAAGGCTTCTTGAAGATTTGTTTGAGCCAATCAACAAGCCGGTTGCCATATATGGAGATAACCAAAGTGCTATCAAGCTGGCTAACAATCCGGTGTTCCATGCAAGGACGAAGCATATTGAGTTGGAACATCACTTCATACGGGAGAAGGTGCTTGATGGAACAATTGAAGCTTTGGAGGTTCGAAGTGAGGATAATGTTGCAGATATCTTCACCAAGTCACTACCAAAAGGTCAGTTCGAGTTACTTCGCTCGAAACTCGGGATGGTTGATAAAATCAAGTTTAAGGGGGAGTATTGAAATTAAACTTGATTTTGATCAAGGTTTAATTTTGGGTCCATAAACAAATTATTATTAAACCCAAAATTAGGCCCAAGTTCTAGAACTCTCTAGAAACATCATAAGAGGTCATCACTTCCTCAAATTTTCTAGAGAATTCTACTAGATAACTCTCTAGATATTTATGTAGAACTTTCTAGTTCTTGTAAGACAAGAAATCTAGATATTATGTTAGAGAGTTCTAGAGATTAGGATAAACTTGTAAGATAATTTGTAGAAAGTTGTAGAAGAAGAAGAAGAAATATCTAGGACCTAAGGAGGTTATAGAAGAGTGTAGAAACTTTGTAAGTAGATTTGGGAGGCTATAAATACCTCCTCACCCCCTCATTTGTAAATGCACAAGAAATTGAACAAGTTAATAAAGAGTGTTCTAAAGCTAAGTTCTCTCTTGTTCTTCTTAAAAGTCTTTCAAGTATTCTCTTGTGTTCTTCCATATTTCTCTTCATACTTAGAGGGTTTATTGTTTCTTTCGGGTTTCTCGGGTATTACGGTCTTGGGCTAGTGCTAAGCACTATCGGTGCTGGTTTCTCTACAAGAAATTCCACAAGACTTAGGGAATCTCTCGTTCCTTGCGTACATGAACTTCTCTCATAACCATCTTAGAGGTCTCGTACCGGGAGGCACTCAATTTGGAACACAAAATTGCTCATCTTTTGCGTACAACGCAGGACTTTTTGGCTCTTCTCTTGACGACGATTGTCCATCATCGCAACAATATGAGACGCCAGATAGAGGAAGAAGATGAAGATGAAGACGAAGAAGAAGAGGTGTTTAGTTGGATTGCAGCTGCTATAGGATCTGGACCTGGTATTGTGCTTGGATTGACAATCGGATACATACTGTTTGTTTACAAACCAGAGTGGTTTAGAAACAAACACAGAAGCAGAAGCACCACAACTCGTTGAGAGAGGTAATGTTCTGCACTTGAAAGTATTTTTTTCTTGGATTAACTGATAAGTGAAACTAACGTAATAAGTTATATCTTTTTGTAGAGCCTTCTTAAACCCAAGTTGAAGAATCTGTGGAAAAAAAAAAGAGACTGAAGAAAATCCAAATAAAATGGATTGTAGAGAAAGAAGCTTTGGGAGAAGACAACCCATTAATGTCCCAACTACTGTTTAGTTTCGTATGTTGATCGGTTTGTCACGGTCTTAGTTGCTGATATTGTTTCTGGTTTGGCTTTTGGTGTGTTTTTCTTTTACTCTGTTCTACATTTGAACAACTCTGTTTTCAAATCTCAAACTTGTTCCTATCTATTAGAATTGGGAGAGCTAGTATTTTTCTTGCTTTGCCAGATTCCAACTAAATCATTCATTCTTCTCCCACTTATATCATTCCACCATTTTTTATATCATTTTTTCTCTACATATATTGCAAAATGATTGAAAACTATATTGCTTATATATAGAGAGAAATGTTTTGACCGTTAGTTAACGGCTTTAGTAACCAGATAAAGCTATAGGTTCACAAAATGAAAAACGTATCATGCTCAAGATGATTCACAGGCAGCAGAATTACCCTAAACTGCCCACCTTCGACGTTGCTGGGCTTCTTAAGTCTGCAATAAATTCCGAAAAGAAAAGTCTAATTGATTGCTGTTGCTGCTGATTGTATCACGGGACAAAAGAAGATGACTTTAAAAGTCAAGTCCTGTATTCTTCCTTATTATCCACCCAATATTTCCAGTCCTCTCTTTCTCCTTTAATCTTATCTTCTTCCTTAAAAATCATGTCCACATGTGTCTTCATCCATTGATCGCAGAATTGACAGACATTACAGAGGAACTCTTGACCGCAAAACCACATGTTCATTACAACTACTAGTAAAAATCATCTTTTCTTGAATTATTTGTCTTGGTCATATCTGCAAGCAACTGTCTTAATCTCTTTTTATGTAGCGTCTGTTCTGATCTTAGATTTCTTTTTCAATAAGACTCTCGTTATTATCTTTGTGTGTTTGGCTAACAATTTTTTGAATTTTCTTGTGTTGAAATGACTCTTAAACACAAAGACTTTTACTCTCTTCTTCGTCCAACGTAAATTACACTAGATGTTGAGTCTAAATGAGTGGATTTGAAGCATTGTCTATGTGTATATAAAGAGATGGACATCAAAAGCAGTTACACATCATTTTCCATTTTTTTTTTGCTTCTTCTTCATTGTTGATAAATTTAAGAACAGTCAAAGGCTCTTGAAAGTACTCGATGACTACCATTCATATTACTCTTTCTTTTCTCTTCTTGTTCATATTTTATTTTCAATACGCATCTGCAGTTCCTACAAATAAGAGATTAGTCTGATATTAAATTGACCAACCAACCTCTCTAATTAAAACGAAGAATCTACGGAAGAATCAAAGGAAGTAGAAAAATGTGTGGAACTCGACTATTCAACACAGAGACATTAACTCTCTTCCCTCAATGTGAATAACACTTTCTACGCAGACTAGATGTTAAATAGAGCTGTATGTATATAAAAGCTCCTCTGGGAATATTATGAATAGAATACATGCACACACAGTTTGTTCGCAGATATGAGAAAGAAAAGAAAATAGATAACTTAAAAAAATTTAGTAGTTCCAAGCTACATGTTGTCTGATAGGTGTTCATTCATACTTCAAAAAATTAATTCAAACACATGTTGTCTGATAGGAAACAGAAAGCAGTAATAATAAACTGTATAATTTGTTTCAATTCAATGTTCTTTTGTGTCCACACCACATACAAATCCTGTTCACACATATTTTCTTACAAAGGTGCAATGAGTTGTTCATGTGATGTGAGGATGCTAATGGTGATATCCAGCTGAGATGGGAGAGACGTGTTAAACATAAATTTGGTGACACTCTCTTTTACTTGACAAATTACAAAAGCATCAAGAGCTACACCGATGCCTTAAAAAATGTACAGCTAAAAGCTAGAAACTAGGAGTTTGTTGGTTTAACTTTACAAATCCTCTTTATTCCATATATAATGCTTACATAGAAGCATCCATGAGCCTTCGTCACTTAGATGACTTCAAGTGATGCAACTACGTAAATATGTAGGAGATGTGCTCGAATATGTGTGTTGCTTGCTTACATGTGTGTGTCTTCATCCTCTCTTTCTCCTATAATCTTATCTTCTTCCTCAAAATCATCTTCACATCCACCACATGTGTCTTCTTCATCTGTTGTTGATCGTATAATTGACAGACATTACAGATGAACTCTTCACCGTTCATTACCAGATAGTAACATATATCAGTCATCTGTACCTGTCTTAATCTCTTTTGTAGCGTCTATTCTCATATGAGATTATTCTTTAATCAGACTTTCGTTATTATGTTTGTGTGTATATATACATATAGCGTTTAATCTGGCTGGACCATTAAGTTTTTGAAGTTCTTGTGATGCAAGTAAATCCAAAATGTGTGGAAAATTGATTATTCAACACAGAGACTTTTACTCTCTTCGTCCAACGTGAATAACACTTGGTACAAAGACTAGTGTCTTACCATGGAGCACTGTCTATGTGTATATAAAGAGATGGGCATGAATCATATATTACCATCACAAATTTCCATCTTTTGCTTCTTTTTCATTATTGATATTCAAGAAAGTTAAATTAACTTAAAGAAGAAGCACAAATAGAAATCTTGAAAGGACTCAATCATGAGTAGCATTCATATTACTCTTTCTTTTCTCTTCTTGTTCATTTTTAATTTTCAAGACCTGTTTGCGGCTCCTACTAGACACTTGTGTCGTCCTGAGCAAAGGGATGCCCTTCTCGAGTTCAAGAACGAGTTTAAGATTCGGAAGTCTTCTTTTGATGAGTGTTATTTAATGGTATCGCTGTAATCCCTTATCCGAAGACGGGTCATGGAAATAACAGCGACTGTTGTTATTGGGATGGTATCAAGTGTGATGCCAAGTCTGGGGAAGTGATCGAGCTAGACCTCAGTTGCAGCTGCCTCCATGGCAGGTTACTCGAATACCAGTCTTATTAGGCTTCAAAACTTTCGTTCTCTAACCACTCTATACCTTTCTTATAATGATTTATCTGGTCAGATTCCGTCTATTATTGGGAATCTTTCTCATCTCACCTCTCTCGACCTTTCTCGGAATCAGTTTTTGGTCAGATTCCATCTTCACTTGGAAACCTTTCTCATCTCACCTCTCTCGACCTTTCTGCTAATCAGTTTTCTGGTCTGATTCCGTCTTCACTTGGAAAAGCTCTCTCATCTAAACTCTCTCGATCTATCTTTGAATCAGTTTTCTGGTCATATTCCGTCTTCAATTGGTAACCTTTCGCATCTCGATCTCGATTTTTCTGATAACAGTTTGGTTGGTGAAATCCCATCTTCTTTTGGGAGTTTGAACCAATTGACCATGTTAGAAGTTGGTTCCAATAAGCTCAGTGGTAACTTTCCCATTTATTACTAAATTTGACAAAGCTGCGTTGGTTATCATTCCTCCAATAACAGTTCACAGGAACACTTCCTCCAAACATCACCTCACTCTCCAACTTGGTGTTTTTTCCGTATCTCACAACAATTTCGTTGGAAGCCTTCCTTCTTCTCTCTTCACCATTCCTTCTTTGCTATATTATTTGGTAATAACAACCTCAACGGCACTCTTGAGTTTGGGAATATTCTTCACCATCTCAGCTACAATGGTTAACCCTTGGAAAAAACAACTTCAGAGGGCCAATCCCGAGATCTATTTCCAAATTAGTCAATCTTGAGACTCTTGACCTTTCCCATTGGAACACCCAAGGCCCAATTGACTTCACTATCTTCTCCCATCTCAAGTCACTCAGCTCTCTGCATTAGCCATTTGAACACCACATCTACGATTGACTTGAATGCAATCTTATCATGTTTCAAGTCACTGCATCTCTCAGGCAACCATGTTTTAACAACGAGCAAAAGTTCAGTCTCACATCCTCCTTCGCAATGATAGACATTATACTTGTCAGGCTGCGGTATTACCGAATTTCCAGAGCTTCTAAGAACCCTTGAGCATCTGGGGCAGCTAGACATTTCCAACAATAAAATCACAGGTCAAGTGCCTGGCTGGTTATGGACGCTACCGTATTTGCGTTACGTGGATCTTTCCAACAATACTTTCATCAGTTTCGAAAGATCAACAAAACACGGACTATCCTCTGTCTTGAGTACTTGTTTGGCTCCAAAAACAATTTCACAGGAAATATTCCTTCTTTCATATGCGAGCTGCGCTCTATAAACATTCTCGATTTGTCAAACAACAACTTCAGTGGTTCAATCCCTCTTTGCATGGGAAATCTCAGGAGTAACCTTCCGGAGAGTGTATTTGAAAATCTAAGATCACTTGATGTCGGTCATAACCAGTTGGCGGGAAAGCTTCCAAGATCTTTGATCCATTTCTCTAATCTTGAAGTTCTGAATGTGGAAAGCAACAGAATCAACGACACGTTTCCCTTCTGGTTGAGTTCTCTACAAAACTGCAAGTTCTTGTCTTACGCTCCAACGCATTCCATGGACCCATACGTCAAGCCTCGTTCCTTACGCTGAAAATCATCGACATCTCACATAATCATTTCAATGGAATTTTACCGACGGATTATTTTGTGAAATGGAGTAATATGTCATCACTTAAGGCAAACGAGGGTCTTCCGTATGTAAGTTACATGGGAGATGAAAATGGTCAACGTAGCTATTACCACGATTCAATTGTTTTGACGAATAAAGGTGTAGAGTTGGAGTATGAACGTATCCTTAAAATCTACACAGCAATCGACTTCTCCGGAAACGGATTCGAAGGAGAGATTCCAAGTTCCATCGGTCTATTGAAAGAGCTTCATGTGCTAAACTTGTCAAATAATGCTTTCACCGGTCACATTCCATCGTCTATGGGTAACCTCACAGCTCTCGAGTCACTAGACGTTTCCCGAAACAAGCTCTCAGGAGAAATTCCACAAGAGTTAGGGAATCTCACGTTCCTTGCGTACATGAACTTCTCCCATAACCATCTTGAAGGTCTAGTACCAGGAGGCACTCAGTTTCGAAGGCAGCCTTGCTCTTCTTTCGGAGACAACTCATGACTTTTTGGACCTTCTCTTGACGACGTTTGCAAAGATATCCACATTCCAGCATCGCAACAGGATGAGACGTCAGAGGCAGAGGAAGACGAAGAAGAAGAAGAAGAGGTGTTTAGTTGGATTGCAGCTGCTATAGGATTTGGACCTGGTATTGTGCTTGGATTGACGATTGGATACGTATTGGCTATTTACAAACCAGAGTGGTTCACGAATCCTTTTGGCCGCAACAAACGCAGAAGCAGAAGCAGAAGCAGAAGCACCACTACTCATTAAGAGGTAATGTTCTGAATTTGAGAGTATTTTCTGGATTAACTACTCATAAGTGAAATTAACGTAATTAGTTATATTTTTTTGTAGAGCCTTCTTAAACCCAAGTTGAGGAGTCTTTAAAAAAGAGAAAAAAGCTTGGGGAGAAGACAACGCATCAATGTCCCAATATCTAAGTTTTTCTGTTATCGTCTTCAGTTTAGCTTGGTGTGTACTCAATCGTTTACTCTGTTTTTAGTAACTCTGTTTGTGTTGTGTGTCCCTGTAACTGAACACTGAATAACTCTGAAGAACAAACATCTCAGAAGATTGTTTCTATTTTAATTTTGGTAATATTATTAATTAGCTTAATAAAATAATATTGTTCCTCAGTATATATGTTTTTTTTCAGTTTTAAGTTACAGTTGACTTTATAATCACTTAACTCGAGCATCAATGCCAGCTCTGCCATCACAATGACAAAATGACTGCAATCTGATAAGAGATAATCTTGTGAATTTCAAACAATAACAATTTTGAAAATGTGGTATCATAAAAATAGTTGTTTTAAATTTTTCCTATGAAGATTTGAGTATTAATAATTTGTGTATGTGATTATAAATTATAGGGGTTTGCGAAGGTGGAGATGAGATCATTGTTTCTGATTGTGGATTTGACTATCACTTACATTCTTAGAATGATGGCTGGGAAATGATTTTATGGTCACGGAACCGAGCAAGACGACGATGCACGGCGAGAGAGACAGCTGACTGACGAGAATGCTATAGATCATATCCCAATCTTGCGTTGGCCGGATAACAAATTTTTGAGAAACGGGCCAAGAATTTAACGGGTCGGGTCGATGAGTTTTTGCAGAGTCTGACGGATGAAAAACGTGGAGATAAAGAAAAGGGGTGATACTATGTTAATAAAAATTTCTGATTTTCTACTTTTTGCTATAATTGGTTCCTTGCAATACTGATGAACAGTTTCACCTCTGTGTGCTGTAGACTCTTCGGACTACGATTTATACGTTCGTCGACTATATGTCGTACATTCTCTACTCTTGAGAGTTTCATGCATTGTAATTTCCCGCCATTTTGTTTCTTAAATTTCACTCTACATTACTTATTATTTATCTGCAAAATGAGTGAAAATGATATTGCTTTTATATAAAGAGAAATTTTGTGACCTTTTTTGAGACTACAAAGTCTTTAGTTAACGGCTTTAGGAACGGGATGCAAGAAAGCTAGGTTCACAAGCGTACCAAAATTAAAATGTATCAGGCTCAAGATGATTCATGAATCTGCAATAAATTCCAAAAAGAAAAGTCTAATTGATTGCTGTTGCTACTTAATCTCTTTTGTATCGTCTGTTCTCATCTGAGATTTATTTTTTGATGAGACTTTTCATTATTGTTTTTGTGTGTATAGCGTTTGATCTCGCTGGACCATTAAGTTTTTGAAAGTTCTTGTGATGTAAGTAAATCCAAAATGTGTGGAAATTGATTATTCAACATAAATACTTTTACTCTCTCTTCGTCGAACGTGAATAACACTTGGTACAAAGACTAGATGATGTGGTGAGTCTAGCTGAGTGGATGTGGAGCACTGTCTATGTGTATATAAAGAGATGGGGCGTGAAACAATATTACCATCACAATTTCCATCTTTCGCTTCTTCATCATTATTGATATTCAAGAAAGTTAAAATAAAAATCTTGAAAGTAGTCAATCATGAGTAGCAATTATATTTCTTTTCTTTTCTCTTCTTGTTCATTTTTTGTTTTCAAGACCTGTATGCGGCTCCTACTAGACACTTGTGCCGTCCTGAGCAAAGGGATGCACTTCTCGAGTTCAAGAACGAGTTTAAGATTCGGAAGCCTTCTTTTGATGACTGTTATATTAATGGCAGCTATGTAAGCTCTTATCCGAAGACGGTGTCATGGACAAATAACAGCGACTGTTGTCATTGGGAGGGTATCAAGTGTGATGCCAAGTATGGGGAAGTGAACGAGCTAGACCTCAGTTGCAGCTGCCTCCATGGCAGGTTTCACTCGAATACCAGTCTTTTTAGGCTTCAAAACTTTCGTTCTCTAACCACTCTACACCTTTCACAAAATCATTTATCTGGTCAGATTCCGTCTAAAATTGAAAACCTTTCTCATCTCACCTCTCTCGACCTTTCTTCTAATCAGTTTTCTGGTCAGATTCCGTCTTCCCTTGGAAAGCTCTCTCATCTAAACTCTCTCCGTCTATCTGGTAATCATGTTTCGGGTCATATTCCGTCTTCAATTGGTCACCTTTCGCATCTCGCCTCTCTCGATCTTTCTAGAAACAGTTTGGTTGGTGAAATCCCATCTTCTTTTGGGAGTTTGAACCAATTGACCAGATTAAAAGTTGATTCCAATAACCTCAGTGGTAACTTTCCCATTCTATTACTAAATTTGACAAAGCTGTCGTTTCTACTTCTCAGCTCCAATCAGTTCACAGGAACGCTTCCTTCAAACATTACTTCACTCTCCAAATTGAAGGTTTTTTTCGCATCTCACAACAATTTTGTTGGAACCTTTCCTTCTTCTCTCTTCACCATTCCTTCTTTGATCAATATTGATTTGAGTAATAACCAACTCAACGGCACTCTTGATTTTGGGAATATATCTTCACCATCTCAGCTAAGATCGTTGACCCTTGACAATAACAACTTCATAGGGCCAATCCCGATAGCTATTTCCAAATTAGTCAATGTTTGGATTCTTGACCTTTCCAACAACAAAATCACAGGTCAAGTGCCTCGCTCGTTATGGACGCTACCAAATCTGGAAATTGCGAATCTTTCCAACAACACTTTCATCAGTTTCGAAAGATCAACGAAACCTTCACCATCCTCTGTCTTGACGTACTTGCTTGGTTCCAGAAACAATTTCACGGGAAAGATTCCTTCTTTCATATGCGAGTTGGGCTCTTTAATTAGTGTTCTCGATTTATCAGACAACAACTTCAGTGGTTCAATCCCTCCTTGTATGGGAAATCTCAGAAGTACTCTTTCACATGTTAACCTCCGCCAGAATCGTCTTAGTGGTGGTCTTCCGGAGAATGTCTTTGAAAGTCTAAAATCGCTTGACGTCGGTCATAACCAATTGGCTGGAAAGCTTCCAAGAACTTTGATCCATTTCTCTACTCTTCAAGTTTTAAATGTGGAAAACAACGGAATCAACGACACGTTTCCGTTCTGGTTGAGTTCTCTACAAAATCTGCAAATTCTTGTCTTACGCTCCAACGCATTCCATGGAACCATACATCAAGCCTCGTTCCGTACGCTGAAAATCATCGACATCTCACATAATCACTTCATCGGAACTTTGCCAACGGATTATTTTGTGAACTGGAGTAATATGTCATCACTTGGGGCAAACGAGGATCTTCCGAAGGAAAGTTACATGGGAATTGACTATTACCGGGATTCAATTGTTTTGGTGATTAAAGGTGTAGAGTTGAAGTATGAACGTATCCTAAATATCTTCAGAGTAGTCGACTTCTCCGGAAACAGATTTGAAGGACAGATTCCAAGGTCCATCGGTCTATTGAGAGAGCTTCATGTGCTCAACTTGTCAAACAATGCTTTCACTGGCCACATCCCATCGTCTATGGGGAACCTCTCAGCTCTCGAGTCACTTGACGTTTCCCGAAACAAGCTTTCTGGAGAAATTCCACAAGAGTTAGGGAACCTCTCGTTCCTTGCGTACATGAACTTCTCTCATAACCAGCTTAGAGGTCTCGTACCGGGAGGCACTCAATTTGGAACACAAAACTGCTCATCTTTTGAGTACAACTCAGGACTTTTTGGCTCTTCTCTTGACGACGACTGTCCAGCATCGCAACAGGATGAGACGCCAGAGGCAGAGGAAGAAGATGAAGACGAAGAAGAAGAGGTGTTTAGTTGGATTGCAGCTGCTATAGGATTTGGACCTGGTATTGTGCTTGGATTGACGATTGGATACATATTGGCTATTTACAAACCAGAGTGGTTCACGAATCCTTTTCGTCGAAACAAACACAGAAGCAGAAGCACCACAACTCGTTGAGAAAGGTAATGTTCTGCATTTGAAAGTATGTTTTTGGTATTGAAATTAAACTTGATTTTGATCAAGGTTTAATTTTGGGTCCATAAACAAATTATTATTAAACCCAAAATTAGGCCCAAGTTCTAGAACTCTCTAGAAACATCATAAGAGGTCATCACTTCCTCAAATTTTCTAGAGAATTCTACTAGATAACTCTCTAGATATTTATGTAGAACTTTCTAGTTCTTGTAAGACAAGAAATCTAGATATTATGTTAGAGAGTTCTAGAGATTAGGATAAACTTGTAAGATAATTTGTAGAAAGTTGTAGAAGAAGAAGAAGAAATATCTAGGACCTAAGGAGGTTATAGAAGAGTGTAGAAACTTTGTAAGTAGATTTGGGAGGCTATAAATACCTCCTCACCCCCTCATTTGTAAATGCACAAGAAATTGAACAAGTTAATAAAGAGTGTTCTAAAGCTAAGTTCTCTCTTGTTCTTCTTAAAAGTCTTTCAAGTATTCTCTTGTGTTCTTCCATATTTCTCTTCATACTTAGAGGGTTTATTGTTTCTTTCGGGTTTCTCGGGTATTACGGTCTTGGGCTAGTGCTAAGCACTATCGGTGCTGGTTTCTCTACATGGTATCAGAGCCATTCTAATCTTGTGCTCATCAAGATCGGGACTTAGGAGAACTCGGGTTTACTCTAAGTATGGAATCAATGGGTCGTGTTGTTGGATTGGGAATGGAGATCTTAAACCAATCTAACTACCGGTTATGGAAGTCATGTATGGAGTCATACTTGGTGAGTGAGGACTTATGGGATGTCGTCGGCGGCAGTAGCACCACACCACCAATGGGAGCTGCTGCGACAGCGGAAGCGACAAAGGAATGGACACGGAAGAATGCCAAGGCGGAGTTTGCATTGAAGAGGTCAATATCCTCGGGAGTATTTGAGCATGTCTCAAGGTGCACATCCGCTAGTTCCATTTGGCAAGCGTTGGACCAACTGTTCAACAAGAAGAATGAGGCTCGTCTACAACTGTTAGAGAACGAGTTGGCGAATGCGAAGCAGGGGGAGTCTTCAATCTCAGAGTTCTTCATCAAGGTAAAGAACCTTTGCTCTGAGATTAACACTCTTAATCCGGAGGAGTCTATTTCGGAAGCTCGGTTAAAGCGGTCTATTATTCGTGGTTTACGACCCGAATATACACCGTTTGTGACTTCCGTTCAAGGATGGGCTACACAACCTTCCTTGGAGGAGTTTGAAAATCTGCTAGCTTCGCAAGAATCCTTAGCCACGCAAATGGCGGGAGTCAAAATCCATGATGACTCGGGGAGCGCTTTTGTAGCTCGGAGGCAACAGAGCTACAAAGGAAAAACCAAGAATGATGGTGTAAAGAATAATGATGGACGGGAAAGATCTTCTACGGGAGACAAGAAGCAGTTCAAGTGTTACCGGTGTGGAAAGCTTGGGCATTTCAAAAAGGACTGTCGGGTCAAGCTGAAGGAAACCAATATGGCGGAATCAAAAAGTCATACTGAAGACGAAGATTGGGGGAAATGTTTCACGGTGGAGGCTGCATCTTCAGGTACATCCACAACTAAAAATCTTGGAAATGATTGGATTGTGGATTCGGGTTGTAGCCATCATATTACCGGAAACGAGAAGTTATTTTCTAGTCTTCAACGTCATGACGGGAAAGAAGCTATTATCACTGCGGATAATTCAATCCACCGGGTTGAGAAGGAAGGGACTATTGTTATTGAAGGAGAAGAAGGAGGCCCAATCACTCTCAAGAACGTATACCATGTCCCTGGAGTTAAGAAGAATCTTCTTTCCGTGGTGAATGCGGTGGACTCAGGTAACTACGTTTTATTTGGACCAAAAGACGTTAAATTCTTGAAGAATATTCAAGAGTTAAAGGCGGACGTAGTTCACACCGGAGCACGGGTTAAAGATCTTTATGTCTTATCGGCCTCAAATTCGTACATTGAGAAGATGAGTACGAATGATAATGCTTTTATTTGGCATGCTAGGCTTGGCCATATAAATATGACTAAGCTGAAGGCTATGGTGAATAAAGATCTGGTTAATGGGCTCCCAAAGTTGAAGATTCAAGATGAAGGAAAGCTTTGTGAAGGTTGTCAATATGGAAAATCACATAGACTTCCATTTGACAATTCTACTTCACGATGCAATGCTCCGTTGGAGAGGATCCATAGTGATTTGATGGGTCCGACGAGAACATCCTCCTATTCCGGGTTCCGCTACATGCTGTTGTTCGTTGATGATTACTCACGGTACACCTGGGTATACTTTGTGAAGGAAAAGTCAGAAGTATTCTCCAAGTTTCAAGAATTCAAGGTTACCGTGGAAGGAGAGTTGGGTCGGAAAATCAAGACCTTAAGGACGGATAATGGAGGGGAGTTTATGTCAAACGAGTTTCTCTCTTTCTGCCGAAAGCATGGTATCAAGAGAGAATTTTCATGTCCATACACACCTCAACAAAATGGAGTAGCAGAAAGGAAGATAAGGCATCTAAGTGAGACGTGTAGAAGCTGGCTACATGCGAAGAATTTGCCTAAGGCTCTATGGGCAGAAGGGATGAGATGTGCAGCCTATGTCATCAATCGGATGCCGCTTAGTCCAAATAATATGAAGTCTCCTTATGAGATGGTTCATGGGAAGAAGCCAACAGTGAAACATCTCAGGATATTTGGATCTATCTGCTATGTCCATGTGTTCGACTCTCAAAGAACCAAGCTGGAGGCAAAGGCGAAAAAGTGCATCTTTGTCGGCTATGATGAACAAAGGAAGGGGTGGAGGTGTATGGATCCAGAGACACACAGATACACTGTATCTCGTGATGTTGTCTTTGATGAAGTGTCTTCATATTACGGATCTCCTCAAGTCTTGGTTGAGCAAGATGGTGCGGGCTCACTTAAAGACGATGAACCAGCTGCTCAGATACCAAGTGATGGTGGAATTTCTGAACCAGAGATGCAAGGTGAAAGGGGGAGCACTAACCAAGAGGAAGAGGAGGAGGAAGATCATGGTTCCTTGGCTAATCAACGACCAAAACGGGACATCGTTAAACCTGCTCGGTACAGAGATGAAAGGTTTGTTACTACTTACTCATGCTACTTTGCATCTCCTTTTGATGAAGAAGAACCATCATCTTATGATGAAGCAAAAGGAGTTAAAGAGTGGGAGACCGCAATGAAGGAGGAGATGGATGCTCTAAAGAAAAATGAAACTTGGGATTTGGTTCCAAAACCCAAGGATGTCCAACCCGTCTCATGCAAATGGGTGTACCGGATCAAGCGTAAGAGGGATGGAAACATTGATAGACACAAAGCAAGATTGGTTGCTCGGGGATTTTCTCAGAAGTATGGAGAAGACTATGATGAGACTTTCAGTCCAGTGGCGAAGATGACTACGGTACGTACACTCTTATCTTTAGCTGCAAGCTTTGGCTGGAAGTTATGGCAGTTAGATGTGAAGAACGCTTTTCTATACGGAGAACTTGATAAAGAAATCTATATGGAGCAACCACTTGGTTACATATCACAAGAGCATCCCGATTATGTTTGCAAGCTAAAGAAGGCTTTGTATGGGTTAAAACAAGCTCCAAGGGCCTGGTATGGAAAGCTTGCTCAGTTTCTTCAGTTTTGCGGTTACTCTCCGTCGAACTCTGATCCGAGTCTGTTCTTCAAGAAGAATGGAGGAGTCCACGTGGTAGTCCTTCTTTATGTGGATGACTTGATAATTACCGGGAATGATGAAGCGGAAATTGCTCGTCTGCAAGAGGATATGTCGATAAGGTTTGAGATGAAGATGTTGGGTGAGCTGAACAACTTTCTTGGTTTGGAGGTTGAAAGGATGAAGGATGGAATATTCATCGGCCAACATAGCTACGCAAGAAGGATTGTAGAGAAGTTCGGGGTACACGAAGGAAAGACACGTACTACTCCGATGGATGCGAACATCAAGCTGAAGCGCGATGAAGGATCCTTGCTACCCGATCCTCGGCCTTATCGTTCTCTTGTGGGAAGTCTTCTATACTTAACCATTACAAGACCTGACATTTCCTTCGCGGTTGGTCTTGTAAGTCGGTTTATGCAGTCACCAAGGAAGCCACATCTAGAAGCGGCAAAGAAGATCTTGAAGTATGTGAAGACAACTCTTGGCATGGGTCTAATGTACAAGTACAATGCCAAGGTCTCTCTCTATGGCTTCACGGATGCTGACTTTGGTGGAGATCTAGATGGTCGAAAATCAACTTCGGGCTTTGTGTTCTTGTGTGGAGACACAAGCGTTTCATGGTGCAGCAAGAAACAAGCAACGGTGTCGCTGTCTACCACTGAAGCGGAGTATAAAGCTTCGACGCTCGCAGCCCAAGAGTGTATTTGGCTTCGAAGGCTTCTTGAAGATTTGTTTGAGCCAATCAACAAGCCGGTTGCCATATATGGAGATAACCAAAGTGCTATCAAGCTGGCTAACAATCCGGTGTTCCATGCAAGGACGAAGCATATTGAGTTGGAACATCACTTCATACGGGAGAAGGTGCTTGATGGAACAATTGAAGCTTTGGAGGTTCGAAGTGAGGATAATGTTGCAGATATCTTCACCAAGTCACTACCAAAAGGTCAGTTCGAGTTACTTCGCTCGAAACTCGGGATGGTTGATAAAATCAAGTTTAAGGGGGAGTATTGAAATTAAACTTGATTTTGATCAAGGTTTAATTTTGGGTCCATAAACAAATTATTATTAAACCCAAAATTAGGCCCAAGTTCTAGAACTCTCTAGAAACATCATAAGAGGTCATCACTTCCTCAAATTTTCTAGAGAATTCTACTAGATAACTCTCTAGATATTTATGTAGAACTTTCTAGTTCTTGTAAGACAAGAAATCTAGATATTATGTTAGAGAGTTCTAGAGATTAGGATAAACTTGTAAGATAATTTGTAGAAAGTTGTAGAAGAAGAAGAAGAAATATCTAGGACCTAAGGAGGTTATAGAAGAGTGTAGAAACTTTGTAAGTAGATTTGGGAGGCTATAAATACCTCCTCACCCCCTCATTTGTAAATGCACAAGAAATTGAACAAGTTAATAAAGAGTGTTCTAAAGCTAAGTTCTCTCTTGTTCTTCTTAAAAGTCTTTCAAGTATTCTCTTGTGTTCTTCCATATTTCTCTTCATACTTAGAGGGTTTATTGTTTCTTTCGGGTTTCTCGGGTATTACGGTCTTGGGCTAGTGCTAAGCACTATCGGTGCTGGTTTCTCTACATTTGGATTAACTACTATGTGAAATTAACGTAATAAGTTATATCTTTTTGTAGAGCCTTCTTAAACCCAAGCTGAAGAAGCTGTGAAAAAAAAAAAGAGAATGAAGAAAATCCAAATAAAATGGATTGTAGAGAAAGAAGCTTTGGGAGAAGACAACCCATCAATGTCCCAATTAATATTTAGTTTCGTATGTGGATCGGTTTGTCACGGTCTTAGTTGCTGTTATTGTTTCTGGTTTGGCTTTTGGTGTGTTTTTCTTTTACTCTGTTCTACATTTGAACAACTCTGTTTTCAAATCTCAAACTTATTCCTATCAATTAGAATTGAGAGAGCTAGTATTTTTCTTGCTTTGCCAGATTCCATCTAAATCTTGACCGCAAAATCACATGTGGATTATTACAACTACTAGTAAAAATCATCTCTTCTTGAATTATTTTTCTTGGTCATATCTGCTAGCAACTGTCTTAATCTCTTTTTGTAGCGTATATTCTGATCTGAGATTTCTTTTTCAGTAAGACTTTCGTTATTATCTTTGTGTGTGTGTGTGTGTATAGCTTTTAATTTGGCCGGGCCAACAATTTTTTGAAATTTCTTGTGGTGTACGTAAAACCAAAATGTGTTGAAATTGACTCTTAAACACAAAGACTTTAACTCTCTTCTTCGTCCAACGTAAATAACACTAGATGGTGAGTCTAAATGAGTGGATTTGAAGCATTGTCTATGTGTATATAAAGAGATGGACATCAAAAGCAGTTACACATCAATTTCCATTTTTTTCGCTTCTTCTTCATTGTTGATAAATTAAGAGGAGTAAAAGGCTCTTGAAAGTACTCGATGAGTACCATTCATATTACTCTTTCTTTTCTCTTCTTTTTCATATTTTATTTTCAAAACGTATCTGCAGTTCCTACAGATAAGAGATCAGTCTGATATTAAATTGACCAACCAACCACTCCAATTAAAACGAAAAATCAAAGGAAGTAGAAAAATACCGTTTCGATTCTGATTAATCAATTAGAGAGTGATGTTTCACGGGACAAAAGACGAAGACTGAGATAGTCAACTCCTGTCTTCTTCCTTATTCTTGTCCCATATTGTCCCATCAATGGTATTATCTTCTTCCTCAACATCCTCTTCACATCAAGGTGGATAATTTTTATGACCGATCAATACCACCAGTACTAGTAAGAAATCATCTCTTAATTAATCATTTTTATCGGTCATCTGTAATTGTCTCAATTTCCTTTGCCTTATATAATTTTGTAATGTCTATTTTCATCTGATTTCTTTTTCATTCTGACGTTGGTTATTATTTGTTGTGTATAGCTTATAATCTGGTTGGACCAGCAATTGTTTGAAATTTCTTGCAAGAGAAGTAAAGTCAAAATGTGTGAAACTCGGCTATTCAACAGAGAGACATTAACTCTCTTCCCTCAATGTGAATAAACACTTTCTACACAAACTAGATGTTAAGTAGAGCTGTAGGTATATAAAAGCTCCTCTGGGAATATTATGAAAATAATACATGTACACACAGTTTGTTCGCAGATATGAGAAAGAAAGGAAAAAAGATAAATTAAAAAACTTAGTAATTCCAAACTATGGAGACATGTATACACAATTAGGTGTTCATTGATACTTCAAAAAACTGTCATATATCAGTCATTGATACTTCAAAATTAGACATGTATTAATGTATACACAATTAGATGAACTCTTGACGCTACCACCGTTCATTACCAGCTAGTAACATATATCAGTCATCTGTACCTGTCTTAATCTCTTTTGTAGCGTCTATTCTCATATGAGATTATTCTTTAACGAGACTTTCGTTATAAGTTTTGTGTGTATAGCATTTACTCTGACTGGACCATTAAGTGTTTGAACCAGTTGACTGATTTGGATATTGAGTCCAATAAGCTCAGTGGTAACTTTCCCATTGCATTACTAAATTTGACAAAGCTGTCGTTTCTATCACTCTCCTCTAATAAATTCACAGGAACGCTTCCTCCAAACTTCACCTCACTCTCCAACTTGAGGTACTTTTTCGCAAAAGACAACACTTTCGTTGGACCCTTTCCTTCTTCTCTCTTCACCATTCCTTCTTTGACCTTTATTGATTTGGGTGATAACAACCTCAACGGCACTCTTGAGTTTGGGAATATATCTTCACCATCTCAGCTACAAGATTTATCCCTTGAAAATAACAACTTGAGAGGGCCAATCCCGAGATCTATTTCCAAATTAGTCAAGCTTTATTATCTTGACCTTTCCCATTGGAACACCCAAGGCCCAGTTGACTTCAGTATCTTCTCACATCTCAAGTCGCTCCAAAAGCTTGACTTGTCCCATTTGAACACCACAACTACGATTGACTTGAATGCAATCTTATCATACTTCAAGTCACTGCAAATATTATATCTCTCAGGCAACCATGTTTTAACAAGGAGCAAACGTTCAGTCTCACATCCTCCTTCGCAATGGATAGACTCTTTATCCTTGTCAGGCTGCGGTATCACCGAAATTCCAGAGTTTCTGAGAATCCTCGAGCATCTGAAGAAGCTAGACATTTCCAACAACAAAATCACTGGTCAAGTGCCTCGCTGGCTGTGGACGCTACCAGATCTGAGCTATGTGAATCTTTCCAACAATACTTTCATCAGTTTCGAAAGATCAACAAAACACAGACTATCCTCTGGTTTGGAGTACTTGTTTGGCTCTAAAAACAATTTCACAAGAAATATGCCTTCTTTCATATGCGAGTTGCCCTATCTAAGCATTCTCGATTTGTCAAACAACAACTTCAGTGGTTCAATCCCTCTTTGTATGGGAAATCTCACACTACTCTTACAGATCTAAACCTTCGCCAGAATCGTCTTAGTGGTGGTCTTCCGGAGAATGTCTTTGAAAATCTAAGATCACTGGATGTCGGTCATAACCAGTTGGCGGGAAAGCTTCCAAGATCCTTGATCCATTTCTCCAATCTTGAAGTTTTTAATGTGGAAAGCAACAGAATCAACGACACTTTTCCCTTCTGGATGAATTCTCTTCAGAAACTGCAAGTTCTAGTCTTACGCTCAAACGCATTCCATGGACCCATACATCAAGCCTCGTTTCTTAAGATGAAAATCATCGACATATCCCATAACCACCTCATCGGAACTTTGCCAGCAGATTACTTTTTGAACTGGAGTGCCATGTCATCACTTGAAGTTAGGATGAACGAAGATCAGTCGACTGAACCTTACATGGGAGATAAATCAGGTTATTACCAGGATTCAATGGTTTTGGTAAACAGAGGTGTAGAGTTGGAGCTGGTACGTATCTTAAAAATCTACACAGCAATTGACTTCTCCGGAAACAGATTCGAAGGAGAGATTCCAAGTTCCATCGGCCTATTGAAAGAGCTTCATGTGCTCAACTTGTCAAATAATGCTTTCACTGGGAACATCCCATCATCTATGGGGAATCTAACAGCTCTCGAGTCACTGGACGTTTCCCGAAACAGGCTCTCAGGAGAAATTCCACAGGAGTTAGGGAATCTCTCGTCCCTGGCGTACATGAACTTCTCTCATAACCAGCTTAGAGGTCTCGTACCGGGAGGCACTCAATTTGGAACACAAAACTGCTCATCTTTTGAGTACAACTCAGGACTTTTTGGCTCTTCTCTTGACGACGTTTGCAAAGATATCCACATTCCAGCAACGCAACAGGATGAGACACCAGAGGCAGAGGAAGAAGATGAAGATGAAGAAGAGGTGTTTAGTTGGATTGCAGCTGCCATAGGATTTGGACCTGGTATTGTGCTTGGATTGACGATTGGATACGTATTGGTTATTTTCAAACCAGAGTGGTTCACGAATCCTTTTGGCCGAATCAAACACAGAAGCAGAAGCACCACTACTCATTAGAGAGGTAATGTTCTGCAATTCAAAAGAATAAACAATATATATTATATTTATAATAAAATTTTCTGGATGGATTAATAAGTGAAACTAACGTATTAAGTTATTTTTGTTTGTAGAGCCAAATGGAGTGTAGAGAAAGAAGCTTGGGGAGAAGACGAGACAACCCATCAATGTCCCAATATTTTAGTTTTTGTTGTTATCGTTTTCAGTTCAGCTTTGTGTGTTAATCTCTTACTCCGTTTTTAGTAACTCTGTGTGTGTTGTGTGTCCCTGTAACTGAACACTGAACAAATCTGTTTTCCAAGCTCAAACATAGACCTATCACCTATTTATTAGAATTCAGAGGGACTAATGTTCTTGCTCTGATAGGTTCCGACTAAATCTGTTCTTCTTCTGTCCAGTGAAGAACAAACATCTCAGAAGATTGTTATAGATCCTATCCCAATCTTGAGATAGCTGATTGAAAAGAATGCGTTGGATAATAAATTTTGAGAAATGATAAAGAAAAGCGTGCGGATGGAAAACGTGCCAAGAAGTTAGCGGGTCGGGTCGAAGAAAAGGGTGACACTACGATGGATCGCTTGCTTTCTCTCCAAGAAACCCAGATATCCCCCTTTTTTAATAGTAATCAAATTGCAACATCACAAAGTCATTGAACAAATCATATAAAACAAATTCGAACAATGAAAAACGTACAAATTCGAAAAAAGAAACCAAACAAACTGATAGATTATACAATTTTATAAAATTTTCTGATTTTCTACTTTTTTGCTATTATTGGTTACTGATGAACAGTTTCACCTCTGTGTGCGCTGTAGACTCTTCGGACATGTGATTTATGCGTTCTTCGACTATATGTCTTACATTCATTCACTCTTGAGAGTTTCATGCATTGTAAATTCCCGCCATTTTTTCTTAAATTTCTCTCTACATGTGTACTTGTTATTTAGGGCCTGTTATTTACCTGCAAAATGAGTGAATATATTATTGCTTATATAAAGAGAAATTTTGTGACCTTTTTGACACTACAAAGTCTCTAGGTAACGGCTTTAGGAACCGGATGCAAGAAAGTTAGGTTCACAAGCGTACCAAGATTAATATTGATCAGGCTCAAGATGATTCACTGGCAGCAGATTCTGGTTCACAGGCAGCATAAAAATGTATCAATGCTCATATTATGATTCCAGAGTCTGCAATAAATTCCAAAAGAAAACTCTAATTGATTGTTTCACGGGACAGAAGAAGATGACTTTAAAAGTCAAGTCCAGTATTCTTCCTTATTATCCCCACAAATAATTTCAGTCCTCTCTTTCTCCTATAATCTTATCTTCTTCCTCTAAGCATCTTCACATCCACCACATGTATCTTCTTCATCCGTTGATCGTAAAATTGACAGACATTACAGATGAATCTCTTGACCATACTGTTCATTACCAGCTAGTAACATATATCAGTCATCTGTACCTGTAGCGTCTATTCTCATTCTGAGATTATTTTTTTAACGAGACTTTCATTATTATTTTTGTGTGTATAGCGTTTACTCTGGCTGGACCATTAAGTGTTTGAAAGTTCTTGTGATGCAAGTAAATCCAAAAATGTGTGGAAATTGATTATTCAACACAAAGACTGTTACTCTCTTCTTCCTCAACGTGAATAACACTTGGTACGAAGACTAGATATGTGTGGTGAGTCAAGCTGAGTGGATATGGAGCACTGTCTATGTGTGTATATAAAGAGATGGGCATGAAGCATATCTTACCATCACAAATTTCTATCTTTCGCTTATTTTTCACCATTGATATTCAAGAAAGTTAAATCAGCTTAAAGAAGAACACAAAAATAAGACTCTTGAAAGTACTCAATCATGAGTAGCATTCATATCACTCTTTCTTTTCTCTTCGTGTTCATTTTTAATCTTCAAGACCTGTTTGCGGCTCCTACTAGACACCTGTGTCGTCCTGAGCAAAGGGATGCCCTTCTCGAGTTCAAGAACGAGTTTAAGATTCGGAAGCCTTCTTTTCATGACTGTTATATTAATGGCAGCTATGTAAGCCCTCATCCGAAGACGGAGTCATGGAGAAATAACAGCGACTGTTGTTATTGGGACGGTGTCAAGTGCCATGCCAAGTCAGGGGAAGTGATCGAGCTAGACCTCAGTTGCAGCTGCCTCCATGGCAGGTTTCACTCGAATACCAGTCTTTTTAGGCTTCAAAACTTTCGTTCTCTAACCACTCTTGACCTTTCACAAAATCATATATCTGGTCAGATTCCATCTTCAATTGGAAACCTTTCTCATCTCACCTCTCTTGACCTTTCTGCTAATCAGTTTATCGGTGAGATTCCGTCTTCAATTGGAAAGCTCTCTCATCCCACCTCTCTCTCCCTTTCTGCTAATCAGTTTTCGGGTCAGATTCCGTCTTCAATTGGAAACCTTTCTCATCTCACCTCTCTCGACCTTTCTGTTAATCAGTTATCTGGTCAGATTCCGTCTTCACTTGGAAAGCTCTCTCACTTAAACTCTCTCGAACTATCTGTTAATCAGTTTTCTGGTCAGATTCCGTCATCACTTGGAAAGCTCTCTCATCTAAGCTCTCTCGACCTATTTGATAATCAATTTTCGGGTGTGATTCCTCCTTCAATTGGTAACCTTTCGCATCTCACCCATCTGGATCTTACTTTTAACAGTTTGGTTGGTGAAATTCCACCTTCTTTTGGGAGTTTGAACCAATTGACCTTGTTAGTTGTTGGTTACAATAAGCTCAGTGGTAACTTTCCCATTCTATTACTAAATTTGACAAAGCTGTCGTTTCTAGAAATCTCCTTCAATAAATTCACAGGAACGCTTCCTTCAAACATGACTTCACTCTCCAACTTGGAGTTATTTTTCGCATCTGACAACAATTTCGTTGGAAGACTTCCTTCTTCTCTCTTCTCCATTCCTTCGTTGACCAATATTGATTTGAGTCATAACCATCTCAACGGCACTCTTGAGTTTGGGAATATATCTTCACCATCTCAGCTACAAGATTTAGGCCTTGGAAAGAACAACTTCAGAGGGCCAATCCCGAGATCTATTTCCAAATTAGTCAATCTTGAGACTCTTGACCTTTCCCATTGGAACACCCAAGGCCCAGTTGACTTCACTATCTTCTCAAATCTCAAGTCGCTCAATGAATTGAGACTATCCCATTTGAACAGCACAACTACGGTTGACTTGGATGCAATCTTATCATGTTTCAAGTCACTTGTTTCATTGGATCTCTCAGGCAACCATGTTTTAACAACCAGCAAAAGTTCAGTCTCAGATCCTCCTTCGCAATCGGTAGACAAATTATACTTGTCAGGCTGCGGTATTACCGAATTTCCAGAGCTTCTAAGAACCCTTGAGCATCTGCAGCAGCTAGACATTTCCAACAACAAGATCACAGGTCAAGTGCCTGGCTCGTTATGGACGCTACCAAAGCTGGGCTACGTGGATCTTTCCAACAATACTTTCATCGGTTTTGAAAGATCAACAAAACACCGACTATCCTCTGTCTTGAAGTACTTGTTTGGCTCCAACAACAATTTTACAGGAAAGATTCCTTCTTTCATATGCGAGTTTCGCTCTCTAAGCATTCTCGATTTGTCGAACAACGACTTCAGTGGTTCTTTCCCTCAGTGTATGGGAAATCTCAAGAGTAATCTTTCAGTTCTAAATCTTTGTCAAAATCGTCTTACTGGAGGTCTTCCGGAGAGTGTATTTGAAAATCTAAGATCACTTGATGTCGGTCATAACCAGTTGGCAGGAAAGCTTCCAAGATCTTTAATCCATTTCTCCAATCTTGAAGTTTTTAATGTGGAAAGCAACAGAATCAACGACACCTTTCCCTTGTGGTTGAGTTCTCTACGAAAACTGCAAGTTCTAGTCTTACGCTCCAACGCATTCCATGGACCCATACGTCAAGCCTCGTTCGGTACGCTGAAAATCATCGACATCTCACACAATCACTTCATCGGAGCTTTGCCAGCAGATTACTTTCTGAACTGGAGTGCCATGTCATCACTTGAAGTTGGGACAAACGAAGATCAGTCTACTGGAACTTACATGGGAGATGAATCAGGCGATTACCACGATTCAATGGTTTTGATGAATAAAGGTGTAGAGTTGGAGTATGAACGTATCCGTAAAATCGACACAGCAATCGACTTTTCCGGAAACAGACTTGAAGGGAAGATTCCAAGGTCCATCGGTCTATTGAGAGAGCTTCATGTGCTCAACTTGTCAAACAATGCTTTCACTGGCCACATCCCATCATCTATGGGGAAGTTGACAGCTCTCGAGTCACTAGACGTTTCCAGAAACAAGCTCTCCGGAGAAATTCCACAAGAGCTAGGGAACCTCTCGTTCCTTGAGTACATGAACTTCTCCCATAACCAGCTTAGAGGTCTCGTACCGGGAGGCACTCAGTTTCGAACTCAAAAGTGCTCTTCTTTCGGAGACAACTCAGGACTTTTTGGACCTTCTCTTGACGAAGTTTGCAAAGATGTCCACATTCCAGCATTGCAACAGAATGAGTCGCCAGAGGCAGAGGAAGAAGAAGAAGAGGTGTTTAGTTGGATTGCAGCTGCTATTGGATTTGGACCTGGTATTGTCCTTGGATTGACGATTGGATACATATTGGTTATTTACAAACCAGAGTGGTTCACAAATCCTTTTCGCCGCAACAAACACAGAAGCAGAAGCACCACTACTCATTAGAGAGGTTAGAGCATGTGCAAGACTATATTTTGCATTTTCTGCATTTTCAAATAATAAAGACTATTATATTTATAATAAATTTTTCTGGATGGATTTATAAGTGAAATTAACGTATTCAGCTATTTTTGTTTGTAGAACCTTTGAAAAAGAGAACTAAGCAGTCAAGCCAACTGGACTGTAGAGAAAGAAGCTTGGTGAGAAGACGAGACAACCCATCTTTTTGTTATCGTTTTCAGTTTAGCTTTGTGTGTAAATATTTTATTCTGTTTCTAGTAACTCTGTTTGTGTTGTGTTTCCCTGTAGCGGAACACTGAAGAACTCTGTTTTCCATGCTCAATAATGAAAAACATGGAGATAAAGAAAAGGGTGACACAATGATGGATCACTTGCTTTCTCTCCAAGAAACCCAACCTCATTATTTCTACACTTATTACAACAACACCTCTAACACAAACCACTAAACTACATTTAACTAATATTTAATAACACTGACTAAACCTTTATTGATTTGATATTTTTAACAGGTTATGATACTTGTAGAAACAGAAACATCAGCAATATATATAGTTTCTTTTTGGTAATGAGCAATATATATAGTTGGCATAGTAAGTTTAGCCTGATAAAAAATATAATCTTCCAAAAACAATTAAAATAAAGCACCGAACACAATTTCCTTTTTTAATAAGAGTAATCAAATTGCAACATCACAACGTCAATGAACAAATCGTATAAATCAAATTCGAACAATGATAACGTATCATGCGAAAAGAAACCAAACAAACTGATGGATTATACAATGTTACTAAAAATTTCTGATTTTCTACTTTTTGCTATAATTGGTTCCTTGTAATACTGATGAACAGTTTCACCTCTGTGTGCTGTAGACTCTTCGGACTATCAGATTTATAACGTTCGTCGACTATATGTCGTACATTCTCTAAATTTCTCTCTTCATGCATACTTATTATTTATCTGCAAAATGAGTGAAAATGATATTGCTTATATAAAGAGATATTTTGTGACCTTTTTGACACTTCAAAGTCTCTAGCTAACGGCTTTAGGAACCGGATGGAAGAAAGCTAGGTTCACAGGCGTACCAAAATTAAAATTGATCAGGCTCAAGATGATTCATTGGCAGCAGATTTACCCGGTGGTTCACAGGCAGCATAGAAATGTAACAATGCTCACAATGATTCTTGAATCTGCAATAAATTCGAAAAGAAAACTCTAATTGATTGTTTCACGGGACAAAAGAAGATGACTTTCAAAGTCAAGTCCAGTATTCTTCCTTATTATCCCCACAAATAATTTCAGTCCTCTCATTCTCCTTTAATCTTATCTTCTTCCTCAAAATCATCTTCACATCCACCACATGTGTCTTCTTCATCTGTTGATCGTAAAATTGACAGACATTACAGATGAATCTCTTGACCCTACCGTTCATTACCAGCTATAGTAACATATATCAGTCATCTGTATCAGTAGCGTCTATTCTCATCTGAGATTATTATTTTTGTGTATATAGCGTTTAATCTGGCTGGACCATTAAGTTTTGAAATTTCTTGTGATGCAAGTAAATCCAAAATGTGTGAAAATTGATTATTCAACACAAAGACTTTTACTCTCTTCTTCATCCAACGTGAATAACACTTCGTACAAAGACTAGATATGTGTGGTGAGTCAAGCTGAGTGGATATAGAGCATTGTCTATATGTGTATATAAAGAGATGGGCATGAATCATATATTATCATCACAAATTTCTATCTTTAGCTTCTTTATTATAATTGATATTCAAGAAAGTTAAATTAGCTTAAAGAAGAAACACAAAAATAAGACTCTTGAAAGTGCTCAATCATGAGTAGCATTCATATCACTCTTTCTTTTCTCTTCTTGTTCATTTTTAATTTTCAAGAGCTGTTTGCGGCTCCCACTAGACACTTGTGTCGTCCTGAGCAAAGGGATGCCCTTCTCGAGTTCAAGAACGAGTTTGAGGTTCGGAAGTCTTCTTTTGATGAGTGTTATGTTAATGGTAGCTATGTAAGCCCTTATCCGAAGACGGTGTCATGGACAAATAACAGCGATTGTTGTTATTGGGATGGTATCAAGTGTGATGCCAAGTCTGGGGAAGTGATTGAGCTAGACCTCAGTTGCAGCTGCCTCCATGGCAGGTTACATTCGCATACCAGTCAGATTCCGTCAATAATTGAAAACCTTTCTCATCTCACCTCTCTCGACCTTTCTTATAATCAGTTTTCTGGTCAGATTCCGTCTATAATTGGAAATCTTTCTCATCTCACCTCTCTCCGTCTACGTTTTAATCAGTTTTTCTGGTCAGATTCCGTCTTCACTTGGAAAGCTCTCTCATCTAAACTATCTCGATCTATCTCTTAATCATTTTTCGGGTGTGATTCCGTCTTCAATTGGTAACCTTTCGCATCTCGCCGAACTCTGTCTTTCTTTTAACAGTTTGGTTGGTGAAATCCCATCTTCTTTTGGAGTTTGAACCAATTGGCCGAGTTGTATGTTAGTTCCAATAAGCTCAGTGGTAATTTTCCCATTGTATTACTAAATTTGACAAAGCTGCGGGAGTTAGAAATCTCCTACAATCAGTTCACAGGAACACTTCCCCCAAACATCACCTCACTCTCCAGCTTGGAGATTTTTTACGCAAATGACAACAATTTCGTTGGAAGCCTTCCTTCTTCTCTCTTCACCATTTCTTCTTTGACCAGTATATATTTGGATAATAACAACCTCAACGGCACTCTTGAGTTTGGGAATACTTCTTCACCATCTCAGCTACAAGAGTTAACCCTTGGAAATAACAACTTGAGAGGGCCAATCCCGAGATCTATTTCCAAATTAGTCAATCTTGAGGCTCTTGACCTTTCCCATTGGAACACCCAAGGCCCTTTTGACTTCAGTATCTTCTCAAATCTCAAGTCGCTCAATGAATTGAGACTATCCCATTTGAACAGCACAACTACGGTTGACTTGGATGCAATCTTATCATGTTTCAAGTCACTTGTTTCATTGGATCTCTCAGGCAACCATGTTTTAACAACGACCAAAAGTTCAGTCTCACATCCTCCTTCGCAATGGATAGACTATTTATACTTGTCAGGCTGCGGTATCACCGAGTTTCCAGAGCTTCTAAGAACCCTTGAGCATCTGAAGCGGCTAGACATTTCCAACAACATAATCACAGGTCAAGTGCCTAGCTGGTTGTGGACGCTACCAAAACTGAGCTATGTGGATCTTTCCAACAATACTTTCAGCAGTTTCGAAAGATCAACAAAACACGGACTATCCTCTGTCTTGAGTACTTTTTGTTGGCCTCCAAAAACAATTTCACGGGGAAGATTCCTTCTTTCATATGCGAGCTGCACTCTCTAAGAACTCTCGATTTATCAAACAACAATTTCAGTGGTTCTATCCCTCTTTGTATGAGCAATATCAAGAGTAATTTGTCAGATCTAAACCTTCATCAGAATCGTCTTAGTGGTGATCTTCCGGAGAGTGTATTTGAAAATCTAAGATCACTTGATGTCGGTCATAACCAGTTGGCGGGAAAGCTTCCAAGATCTTTGATCCATTTCTCTTCCTTGAAGTTCTAAATGTGGAAAGCAATAGAATCAACGACACGTTTCCGTTCTGGTTGAGTTCTCTTCAGAAACTGCAAGTTCTAGTCTTACGCTCCAACGCATTCCATGGACCCATACGTCAAGCCTCGTTCCTTACGTTGAAAATCATCGACATCTCACATAATCACTTCATCGGAACTTTGCCATCAGATTACTTTCTCAACTGGAGTAATATGTCATCACTTGCAAGAAACGAAGATCTTGACTGAAAGTTACATGGGAGATGAAGATGGCTATTACCACGATTCAATTGTTTTGATGAATAAAGGTGTAGAGTTGGAGTATGAACGTATCCTTAAAATCACACACAATCGACTTCTCCGGAAACAGATTGAAGGAGAGATTCCAAGTTCCATCGGTCTATTGAAAGAGCTTCATGTGCTAAACTTGTCAAACAATGCTTTCACTGGCCACATCCCATCATCTATGGGGAACCTGTCAGCTCTCGAGTCACTAGACGTTTCCCGAAACAAGCTTTCCGGAGAAATTCCACAAGAGTTAGGGAATCTCTCGTTCCTTGAGTACATGAACTTTTCCCATAACCATCTTGAAGGTCTAGTACCAGGAGGCACTCAGTTTCGAAGGCAGCCTTGCTCTTCTTTCGGAGACAACTCAGGACTTTATGGACCTTCTCTTGACGACGTTTGCAAAGATATCCACATTCCAGCATCGCAACAGAATGAGTCGCCAGAGGCAGAGGAAGACGAAGAAGAAGAAGAAGAGGTGTTTAGTTGGATTGCAGCTGCTATAGGATTTGGACCTGGTATTGTCCTTGGATTGACGATTGGATACATATTGGTTATTTTCAAACCAGAGTGGTTCACAAATCCTTTTGGCCGAAACAAACGCAGAAGCAGAAGCACAACTACTCTTTAGAGAGGTAATGTTCTGAATCTCAAAGTATTTTCTGGATTAACTAATAAGTTAAATTAACGTAATAACTAACAAGTTATATTTGTTTGTAGAGCCTTCTTAAACCCAAGTTAAAGAATCTTTGAGAAAGAAAATGAAGCAAATCCAAACCAAATGGACGGTAGAGGAAAAAAACTTGGGGAGAAGACAACCCATCAATGTCCCACTGTTTTAGTTTTGTATCTTTTTGTAATGGTCTCAGATTCTGTTATTGTTTCCGGTTTAGCTTGGTGTGTTTTGCTTTTACTCGGTTTGTGTTTCTCTGTAATTTTAAAATTGAACAGCTCTGTTTTCAAACCTCAGACTTATTCCAATGAATAAGATGGACATGAATTGAAAGAGGTAGTTATTTCTGTAGATTTGTTGTCTTTGAGTTTTGTTCCTCTCAGACGACTGTCTTTTTCTTCTTTTGGTAATGCTAAATAAATGATGACTTACTTAGAATGGAAAGAGAATTTGCTTAGCAGTTTTATTGTGTTAGAGTTTTTAGATATACTGGAGTTTTTAAGTTACATTTGAATTTATACATGCTTAAGGTATTAGTGTCAGAGTTGCCATCATAATGACAAAGAAATCATGTCACTTAATTCTCAAACTCTTCAACTTAAGATCACAATGATAAAACTTCGATAAAACCGTTCTTCATCATAAGAGAGATATCTAAACCATGGACTGAGTAAATAAAAAAAAGGTGAAAATAAACAAGAAACTTATCAATAAAAAATGCAGGAAGACAGGGTCATTGACTACTTTATTCGATCTAATTCTTGTTTTACATTAACATTGGCTAATACTATAAGTATACATGACACTATAATTAGAGTAGATCGTTTAACATCATCCTAAAAATTATATACTAAAGATACTAACGAAAATGTTGATCACAAAGAAACATAATTAGGTAATATTAATCAAATTGCAGTATCACAAAGTTATTGGAACAAATCCTATAAATATTTTCGAACAAAGAAAAAAATGTATGATGCCAACAGAACCAAACAAACAAAAAATGATTGACTGATCAATTACTAGGTGAGAGTTTTGTTTACGGGACAAAAGACGATGACTTGAAAAGTCAACTCCGGTCTTCTTCCTTATTGTCCCACCAATAATTCCAATTCTTTAATCTCATCTACTTCCACAACCATCTTCACATAAACCACACATATCTTCAGCCATTGACCTTAAATACTTGACTTTTCACTGTTCACTCTCTCTTTCTCTCTCAAACGAATATGGAGAATCTCTGTTTTCGAGACTCTGTTTCTCTCTTTATGACGATGCTAGTTATTCTTCTTCTTCTTCCTCGTCTCACTCTTTCAGCTACTTCTTCATATTCTCTTCCGGAGAAGTATTACGTCAACTGTGGGTCCGATTCTGATGTCATCTACGGTGGTCGGACCTTCGTCGGAGATATGACCTCCGGTGGTAACTCCGTTTCCTTCACCAAAGAAGGAACTGAAACCAGCAGCAACCAATCCGGATCATCCACTTCGCCGGGAATCTATCAGACGGTTAGGATCTTCAGACGCACTTCTTCTTACAAATTCCAGCTCGATTCTGCTGGTCTACACTTTGTGCGTCTCCATTTCTCTGCTCTCTCTTCTCCAACAGAGATTTCAACTGCTCGTTTCACCGTCTCCGCTACTTCTGGTTCTAATCACCACTTTAAAAGTTTCTCCGTCCAGAACTTGACTGAGACTCCACGGGTAGAGGAGTTTCTCCTCATGATTTCTTCGCCGGAATTCGAAATTCAGTTTGTCCCCGATCCTTCCTCTGTAGCTCTCGTCAATGCCATCGAAGTGTTCTCTGCTCGTGACGACCTAGATATTTTGTCAAAGTTTGACAAGAATCTGCATACGGTTTACAGATTAAACGTAGGAGGAAAGAAAATCACACCGGAAAACGACACCTTGGGACGAACTTGGTCGCTAGACGATGACTTTCTCTACCGAAAAGATGCTGCGAGGAACAATCAAACAGCACAAAAGCCTAACTACGAGTCAGGGTCAGTCTCAGCTACGGAATATACTGCTCCTGATCCCGTCTACAAGACGACTAAAACGATGAACCGTAGCTCGAGTGAAGGCGTGGGGTTGTTGATGAATGTCACATGGTCACTTAAGGTCAAGAGCAACACTAGACACTTCGTCAGGACTCACTTCTGTGATATCTTGAGCAAAACACTAAACCCTGACTCCGATTTCTACCTCTATGTAAACGGGCATTTGCGGATAGATGTAAAGCCTTCAGAGCGCGTAAGGTTGGTCACTCCGTTTTACAAAGATGTCGTGGATGTCTCTGATGGTTCTGGACTCTTGAATGTAAGCATAGGTACTAAGGAGCTCCGTGTAGATGCTGGTTTCTTGAATGGTCTTGAGGTGATGGAGTTTATGGAAAAGTCTGCCTCTGTCTCTTCAAGTAAAAGTAGCTCCATGGTTTACATCATTGGTGGTTGTGTAGCTGCTGGATTGATTCTGGTCTTGAGTTTGTTGTTCATGGTTTTCTTGAAACGGAGGAGATCCAAGAACAAGAAGAAGAAGGCAGACGCTGAGGTCACTGTGTGGTCTCCTTTGCCATTGTACAGAGGTGGTGGTGGTGGTGGTAGTTCCGATAACCGACCTTTCGATCCGGTTAACAATTCACCACTACGCAACCTACACTTAGGCTTGACGATTCCCTTCGCGGACATTCTTCGAGCTACAAACAGTTTCGACGAGCAGTGGCTGATCGGGAGAGGAGGTTTCGGCGACGTCTACAGAGCGATTCTACCAGATGGAAGCAAAGCAGCTATCAAGAGAGCCAAGACTGGTTCAGGTCAAGGGATATTAGAGTTTCAAACAGAGATTCAAGTCTTGTCAAGAATCCGTCACAGGCATCTCGTTTCTCTAACGGGTTACTGCGAAGAGAACTCGGAGATGATCTTAGTCTACGAGTTTATGGAGAAAGGTACGCTCAAGGAGCATCTCTACGGCTCTGATTTTCCTTCACTGACATGGAAACAAAGACTAGAGATTTGCATCGGAGCAGCTAGAGGTTTACACTATCTACACAGTGGCTCAGAAGGAGCAATCATTCACAGAGATGTCAAATCCACAAACATACTACTAGACGAGAACAATGTAGCTAAAGTTGCGGATTTCGGGTTATCGAAACTCGCGGTTCGCAATAACCAGGATCCGATCAATATCAGCACTAACATCAAAGGAACGTTCGGTTACCTCGATCCTGAGTATCTGCAGACGCACATTTTGACGGAGAAATCCGATGTGTACGCCTTCGGTGTTGTTCTCCTCGAGGTCCTATGCGCGAGACCGGCGCTCGATCGGTATCTCCCTCACGAGGAAGTGAATCTAGCGGAGTGGGCGATGTTCTGCAAATCGAAAGGGGTAATCGATGAGATCTTAGATCCGAAATTGATCGGTCAGATCGAGCCGAGCTCGTTGAGGAAGTTTATGGAGATCGTGGAGAAGTGTTTGAAGGAGTACGGCGAAGAGAGGCCGAGCATGGCGGATGTGATTTGGGATCTGGAATATGTGATGCAGCTTCAGATGACGCCGATTCACAGAGAGCCTCATGAAGATAGCGACGCGACTTTCTCCGCCGGTGGTGGCGGAAGCTCGTTGGTGATTCCGAGATTGATGGTGAGTGATTCGTTTAGCACCAACTCGATTGTGCATAAGAGCAGCTATGGAGAAGGTACTGGTACAGATTCATCGGAGACTCGAGTTTTCTCCCAATTGAAGATTTCTGAAGCCAGATAAAATCAAATGTTCTGGTTTTATAAACGTCTGGTTTAATATTTAAAATCAAAATCAAAATCCGGTTATTGCGGATTTAAATGTAAGATAGCCTTAAAAACTCTATAGATTTGATAAGCGTCTGGTTAAATTATTGAAACTAAATCCGGTTATTGCCGGTTAAAAGATAATAATTTGAAGCAAATGAGCAAGTAGCAAATCGGAAAACGAATCAGTTGATTGTGGTGATTTCGCCGATGAACGAGTCCAGATTCCGAGCAGATGAACCACCAGGCGCCATCGCCGATCTCGCCGCGTGCTTCAGCTCCGTCGCTCTCTTCCTCATTTCCGCGGCGGCGGGTCCTACCGTCACCGCATCAATGCATCTCTCTACCTCTTCAACCTTAAGCTCACCGTCGACGGCGTCGTTCTTCATCCTCACTCCGATTCCAAACACATCAACAAGCAATACCGCATCAAGCGGCTGATCAATCCAATTCGGGTACGCCACCACCGGAACACCAGTCGTCACAGTCTCGGTCGTCGAGTTCCATCCACAGTGAGTGACGAAGCAAGAGATCGCCACGTGGCTCAATATCCTCTCCTGCGGACCCCACTCAATGACAACCCCTTGTCCTTCCCGGACCATCTCCTGCAAAACGTCGACGTTTTCGCCTATCTCCTTAGGCCTAATCACCCAGAGAAATGAAACTCCTCTGTTTTTCAAAGCCGTCGCTATGCTCTCGACTTGCGTCTCCGACGATTTAAGAATACTTCCGAAAGAAATGTAAACAACCGATGACCTAGCTTGCTTGTCAAGCCACTCCATACAGTAACCATCAGCTTTCCACATATCAAGATTTTCCCCATCTAGGGTTCCGTCCTGATCAGCTCCCAACAGAAACGGAGAAACCAGAGGACCGATTGGGATTATATCCGGTTTGAATCCAGACATCGAATCGATCATCTCCGGTTCGAGCTCGTAAAACGTATTAACCAAAACCCATTTCGCATACTTCAAGCAATCGGCGAAGTCTACCATTAGGTTAATGAGATGACTTCCGGAAGAAGGTAAGATAAACGAAGGGAGATCTCTCACTTCCAACAATGGTAAAGCTGGTAACTTCACCGTTTGATTGAGATCTTCGAGGTCTTCAGGGAAAGTGTTCGTTTTCTTGAAGTAACGGTAGTAGACAGAGTAAGCTCCACAAGCTTGGATCCAGAGGATTGCACAAGGGATGTTGTACGCAGCTGCAACACCTGGAGCCCATGGAGCAAACGGTACGGTGATGAGGCAATCGAATTTCTTCGATTCGACGATTTTCGACAAGTTCTTGGGGCCGAAGATCCTCAATGACGCTATGATGGAAGCCTCGACTCAAAATCAATAATTTAGTTTTATATATAACTTATTTTTATTAATTATCTTTAATTGTTAGCTTTCAAAAGTTAAACATTTTCCATGAAATTTTCTCACATACACTATCTTTTTACATTATATATATTCTTATGAATTTTAGACATTTTAAATTTTCAATACATTTTTTCTTTTAAAAAAAATCTCTTGAATCTACGGTTAAAAATTAACTTTTAATCTTTTAAATATTAAGTTCAACCAATTTTTATTTATTTTTGTCTTTTATATTTTTATTAGTCATTTCATTTTTTTCTTTTAAATAATAATCTCTTGCATATACTGTTAAAAATTAACTTTTAATCTTTTAAATATTAATTCAACCAATTTTTATTTACTTTTGTCTTTTATATTTTTATTAATCATTTTTTAATACATTTTTATATTTTTGGTTGAATAATAAATCATTCAATGATATTTTGAAAGCGTATGTATTAATTGAATCTTTACTTTTGATTTAGTTGATTTGTATTTTTTTTGCTGATGTGGACACCTTAAGAGGAGAGAGCAACTCACTAATTATATACTCCCTCCATTTCAAATTAATTGTCATTTTGGCAAAATATATCTGCAAATATTTGGACGTATTTGGACGTGTTTTGCATTGCAGATATATCCAAATAATTACAGATACATTTTGCCAAAATGATAACTAATTTGAAACGGAAGGAGTATAAGATTATATTGGGGATTGATAATTTACTGCAATATATCTAGATGTTGCATCCTCAGACTTAGTAATAGTCTTGACTAGATCGATAATGAAATCTTTTAAAGAGCTAATCTTTGTGTTTTGTTAACGAGGTTGTTAACTTGATTTGTTAACGAAGTTTGTTAATTAGTTTGTTAACAAGTTAGCGGCATCCACCGCCATGCTTCCTTAACTGCCACCGCTCGTATTGGAGGTAGTTATGATTATTACAAAGCTGTTATGGCTACTCGTTTCTAGTACTGTATACTACATGTACGATTGTTAGTGCCAAGTGCCAACATAAATGTTTAATATAAAGCGCCTACTTACATAACCCTTTAAGTCAACATATATAAGATTCTTAAAATATATAAATGTTAAGAGTACCAACATATATAGTATAGTTACAGCGCCAACATATGCATGTTACGGACAGCGAGAACCATCGTCACAAGAAGCCAATGATCGCATTGTTCAAGAAACCAGTGAAGTTCGGTCTATTTCATATGATTTTTGCATTCCATTTTGTACAGAATCCTAAGATAAAAACGTCATTTTTAAATTTTAAAACATTATGATTCCCTCCTACAACCAAACCACAACGCACACACTCGACAATTTAGTTTATACGATAGAATAACAAGGCTTAATGTAGTTTACTACGGTTTGATTTCAACGTCAAGCAAATTGAATATCTTCAGTTTAGGGCCAAATTGATTTTACACCCCCTTGCACTTCGCCTTCAAATTTTTGTGATAAAACCGGTTCGTCAAAATGTTGTTATTTGTCATATTTAAAAAAAAAAAAAATCTAATTATACATTTTGAAAACAAACTCGATGGTCCTATCCCCATCAGCATATCAAAATGTTCCAATCTTGAAATTTCTATCGTAGTGACAACAATTTCACTGGCCCAATCCCCATATATATACCAAAGTTGGTCAACCTCGTTTATCTCAATGGTTCATGTATGTTAGTATGAGTGTGTTGTACAAATGTAATTTTCTGTTTTATGGTTTTGTAATAAACGTGTTTGGTATCTTGAATTGAAAAATGCATCAGAAACTTCTTCCTACATAAATCACAGCCTATGACAGTACGAATGTTTGAATTATAGACTCCATATTTAAGGTATTAATGGATTAATTCCTTAACCTATGGTGTCATGGTGTGTATATGTCGTTTTCTGGAATAATGCTATATGCTTTTGATGATTTAGATTATATCATTCGTCTATTTCATGACAACAATTTAGTTCACGTTGTTTTATAGTCTCTAACACGCTTGCTTCTCACACACGTCACTCTTGCTGTGCTATGCTACGCTACTAATGATTCAATTGGGAATTTAAACTCATGAGATTTCGAATAGTGATTGATGGCTTTGTTTTGTAAAAAAAAAAATATAAAAACGGTGAAAAGTAAATAAATATTTTGATGATAACAATTAAATACTATCACTGAATTGGGCATTTTTTTCACTCAAATGATAAATTTCGATTATAAAGTTGGATGGAAGAAATACATTATTGGATCATAAATTCAAACATCCATCTGTCTCTTTTCATTCTCGTTGACAAAAGAAGTGAATAAAGTTTCCTTATATCTTCGCCGGGAGGTAATGAGGGAAGTCCCAATCGGCCTTGATGTGGTTTCGACTGATCTCTCTCAACGAACGGCAGCCACTTAGTGCCATTGTAAGCTCAAACTCGTCTCTTAGCATTTGCAGCATCTTCCTCACTCCCGCTTCACCATCCGCTGCAAGCGAGAACAAACTCGGCCTCCCAACCTAATCAAACATGTTAATCAGTTACCACTTACATAGTACTTACATGTCATTTGCTTGGGTGTATATTGACAAATTAAAAGGTTTTGGGTCAAAATGTGAAAAGTGGTAAAAGTCTTGTAGAATTGGAAAAGTAAAGAGAGAAAACAGGGGACATTACAAGAAGCTAATAGAGAGTGAACTTACAAAGACACCTGAAGCGCCAAGAGCCAATGCCTTAAACACATCGGTTCCACGGCGAACCCCACCGTCTAGAAACACCGGAATCCGACCCTCAACGGCTTTAACCACCTGTCAAATTCATATTTCCATTGAAACAAGAATGTAAAAAGGCTGTGTTTACAACAGTTTCTTCTTAATGTAAATGCATTTTAACCTCTTCGAGAGCCACTATAGTTGCAGGGACATAATCTAGCTGACGAGCTCCATGGTTGGAAACTATAATCCCTGCAGCTCCGTATTCAACAGCGATTCTTGCTGCGAAAGATCAGAGGAATGTTCTTGAGATTTTGAAATTTTTAATAAGTAAGATTTTATGATGCAGCGTATTTAGTACCATCCTCAGCTGTAATAACACCCTTGACAAGAATTGGCAAGCTTGTGATAGATTGGAGCCACTTTATATCCTGTTAAAAAGGCAAACAAACTATTATAATGTTTCTGAATCAAAATAATTTATCAACTGAAAACATCTTGTTACGGATTCAATCCAACCTTCCAGCTAAGTGATTGATCAACTTGACCAGCGACATATGAAGCTAGCCCTGAGTCATCGGTCTGCACAATTGGTCGATAGTTTTAAGTATTGAGATATTAGATCGATTGTGTTTATCAGTGTGCCACAAACCTTGTCTATTTTCCCAAGATCCAAGCCTTCGAAGTTCTTCAAAGTCAGACCTCGAGGAAGCGCGAATCTGCAGAGATTAAGATCCATCAAGATAAGAAAAAGATGTCACAAACTTTATATATATGATGGAGTGAAAGAGTTTGATCACCTGTTCTTGATGTCGGATTCTCTGCGTCCGAGCCTCGGTGTATCTACGGTAAGAGCAATCGCTTTGAATCCAGCTTCTTCAGCTCGTTTCACAAGCTGTCTTACCACATTCCTGTCCTTGTACACCTGAGAATCAATAGCCAAATTCAAGCCAAGACAAATACATGACTCGTGGACACACAAAAAAAGGTCTTTCTGCATATATACTTACATAAAGTTGGAAAAAACGAATCCCTGGTCCTGTGGAAGCAACTTCCTCAACACTACAAGTGGCCCATGAAGATAAAGTCTGCAAATACCAAAAGGATACATAAAGAAGATATCTAATAAGACCAGAGAGAGAGAGAGTAAGAGAGCAAGAATCAAAACCATGATTGTTCCAGCAGCAGAAGTAGCTCTCGCGGTTGCAAGTTCGCCTGCAAAGATTCATAAACCATTTCACATAGTGAAACAAATCCTCTTCAAGTTAAAGAAGAATTAAGAATGCATACACACACATATGTATCAGATAAAGTTTCTCTAAGCTAAAATCAAATTCTCAAGCAGACTAACCATCAGGGTGAGCCATTTTCTGCATTGCAGTAGGAGCAATCATGATTGGCATAGAAATGTTAAACCCTAACACCGTCGTGCTCACATCAATCTTGCTCACATCGATGAGAATCCGAGGCCTAAATCTGTTTCAAACAGAATTAATAAAACACACATAACAAACATTTGAATACATTTTGTTGATTGTTGTTTTCCCTTACAGAATCCTGGAGAAAGCGTTTCGATTCTCCTGAAGAGTCCACTGATCCTCTGCACCAGATGCGTAGTAATCATAAACCATCTTCGGCAATTTCTCCTTTGCGATCTTCTCGTACTCCATCACGTTCGTTATCTCCATTTTTCCAAGCTCAAATCAAATGAAACGTCGTCTCTTTCAATCTTTCATCATCACCAAATTTCCCAGAAAATTTAAGATTCAGAAGCAATAACAAGGACTGATAAACTATACGGTCAACGATTATAACAGTTAAGAGTAAGCGATCACAGAATCAAACAAAAATCTGACCCAGATTAATTCTAAAATCACACTTCGCCAACTTCGATTTTCGATCTAAATTCAAACGATCGTAAACGAGAGACGTGTACAGAGAGAGCTTACGAAGAAGAGCGGCTTGGTCGTCTTGGGAAGAAGGTGGCGAAGAAAACTATAAGACAAATATGAAATGCTGTGGATTCAACAATATTCCTGATATTCTTGTTTGACCAAATTTTTTTTTATTTTTAAAAGACGTCACTCAGTCATAAGTGACGTCACTCTGCTTATATTATTTGTGTGCTTGTGGGCTCGTCTACGCATGCAACCCCAAGCAGGTAGATGACATTTTCGTAAAAAAACATTGATACAATATTAATAAATATATAAACATAATTTATTACAAGATATTTTTATATATTCTGGTACCAAAGTAGTCAGATGTTCGATCTTATATTCCTTAATTCATAAAACAACAAGATAAAATCACTGTTATAAACTTTTAAAAGAAATGCATACTATCCTTAATTTTTATTCCATGATAGCACACGCACCATGGGTTCTATACGATCCTTCCTAAAATAAATTCCATCAACTTTTGCTGTCCATTCACGTTCCGCTCCACATCGTTGTTTCGCACGGGCTCCTTTGTATACTTGAACATTGTAATAATACTCTAATTTAGGACCGTGCTTCAACATACATCTATACACCTTGGTTTTTCCAAATCCATATGTCGGATCACTGAATAGGATTTTATATGGATACGCCTTGTAGCCTAAGTTTGCTACGCCCATATCTTTTTTCCCGTTGAAGCAATGTATATTGAGAGTCGCAGAGGGCGTAAGTTCGTTGGATATTGTAACTATATTGCCCTTATCACAACCTATGCGTGCTTCGTTTAAGTGAAAATACAAAACAGTAACTAGCATCATATTAGTATTTGCAAATCAATTTTCGTGAATGGAGCCACCACGTTAACTCTCAGCCGCGGAATTACCGAGATGCCCTTAATGAAAATCTTTCAATTAAATCTTCGAATTTTTCCTTTTTTATTAAAAACGAATTTGATTATTGACTTTTAATATTTTTAGATAAATATGTTAACTACCATATCCCCGCCTTATTTTTGGAAGATATTATAAATTTTAGGAAGATAAATAATAAGTAAACCCTAAGATTCTTAACTGATCCTGTATTATATAAATAGATACGATCTTGGAAAAACAACACAATTTTCATTACGATTTGCAATTTGTCTTTCAATACGTAATTTTAGTTCTTAGATCTCATATTCTTCTTCACATGTACCTTAATTGTTTTAGTTCGATCTTAGTTCTAATAAAACTATTTATGAACTGATTATTTGTTATTTTCTGTCAATATCATCTATTGATCCGCTTCTAACTACTTCCTCTCTCACTTTTGTAACAGAAAATTCATTATTTGTAAGCTGATGGAATAGAAGTTCATATATGGTCCCAAGCCAGAAGTATTCTTCCCCAAAAATAGAGGGTATGAACATCTTTTCTTTTATATATCAACTTAATATTCATGAAACCCTAATTCTAATGATGAGAGTATAACGTTTTCTGTTTTTTTTTTTTTTTAGTTTCTTCAATGAAGCTGGAGGAATGGAATTGGCGGAGCCTGGAAAGAAGAATGATTTCGGGAGCATATTAGCAGGTACAAAGATTTGGTTGAATCTTGAGATCATGAGAGGCCGTACCACATGATGTGCATGTGGCTTTGGATTGATTGTCTTTGCAGATCCTTATGTTGTTGTAGAGAGAATGATCATGAAGAAACAAATCATTGATGGCCGATCGGTTAATATTCTAAAACTCATCAAAAATCCTTCATCAATCTCTGTAACATATGATGTAACCTTTTGTTTTTTTTTCTTACTTGCGCAGTAAGCTTTCTTTAGTAGGACAAGACGATTTTTGAGTTCCTGTTTCGTCTACTAAAGGAGAGAGAACCTTATTCTGAATTCTTCTTACTTTTGGAGAGTCGAGTCAATTAAAGAAAAGAGAAACACTACGAAGAGGTAATGATTCAATGAGAAGATATTTCCTGATGCTAACATGTGGCCAAATTACGATGAAATTGAGGATGAAGAAGATGACAAAGAAGAAATACAATATTTATTCACAGTCTCCTCGACTCTCTTCTTTTATTTTATCAGTTTCATCTTTCTTCATGTAAGAAGAAATACAAGAAGAAAGATGAAACTAATAAAATAAGATGTTGCAAAAATGAAAAGGATTGATAACACAAAATGATAAAGAGTACAAAATGAAATAAGAAGAAAAGACTGAATAAAAACAAGGAAAAGATGAAAGTTGGAAGACAAAGACGGAAAAAACAAAAGAAACAGAACAAAAGAAGAAAATATTTGAAGAATATGTGAACAATAAAGAAGTTGAAAAAAAATCAAAAGATAAAAAAAACGAAGAATAAGAACACAAAGACAGTTGAAAAACAAATTGTAAATAAAAGGAAGAAAACTGATAAAAAGCAGGAAATAATAAGATGATGATGAAGAGAAAATTAAAAGAGAATAGAAAGTTTGATAAGAATAAGAAAAAAAATAGTAGAAAATGAAGAAAAAATATGAAGTAAAAGACAAATTAAAATAAAAAGATAAAATAGGGTTGAGGTTTATGATGTACGGTTTATACTGATGGGCGTAAAATTTAGTTGTTGATGCATTTAAAAAAATTTGAATACACTAAATTACCGATATAAAAAACTTATGTTAAAAATAAAATAAAAGTAAATATAGAACCAATTTCTAAAATGTGGGTTCGGGTGTACAGATTGGCGGGAGGGGGGCGGGGGCGGAGGGTGTTACACTATGGTGTTTGGGTTGTTTAGGGGGTGGTGTTACACTGTAGGGTTTGGGTTTAGGATGTAGGATTTATATTGATGGGTGTAGGGTTTAGTTTTTGGTGCATTTTAAAAACTTAAATTATTATAGAAGAATTTCATTATAGAAAATCATTTATTATAAAAAGTTATACTATTTATCTTATTAAAACTTTTAATTAATTAATGTATTTTAAAAATATTGTACCCGCACAAGGTGCGGGACAACCACCTTGTAAAAACTATAAAAGAATTCATTTTGTTTTGGATCTAAGATAAAGTTTTGGAATAGTAAAGGGCATCAAAGCTTAGTATTTATAATTCTTTTGTGTGGACAACTTTTTTTATGGACACCTAAATTTATTCCCAAACCTGAATTGAATAAATCTCTGGTCGTTTAGCATAAAATTATGGTTATCCAATAAATTAAAACCAAAATAGCTTATAAACTAAATTAACAGTTCTTACTAAATATAACTGACAACGGAAATGAACGCATAGACTCTGGAGAAGTGGAGAGTGAATGAGAACTTGAGATTGATGCAATCGCAAAGACTATAGGACAGGAAAAGAAAATACAGAGCATAGTTCCATTAAGCCCATCCAACTTGTGACGAAAGATAGTGTCAGTTTTAAAGAGAATCAAACATTTGTAGTACAAGCAGAAGAATCTAACATTTGCAACACCAAGCTAAAGACATGACATGTGTTTGAAGGTCCTTGCCGTCAAAACAGATACAGATTCTGGTGATGACCATATAAACAAGATGCTCAATTACTACATGCTTATCATGCTTATCCCTATTATTAATACACTAAATTTCTGTTAACAATAAATAAATTATTGTAAACTCAAATAATACAATAGCTAAAAAAATTCCATGATTGTTTCAGCAGCACAAGTAGCTCTCGCGGTTGAATATTCCTGAAATAGACTTAGACACACACAAAAAAAACAAATATTCCTGATATAGACGTCACACACTCACAAAGTCACAAAATAACGTACGTCTCCACGTGTGCTTGTCACGTGATTGGCACGTTTTTAAATACCATTTCTTCTTTGCTCGTTTTTAACACCAACTGTTCGACGAAATTCCTGGACCAGTTTCACGTCTTTCATCTTTTCATACAATTTTCGTCTTCTTAAGTTCATAACAGAGTTCTCAAATCTGCGACAACATTTCCCGATTTATAAACAAACAAAGAAAACAAAAAGAGAGGTAATTTAGACTACCTCATTTGGGGTCTCCAGCTAGAGACCAACACCAGCTTACGCCGGGAAATTACTTTCCACATTCGGGAAGAAGACGCGCACGGAGACATCTCCGGCGAAGAAACACCAGATTATACTGGGAACGATCTCGAGACTTTCGTGCTCGGAAGAAGCGGCAAGAGAAATTATCTCTGCCGAAATGGTACCAATATGGACTCGAACCCTGGAGGGAGAAGCTTACTCGTGAGAGACTCAACCACCTTTGACGGATCCGAATTGGTGTTATGTTCTCTATTTAATATCACTTTATAACTCTAGATAAAATTGAAGCTTAACCGAAATTTCGTCGGTTTAGAATGGTTTGCTTATTACTTCGTCATAACCAGGAAAAATTCGACGCAAACCGATTGATTTATCGAACTTATTTCCGGTTCGATATCTTTATCTCCTCTGGAATTTGAGTGAGAGGAGAGCCATTCTCGTTGTGAAAGAAGAAGCAGCCATGGCCGTGGTTTTTGCTTCTTCTAAAGCTTTTTCCTCAGTCTTTCATACTTTAGCTCCATTCAGTCGTTCCAGTTTCCTCTTAGCTTGCTCCGGTTCTAATACTGTCGATCGGAGAAGAAGAATCGTCATCT